GCACAGGCAGCCAGGTGAGCTCAGGGCATCCACCTCGGGCAGCACAAGAGCCCAGCCAGGGCTGCACCCAAGATGAGCCAAAATGGTCCCAAAAAATGGATGATTGCTCACAAAATGATCAGTTCTGCTCCATTTACACCTTGGAGTTCATTGTCCCATTCCAGCTTTAGCCCAGGCAGTCCCACCCTGCTTGTTTTTCTCTCTCCAGCCCACGGTGTTTGTGCTCCTGGGCTGAGATTTGGATCATTTGTCCTTGGTGCCCAGCTGGAGCAGGAATTGTTTTGTCTCTGCTCTGTGAAGAGCTCAGCATCCCCTCGTGTGAAGCTCAGAGCCTCACACTCACACACTAAAGCAGCACAGAATGTGAAAAATAGAAAAGCTAAACCTGAGAAATCTGCACAGAATCTGAAAAATAGAAAAGCCAAACCTGAGGCATCAGGACAGAGTCCCAATGTTCCAAGCAGAAGCAGCAGCAGCTAGCAGAGACTACTATCACTTCTTTTGCACCCCAATACAGGGGGATTTTATTCATAAATCATCCAATCAGCTAAAAGCATTATTATAAAGCATTTTTCCTACACCTGTCTGAGCTTAATTCCATTGTGGGAAAGTAGTGTCAGTTCTTACACAAAATCTATGAATACAGTTCTATCTGTTCTATCCAGAAATCTAAGCAATGTTCTGTTATGTTTTCATAAAGTCTGGAGCTAGGTTAATTTTGTGAAAACTAACACTACTGAACTTTAAGCTAAGCTTTAGGGCTTTTACTAGCTAACACAGTCTCTTCAGGCACTTAAGATATATTTCTACTTACTTAAAACTTACACTCCTACTGTTTGGCTTAATATATTTCAGTTTTTCTAAAGGTTCCAATTCAAATCCTGCATTCCTTTCTCTCTCTGAGGAGTTTCTGTTTCATGCATTCCAAAATCACAGAGGAGCCCTCAAGGCTGGGATAATCTGTGCTCATCACCACCCTTGTTTCACCACAGGGACTGACCAAAATTGGGCTCTTTCCCCCCGTTTTTAGGAGTAAGACTCCTCCTAGTGGAGTTTATTGCAGGCAGGAGGAAGAAGAGTGCAGTGGAGACAGTCCTGGAGCTGCTTTGGGATAATAAGGGTGGGAACGCTGCTAAAAGTGCTCTTTAAAATATATAGTTATATATAAAGATAGAGAGTTATATATTTAAACTTTTAAACTTATATAAGATATAGAGTTATATTTTTAAAAGTCTTAGAGTTATATATTTAAACTATATTTAAAGTTATATAAGATGTAGAGTTGCATCTTTAAAAGTCTTTTGAAGCCTTGGTTGCCCTTGATTTTCCAACGTGGCAGGGCACAGGTTAAAGCCATTTCTAAAGACACAACACTTCTTTCTTCCTTCTTCTGCCCAGAAACCACTTTCTGTCATGGGCATTGAAAGATCCCTGATAGGATGGTGTAAAACTAAACAGAAGCTACTGAAGAGAAGCTCCTTTTTCCCATCTAGGGGCTGCAGTGAGAGCAAAAATATGGGAGTAAAGCACATGAGACTCCATTTTCTTCATGGTGGAAAAAGCTTTTTTTTATTATTCTTATTATTCAGTTTTCCAGACCTCCTGTGGGACTCCAGTTGGTTAGTAATTTTCTTGCCAATTACATTATTGATTAGTAAAAGTTGTCATGCTGTATGGATTGGTCATTCAAACTCTCAGTGTCTACATGCTGGGAAGGTTGTTGATGAAAAAATAGTTTTCATTTTTCTATCTAGCAGTGTAAAACCAGTTTATACAGGTGCTAAGTTGTTGTTGACCCAGGAACAGATTGTTTTGTTAACAAAGTGGTCACACCAGGATTGCTTTCACATGGGAACTTGCAAAATGCTAGCTTGGCATAGAAAAAATGACAGTCCAGCCAGAGAAGGCCTGATTTTATGAGGCTTTTTTTTTTTTTTAATATAATTTTTGTACCTTACAGAAACATAAAAATGGCCCCAGGGGTGGGATGTGTGGCTCAGATTGGAGAATGGGTGGCTAAAGCTGACATTTCTATTCCTTGTGTCCTTGCAGCTACAGAGGCCCAAGGATACAGGCACAGAGAGCGGGACAGACTGCAGTGAGCTGAGTAAGGTCCTGAGAGGACAAGGATTTGGACAAAAAGGAGGAATCAGGGGAGGAACAACTTCACCTCCCAGCCTGTGCTGTCCCTTGAGGTGTCCTGCTTGTCCAGCCTGTCCCCAGCCAAGTCTCCCAGGGTTTAAAGGCTTGGCCTGGCTGGATGGAGCAACTAAAGTGACTAAAAATGCCAAATCTGTCCCAGATTTCATATAAACACAAGTAACAAACAGAAGGCCAAGTGGTGGATCCTCACTATTGCTTGCTTGCTGCTGCTCTCTATTTATTCAAGGTCAGTCCAGATTTATTTTTTTGCAGCTTATGAGCACATTCAGGACTTGGCTGCTCATCTCAGAGAAAGATTCCACGTGGCCAAATCCATTCCTGCTGCCAACAGATGGGGAACCTGGAGGGTGAGAGAGCAGGATCCCAAAATCCTGGGAATGTGCTTCCCCAGCAGGACCCTCCAGGCCTCTCAGCAGAGCTCCAGGAGGAGCTGAGAGTCCAGAAAAGCCAGACAGGACCATCTAAAACATTTCTTTTTGTTTCTGTGGTCCTGCCTGGATCATTGCTCTGGCATTCCTGCAACCCCCTTTCACCAAATGGCAGCGTTGCTGTCCTCATGGAGATTAATTAGCCTGTTGTGTGGCTAATTACAGGCAATAAATCTCCAGCACTATCATTCCTCTGCACTCTGAACACACACAGCGCTTCTCTGGTGTCTTGTCTTGGGCTTCCACCCAGTGCTAAGCTTGAGCTACATTTTAAAATCAGGGTTTTTAAGGGAGAAAAGTAAATCTGATTATTTCCCTTTGCCCCTAAGCTTGAACTCGCTGTCTCTAAGCTACTCTGGAAAGGGGAGCTGGGAAAAAAAAAAAGACAAATTAATTATAAATACCTAGTGACCAAGCAAATGGTTTCAAAGTTCAGGGCGTAGGGCTGTAAAGAAATGTAGATATTTCTCTGCTAAACCCCAGCATCAGTGGGAACACCCTCCCTCAGTAACTCTTGCTCTATTTTAAATTTATTGCTTATTTGTCCTACATGTGGAACTTGGTTTTGAAGCAGTGCTGTTTGTTGGAGAGCCCCATGCAGCCTCACAAACCCTTTAAAACAGTTCCTTTTGGGGCTGAGAGGAACTTTTATCCCTGACTTTGTCTCCTTGAGAGCTGAATCCTTCATCTCCTTTCTGGAGCATTTTTCTTTGGGCTGCCTTGTTCAGGAGAGAAGGGAGGTGAGTCATTCATTAACTCTGTAAAGAGATTTTCACATGATTTGTGCCCTCCTCTGGAATGTGCATTTGTGACTGATTAATCTGAGTGCTGAAGGGACCACAAAGCCCCTGGAACTGCTCATGCAATAAGATGATTTTGTTTCTTCTTGCTGTAGGACAGAAATTAAGTTTGCACAACTCCCTGCATAGTTTATTAATGCATTACTTTTCATCCCACCCCCAGTTGTAACACACCCTTTTGAAGACAATTAAATATAAATACAAGAGCTACTGAATGGTTCCTTTGTGTTTGGTGGCAAATTTGTGGGGTTTTTTTTTGTTTTGTTTTGTTTTTTTTTTTTTTTTTTTTTGTTTTTTTGTGGAATTGTGCATTTTGTTCCAAGGATTGAAAAGCTGGCATTGATAGAATCATAAAAGCTGGGAAAAGCTTCTGAGATCACCCTGTTAAATCATAATTTTAAATGAAGTGCATGTTCTCCCTGTGCCTGCACATCGTGGTCAACACAAAACTTAACCCCCATCCCTCAAAAAATGTGTTGGAAATGTAAAAACAGAAATATATTTTTCTTGATAAAGCCTCAGTTCCAGTAAGGATTGTTTTACAGGGAGAGTCCCTGAAATTTTGGCAGATCTGGTAAATATTTGTGCTCAGGCACAGGGTGGGATTGTTGGGGTGCCCTGTGAGGGGCCAGCAGTTGGACTCTGATCCTTGTGGATCCCTTCCAGCTCAGGATATTCCGTGTTTCCATCATCCTAGGCGTGCTTTTGGGAAGAAAAATGAACATTTAAAGGGAAAAAACCCCACCAAATCTGAGGTGTCCCCAGCGTGCTGCTGAGGGCTGGGCATGGTCCAGGTGTGTTCTACATTTTGCACCATTTCAGGCTGCAGAATTCCATGTTCCTGGCTTGCATTCCACTCCCTTTTCCTGACATCTTTCCCACTCCAGAATGATGATTTCCATGGGAGATCCTGCTCTTTATCCCATATAACCACAGATATGAGTCTCTCTGCACTCCCCTTTTCCACTTTTCCATCATCTTTCCCATTCAGAAATGTTGGATGAGGAGATTTCCAGGGAAATCCCCACTCTTTATCCCACATAACTACAGCAGAAGTTTCTCCACATTCCCCTTCTCCGCTTTCCCATCCTCTCTACCATTCCAAGGAGCTGATTTTGGGGGAAACCCGGGATAACTCCGAGGCAAACCCGGGATAATTCCGAGGCAAACCCGGGATAACCCAAAGGAAACCCGGGATAACTCCAAGGCAAACCCGAGATAATTCCGAGGCAAACCCGGGATAACCCAAAGGAAACCCGGGATAACTCCAAGGCAAACCCGGGATAACTCCAAGGCAAACCCGGGATAACGCCAAGGCCACGCCCCTCACTCCCGTTGCTACACGGAAGCTCCGCCAGCCCCGCTTGTCCCTCCCGGCGCTCCGTCCCCCACACAGCTCTGCCTCCCCTTCCGCCTCTTTCCACCAATCAAACCCCACACGCTGCTCCTCTCCACCAATCAGAGCGCGGCACGGCGCTCCGGCGGGCCAATGGGAAGCCGGTCCGCCTTGCGGCGCAAGCGCGCGGGCCGCTGTGCCTCTTCACCAATCAGAGCGCGGCGCGGCCCTCCGGCGGGCCAATGGGAGGCGGGTCCGCCTGGCGGCGCAGGCGCGCGGGCCGCGGCGCGCCCCCCGCGTGCCGGTCCCTCATGTCGTGGCTGTTCGGGCTCAACCGCGGCGCTGCCCCGGGCGGCGGCGGCGGGGACGCGGCACCCCCGGGCACCGGCACCGGCAGCGGCCTCTCCCTGCCGCCCGTGCCCGCCGGCGGGGCTGGCGGCTCCGGGGACCGTCAGACGCCCAAGGACAAATGGAGCAACTTCGACCCCACGGGCCTGGAGCGCGCGGCCAAGGCGGCGCGGGAGCTGGACGCGTCCCGTGCGTGAGGGGCGGGAGGGAGGGCGGCGGGGCTCGGTGGGAAACGGGGAAACGGGAAAGGGAGAGGGAAACGGGAAAGGGAGAGGGAAACGGGAAAGGGAGAGGGCTCTGCTCCGTGGGACGGCAGCAGAGCGGTGCCCGGAAAATTGCACCAGGGTATGAGGGATGGAGGGGCTTTTCCAGCTGAGGGGGTGTTCCAGGTGAGGGGATGTTCCAGTTCCAGGTGAGGGGATGTTCCGTTCTGGAGCACAGAGCTGGGAGGGTGTGTGTGAGAAAATACCACAGATACTGAAGGGTTTCATCTGAGGGGATGTTCCTCTCTGGAGCAGAGAGCTGGGAGGGGGTGTGTGTCAGAAAAATAGAAAGTTCCACAGACACTGAAGAATTTAATGTGCACCTTTGGAAAAAGCCTAGATTGGTGTGTGTCAGAATCAAAAATAAAAAATTCCACAGACACTGAAGGGTTTAATCTACACCCTTGGAAAAAGCTTAGATTGGTGTGTGTCAGAATCAAAAATAAAATATTCCACAGACACTGAAGAATTTAATCTGCACCTTTGGAAAAAGCCTAGATTGGTGTGTGTCAGAATCAAAAATAAAAAATTCCACAGACACCGAAGGGTTTAATCTACACCCTTGGAAAAAGCTTAGATTGGTGTGTGTCAGAATCAAAAATAAAAAATTCCACAGACACCGAAGGGTTTAATCTACACCCTTGGAAAAAGCTTAGATTGGTGTGTGTCAGAATCAAAAATAAAAACTTCCATAGACACCGAAGGGTTTAATCTACACCCTTGGGAGAAGCTTAGATTGGTGTGTGTGTAAATCAGAGAAATAGAAAACTCCACAGACACTGAAGGGTTTAATCTACACCCTTGGAAAAAACTTAAATAGGTGTGTATGAGAATCAGAAAAATAGAAAACTCCACAGACACTGAAGAATTTAACTTACACCCTTGGAAAAATCTTAGATTGGTGTGTGTGTGTGAATCAGAAAAATAGAAAACTCCACAGACACTGAAGAATTCCGTCTGATCATTTGTCCTTGGTGCCCAGCTGGAGCAGGAATTGTTTTGTCTCTGCTCTGTGCAGAGAGCTCAGCATCCCCTCATGGGAAGCTCAGAGCCACACACTAAAGCAGCTCAGAATGTGAAAATAGAAAAGCCAAACCTGAGGCATCATTAGAGAACCTGAAAAACAGAGGAGTTAAAACCTGAGACATCAGCTGTCCATAATCTCTTCCCCTCCTCCAGGCCATGCAAAAGATGCTCTGAGCCTTGCCCAGATGCAGGAGCAGACCTTGCAGCTGGAGCAGCAAACCAAACTGAAGGTGGGTTGCAATTCCTCACCTTGGAAATCCTCAGGCAGCTGCCAGGTTTGGGAGGGACAAAAGTTAAAATTTTTCTTCTGCAGAGGATGATAAATTTTCCTTTCTGTTCAGCTTCAGCAAATTGTAGTTATTTGCCTTTAGGAGGAAAAAAAAAAGTAATTCTGCAAAGTGAATCTCAGCTAATTTGGCTGATTCTGACACAATTTTTTGTGGCTTTGGTTAAAACTTGCATGTCCTCAGTGGTTTTATGACTCCTGGAGTATCTCTGCTGGTTTTGGGGAATGACAAAGGGTTTCTGTGGGAACTGTAAAGTAGCTGGGTGAAGGACAGATTTCTGTTTCTCTTATAAAGGACTTTAGGGATTGTTTGGGTGTTGGTTGATTCTTGGATGTTTTATTTTAATTGTGTTTAATCCTGAAATGCTTGATGATGTTTCTTAGGAGCATTGAGAATTTAATTTTTATTATAAATTCTATTATAATATATAATAATATTATATAATAATATTTTATTATTTATATTTATTTTTATTTTTTATATTTATTATCCTATTTTAACTTTATTGTGTCAGTGGTCATCTTTTAAGGGTAGCACTCTGAATACAGAGGGATTTCTTGGAATGTGATTGTCAGTAGAGTTTCTGTGCAGGATGATGTGTGAATTTCTGGTGGTTAAATTCTCTGATTCTGTGCCAGGAGTACGAAGCTGCCATAGAACAGCTGAAGAATGAGCAGATCCGGGTGCAGGCAGAAGAGAGAAGGAAAACACTCAATGAAGAAACCAAACAGCATCAAGCAGTAAGGGAATGAGGGGGAAGCCAAGTGAGGGTAGATTTTGTTTGTATCTTCCCTTATAGAAAAGGCAGTGATGCATTAATTATCCCTTTAATTAATTATCTCTTTTTGGGGAGAGGCGGTCTGGGGGTGTTCACTGAGCTCATGTTCTGTCCTGGATTTGTGATGTTGAGCTGGATTTTTAATCCTCTTGGACTTTTGTTCCCAAGTTCTTGAATATCCTACTGAACTGGCGGTAGCAGTTTCCCTCATTCTGTGTTTTTTTGGGATTTTCCTAAAGGGCTTTTCAGGGAAGTGTTGAGGAATACTGGTTTATCAACTGAATGAAAAATGAAGCCTTTAAAGAGTGAAATGGCTCTGAAGTTATTTGGATTTCAGTCTTAAGTAGCTTGAAACCCTATTTCTTCTGAATTAAACAGGAAAAAATATCTTAAGAGGAGAAATGATGCAAATCTGAGTTGTTGGGAGCAGAGTTGGTTTGTTTTAGCTTGAGTGGCTGATGTGGCAATAATCCTGAAACAGGGAAAACAACAGCTGGCCTTAATGTTAACAGCTAAATTCTGGGGATTTCTTACTCTGAGAGCACAGGAGATGAGGGAATTGATTAATTCTAATGGTTTTTGGTAATTGATTCATTCTAATTGATTTATTCCAATTCTCCAGGTTGGGAAGTTTGCTAGAACTGTTTATTTGGCACGTGCTGCTTTTACCCTGGCAGAGTTTGGACTTTGAGCAGGGCTGGCCCAGGAAGAGCTGCACACCCAGCTGCTCTCAGGGGTTGTTCCTTCACCTCCTGCTGCTCCCAGGGCATCATTTGAGGTCACAGCAAACTCATGGGTTATCTGAAATCACAGCAATCTCAGTCCTGGTTTATTCCATGGTGTTTTACTGGTGCTGAGGAGATAATTTCCAAGCTTTTCTGCTGTCTCTGTGTTTGGAATGGAGAATGATGTCACTTCTGGCACAGAGTAGATGTGGATCCTCAGCCCACTTCCAGTTCAGTGGAGATGACTTGGGTTTATTTAGAGTTACAGTGATTGATAAGAGGAATTAATGAGGAACAAGTAAATCTTTATCAAAACCAGAGCCCATCAGCACATCCTGACAGTTCTGTTGCTTGCAGGCACCAGTCCAGATAATGTGGTTTAGAACATGAAAACCTTTTTCCTACTGAAGTCTCTTTCTGTGGGCCAAGAAACCTTGCTCTTTGTCTTGACATCTGTGCCCATAAAATGAAATCACACTGTAGAGATTTCTCAGCACAGAAGAGTTTTTGGTGCTGAGTGAGGATATTTGGCCCTGTTCACATTCAAATCCAGGATAATTTGTTGTTTGTGTGGATTTTCCCATTTTATTTGGCTTTTTTTCCTCCTGAACCTCATTTCCCTGAGGAGCAGGCTATTTTTTAACTGCCTAATCTGTGTATTCTGTTTTGTTTTTTGAAGAGAGCCCAGTACCAGGACAAACTGGCACGGCAGCGCTACGACGAGCAAATGCGACAGCAGGTAGGGATGGTTCCTGCTCTGATCCCGCTGGGAATGGGCTGGGAGCCTTCTTAAATCCAAGAGATGCTCTGGAGCTGTTCCCTGACCTGCTGGGCACAGTTTATCTGTATTATCTGCTCAGCATCAGCAGTGCACATCAAGGGCTGGGCATTAGGACAAAGCATGGAATTAGGAGGAAAAATCTGGGAGATGGGGAGAGGAAAACACACTCAACGTGAGCAGCAGCTTCTTGAAAATATTTGTTGTGATGCCTTGTAAAAGCTGGCTTAGAACAGAGACTGGACAGAGTTAAAGAATAAATCAGGGATTTATTAAAGGATCTCCTCAATGGATCCACCTTGGGCAGCACAAGAGCCCAGCCAGGGCTGCACCCAAGATGAACCAAAATGGTCCCAAAAAATGGATGATTGGTCACAAAATGATCAGTTCTGCTCCATTGGCACCTTGGAGTTCATTGTCCCATTCCAGCTTTAGCCCAGGCAGTCCCACCCTGCTTGTTTTTCTCTCTCCAGCCCACGGTGTTTGTGCTCCTGGGCTGAGATTTGGATCATTTGTCCTTGGTGCCCAGCTGGAGCAGGAATTGTTTTGTCTCTGCTCTGTGCAGAGCTCAGCATCCCCTCATGGGAAGCTCAGAGCCACACACTAAAGCAGCAGAGAATGTGAAAAATAGAAAAGCCAAAACCTGAGATATCAGCACAGAATCTGAAAAATAGAAAAGCCAAACCTGAGGCATCGGTAGAGAACCTGAAAAATAGAAAAGCTAAAACCTCAGGCATCAGTAGCAGTTAAGTTTACACTTGATGGAGTCGTTGCAACACCAACATCTCTTCTGCTGTCATCTCTCCCTGTAGCAACTGGCTAATGAGGAAAATCTGAGGAAGCAGGAGGAATCTGTGCAGAAGCAGGAGGCCATGAGGCGAGGTGAGTGCTTTATTCAGCTGCTGAGGGTGTGAGGGCATGTGGAGTCCTTGTGCTGATCTTTGTGTCCATGCTGTGTTTGAGGTCAGATTGGCAAGAACAGGTAAATCCCAGGAGTGCTAAAATTACCAATTGCTTCCAAGGTTAGTTTTAGAAAGGGCTGCACTCCTAAACATCTGCCCTGGATTTCCCAGTGAACTGTCAGCATCTCCTGGTAGAATAACTGAAATTCTGATTTCATACTGGAACAACCTAAAATAGAACCAGTTTTGAAGAGGAAAGAGAAACAAAACATCTTCTGGGAGGAGTGGTTGAATCTGTATCACCTCATCTCCATTCAGTTTTCCTGCAGAAAATAAAAAAAACTGTGGTGTGAAACTTGCTTAGTTTGTTTTTGTTGTTGGGAATTGCCAGAATTCCTGGGTTTACAGAACTCCACGAGGGTGCAAGTCTCAGAAATGTTAATGTTAATTAGGTTTGGCTGAATGGGATGGGAAGGCTGGTTTGCTCTGAGCACAGATGTGGCCAGCTGTGCTGCCATCCAGTGAAGGAATAAAACAGCCCAGTGGTGAAACCCTGTAGGCTTGGGTTATTTTACTCCAGGATTTCTCATTCATTCTCCTTTCACACAATTCCATGTTTGAAGTAACAGAGCTTCCAAAATTCCCTTCGGGACCGGCAGCTCCGTTTTGCCTCTCTTCCTTCCATTGCACAGCGACTTCCCTGGGCTTTTCCTTCTCCTTGGCATTAAGCCACCCAAAAATTTGCCTTCTCTGCTGCTTTTTTTTACCCAAGCTACCGTGGAGAGGGAGATGGAGCTGCGGCACAAGAACGAGATGCTGCGGGTGGAGGCGGAGGCGCGGGCGCGCGCCAAGGCCGAGCGGGAGAACGCCGACATCATCCGCGAGCAGATCCGCCTCAAGGCCGCCGAGCACCGCCAGACCGTGCTCGAGTCCCTCAAGTGGGTGCAGGCAGGGCCTGGAGCTGCTCCACGTGTGTCCCAGCACGTGGGACAACCTGGGGTTTGGTCCTCTGGTGCTTCTCCAAGTGTGTCCCAGCCTGTGGGAGAACCTGGGCTTTGTTCCTCTTAGGAATTTCAGTCTGGTGCTTCTCCACGTGTGTCCCAGCACGTGGGAGAACCAGGGCTTTGTTCCTCTGGAGCTGCTCCAGGTGTGTCCCAGCTCTTTGGAAAAGCTGGGATTTGTTCCTCTGAGAAATTTCAGCCTGGTGCTTCTCCAAGTGTGTTCCCACATGTGGGAGAACCTGGGGTTCCTCTGAGGAATTTCAGCCTGGTGCTTCTCCAAGTGTGTTCCCACATGTGGGAGAACCTGGGGTTCCTCTGAGGAATTTCAGCCTGGTGCTTCCCCAGGTGTGTTTGAGAGCCTGGGCTTTGTTCCTCTGAGGAATTCCAGTGTTGTGTGAACTCTGTAGCTTGTCTTGCTACATTGTCACCTGAATGGCAACCATGGACATTTACAGTGATACGATTTTTCTAGCAGATTATTTCAAGCCTTGTCCTCTAGTCCTGGAGCTCAGCAGCTCTGAGAACCACTCAGTTCTTTCAGTTGCCCTCAGTTCTTTCAGAACATCCATCACAAAAGTATCATGCAGTTTGGCTCCACAGGGGTGAGTGTTTAGCTTTGGAATTGGTTAATTTTAGTTCCGTTGAGATTTTGAACCAAAAAAGCTTTAGAGTTAAATACCTCCAGTTCAGCACAAATAATGCATTAAAGAAGTAAATTGATACCATCTTAAGACCAGGTGCTTTTCTGGCTTTAATCCCAGCTCAGGTGTAGGCATCAGATGATTATAAATATATTTTCCATGCTTGTTCATGTTCCAATCCTGAGGTGATCCCTTAGCTTTGACTTGTTCTGAAGAAGATTAACAACTTCAATACAGTCTGAAAGCCTGCCTTTAAAATTTATCATTGAATATATTGAAATCCTTTTCTCTCCTGCTTGCCACAGGACAGCTGGGATGCTCTTTGGGGAAGGATTCCGTGCTTTTGTGACAGACTGGGATAAAGTCACAGCCACGGTAAGGTTGGGAAACCTGTCAGTAACTTCCAGAAAAGCCTGTCTGTAAATGTGTGTTAAACTCCTGATTGTGCCACAGCTTTAAATCTAATTTTGATGTAAGCCTAAAGGGCACTTAGAGAACTCTTAAGTATGCTAACTAAATTGATTAAAAGCCAGACCAGCATCTTTTTATAGGATAAAAGAGCTTGGCAGTGGAATCTTGGGGTCATGAAGTTGTTTCTCAGTATAATACTTAGAGCAAAACAACAATGAAAATATATTTTTGGTAGTGTGGCTGGTTAAAATAGAAATTTTGCTTTAAATCAGTCACCACCATCTGCTCCACCCTCTGATTTTATACACACAGGCTGATCCAAAACATCCTTTGCCTGAGAGCTCTGGGGAGGACAAGCCAAGCTTTTAGTGGCTCCTTTTGTCATCTGTACCTGGGGTGTCTGCAGCATTCAGAGCCTTTTGTAGATCAGTGCTTGGTGCTTTGAGCTGTGCATTCACTTGACCCAGATACCAATTTCCTGCATTATGGTCATTTTTGCTTCTGACATGCTCTTCTCTTGTGAATTTGGGACATTTAGCTTAAAAAAAAAAAGAAAATAAAAAGGCGAGTATATTTTTAGAAAGGAGATAACACAGCTGGAACTCATCTTTTCTGTTGCTTTGAAAAGTTTGAAATTACTATAAGGTAAGAACCAGTTAGTTATTTTAAGATTCTTGTAAATGAAGGCTGAATTTTCAGCTCTGTCTATTCTAAGGGCTGCTCATTCTCTACCTTTTCCCAGCCAAGCAGAACCCCAAAGGTTCTACTTCAAATTTTTTGGTTCATTGTGGTTTTAGTGTAATTGACTTTATTTATCAGACACCCATTTTTGCTTGCTACTTTATGACAAATATGTAGACTGTAATCAGACTGATTTTTAGAGTGGGCAGTTGGGTTCTTGTTTGATACAGAATTCATTTTTAAAGCTCTGTGTCTCTGTATCTTGTGACATGAACATCAGTGAAGTCCAAAAGTCTGAGAAAGTGGCCTCAGATCCATCCAGGGAGAGGGAACTTTGTGCTGGATGGTCTAAGAGAGCATGAGATGATGGCACTGCTTTTAGAGGGAGCTGCTAAAAAGGTGAAATCTGTTCTGTGTTCTGTGTCTGAGCTGAACTGGGTGTGGAGATCCCTCACTCTTTGCATCCTGGAGCTCCCAGTTCTGATCCCTTCGTGTTTCCACCCAGAGCAGAAGTGATGTCACACATTTCAGCAGAGTGAGAGCTAGCAGATGGTGCCTCATGCTTTATTGAACAGTGCCATCCTTGTTGTCCTTGAGGCTTTTGACCCTGATCTGTGCTTGCAGGAGAAGTCAGCTTATTTTAAAAGCAATTGCTGCAGTTTGCTCTTTCTCTGATATAAATTATTGGCATCAGCTTTAAGCTGACTCCAAAGTCTGGAGTCTTTCTGCTTCACTGGCAAATTGATGGGAATGGATGATTTTGTGGGGTTTCTGAAGGAACAGCCCAGTAGTGATGGTAATTCCCATTCCCACGGTGGCCATTCCCATTCCCACAGTGGCCATTCCCATTCCCACAGTGGCCATTCCCATTCCCATGGTGGTTTTGGCTTTGTTGCTCCTCTGGAGCCCCTAATTCCCTGTTGTGTTGGGGCTGTCACAGCTGTCACCTTTAGCAGACATTCCCTTTTTGTTCCCCACTGTGCCCTGCCTTGGCATCTGAAATTCAGCTTGCATTTTCTGGTGTGGTCAGGGGCATTCTGGCAGGCAGCACCTGGCTGGTGTGGCTGGTTTATCATCATTGCTCAATTTAGTTGAAAATCTGGACATCCCCACATTTTTTGGCCAGGATGTACTTTTGGATTCAGGACTAAATGCTTCACTTGTGCTTCCTCTGCTTTTTTTTGCTGTGCAAGAGCAGTCAGTGAACAGGGAGTGTGAGACCTTGACTGTCTGAGCAGGGATAAAACACCTTACCAAAAATAAACCCCTCCTGCTCAGCATTTGTCCTGAATCTTAATTCCCCACCACAGGGCAGGCTGCACACAGCAGCACTGCCTTGCCAAGTGTTTTTGCTCATCTTTCCCCCTTTTTTTTTTTTTTTTTTGCAGGTGGCAGGCCTGACCCTCTTGGCAGTGGGGGTTTATTCTGCCAAAAATGCCACAGCTGTAGCAGGGCGCTACATAGAGGCAAGGCTGGGCAAACCCTCCCTGGTGAGGGAAACCTCCCGGATCACGGTGCTGGAGGCTCTGAAACATCCTATCAAGGTAAAATTCCCCTTTGTTTCTGTGTTACACTCAGCAAAACTCAGGCTGGGATTGTCAGTGGGTCTGAATAAACAGAATATTGGAGGTGGAATGGATGGGCCGAGCCCACTGGTATTTTTCTGGAAGATGTTTTGGTCCAAGTGAGTTGTCAAAATGTGGATTTTTTTCTACCTGTGAGTAACTGAATTTGTCCTCTCAAGGTTGGTAAACGTCTCACCAGCAAGGCTCAGGATGCCCTTGAAGGCGTTGTTCTCAGTGTGAGTACTCTGTTTTCCTGTCGTGGGCTGTGAAGGATGACTTTGGATTCTAAATAACAGCTGCTGGTTCCTTAAACTCACTTCTAAAGCTGTAATTCCAGCAGTTTTGGAGTCATAGCACCCTTGGGACACTGAGACCATAAATAAGCTGCTGTGTTCAGTGTGACATGCATTAAGCAGCCTGTTCACCTTTTTTTCCTCTGTGAAGAGCAGTTGGAAGTCTCAGTTCAGTCCTTGCTCTGCTGCAGTTTCTCTCTGTAGTCAGCATGTAAAGATTCAGAATTCCACTTGTGCCATCTGAAGTTAAGGATTACTGAACCCAGACCTGCTTCTAGGCCAAAAAAATCTAAATATTGTGTGCATTTGCCCACTCTGAGATTGGTTCTTAACTTGCTAATTAGTTGTACTTCTGTCTGTTTGCTTCTGGATTTGATTCCTGGCTATCAGGCAAATTTAAGAGCTGTTTGAAGCTGCTGAGAGAAAATGCTCCTGCAGGAATAGCTCTCTCCCAGTATCCCCAAATGCAGTAGTAATATAAATACGAGTTTATGACTTGAGAAGGAGTTAGCACTGCAAAGAGTTGCTTATGTTTTGACATAGCCCTCCCAGGGCATCCATTAGGAAGTGAATATTTAGGTGTTATCTGTTCCTAGAGTAGTCACTGCACTCCTTCCTGCACTGCTGCTTTTTCTTATGAAAGAATTGTAGCCAAGTGGACAGAAAATCAAGTAAATCCTCACATAGGACAGGAAATGACCTTGGTGTGGATCATGAGCAGCTGAAGTTAAGACTTAAAAGCTTGACCCTGGAGTGCTGCCTCCTTCCTGCAGGTACTGATCTGGGAACCTGGTAGGTGCAGCTCTTTTGGTACCTTCTGATCTTTCAATTTAACTCTTTTCTTGCAGCCCCAGCTGGAAGCACGTGTGAGAGACATTGCCATAGCAACAAGAAACACAAAAAAAAACAAAAGCCTGTACAGGAATATTCTGATGTATGGTCCCCCTGGCACTGGAAAAACTCTTTTTGCCAAGGTAAAACCCTGCCAAGATTCTGCCAATCTGCACCTTGCAAAGAGTTCTGAAAATTCCAGGGCCTGAGGAGCCTCCCTGGGCTGGAATTATTGCTGGAGTGTTGCATAAACATTGTGTTCCTGTTGGGGAGGGAGGAAAGGCAGCCTGCCTGCTTCAGCCACTTGGATTCTGGTGCTGAGAGGGGGCAGAGGAGCATTTCCATCTGGGAAAGGCCCTTGGCAACTGGGATTTGTGGGAATCACAGCAGCAGCCACTTCATACCCACCTCTGGTGGCTTTGTGCCCTTGGCTAAATGGCTCTTCCCTGCTCCAGAGCAGACACAGGCATGGTTCCATGTGCTGAGGCACTGCCAGGATGATTTTTAAATGGATTTGAGTCAGAATTTGGTTTTTTCCCTTGCTTTTCGGTGCTTGTCCACAAGACCTGAGGTTTCATCAACTTTTTAACAGTGACAGATTTGCCAAACTGGTGCAAGTTGATTTTTTTTTTCTTACATCAGTACGTGAAGCCCCTACCCCAATAGTTTTCTGAGATTATGGGTCCTACTGGATTTCTAAAACCACCTAGTTTGGGTTTCTGAAGCCAATAGAGATGGACAGAAATGGAAAAAAATAAACAATACACAAGTTAAAATTGCCACAAAGTGATAAAGAACATAAAGAAGCCAGTAACTCCCCTTTTCAAACCAGCACAGTGACAGGACTAAACTGCTTTCATTCCTTCTTCATCCTCCATGGCCTTGCAGTGAAAGAAAAGGTTTAATTTGCTGTTTTTTGTTTCATTGCAGAAATTAGCTGTGCACTCAGGCATGGATTATGCCATCATGACAGGAGGGGACGTGGCCCCCATGGGCAGGGAAGGGGTCACAGCCATGCACAAACTCTTTGACTGGGCCAACACCAGTAGGAGAGGGTAAGTTGAGTGTTGATTTAATCCTCAGTTTGGGTTTTGGCTCAAAAAACCCTCACCACAAACACAACAGTGTAGTTCAGCCCCTCAGTTGCTGTTTTTGAGTGAGGTAACACAGAATCTCCTGAAGTTTTCCTAGAATGGGTGAATCCTTGTTAATTAGTAATATTTCAAAAGCTGGAAACCTTTGCTTTTCTGTTCTCTCAAACCCTTCATACACCAACTTTTCCAGATCAGTCATAATTTGATTGTCTGATCTCACCAAGCAGGAGCAGACTTCCTGCCCACTTGAAAGCTGGGACAAATTTCCTTCAGGGTGATTAATGATCTGACAGTAATTAGAAGATTGGCACAAATCAGGTGTTCACACTCTGGATGTTCCCTGTTGCAACTGCTCAGATTTTAAACACTGATAATATTTAAATCCAGCTTCTGGTTTACTTTTGAGTCTCAAGCAGGAGGAGTGAGTTATAAGAAATAAAAGAGGATAAGGAGGAGATAGATGCTAAAGCTATTGACATCAGGTATAAAAATCACAAACACAAAAAAGAACTGCTTTTTCAGTCACCTTTAAAAGCAAATTTTTATCTGCAGAGATTTCTCACGTTGAGGCTGAATTTTGGCTCCCTGATTTTGTAGGAGTGTGTCGTTAATTTGCTCCTTGCATTGTAAATGGATTTTTGCAGTGCAGAGGTTGCTTGTCCAGCCAGGGTGGTAAAATTCAATATTGAACTTTTCAGGAGGTGTCACTTTAGGTTTTCTGCTGGTTTGGTCTCAGATCTGTAAATGTGACTGCCCGGTGATTTATGTGTTCTCTGATTGCTTGAGATGGACATTATCTTGCACTGTCTCTTTTAATCCTTGCTTCATTCATCACCTAAATCTTTCTATTTCCCTTTACAAAGAAAAAAAAAAAGCAGGGATTTAAAAGCAGGATTTAAATTTTTAAGCTTCTATCCTAAAGAGCTATAGAAGGGAAGGTGTTAGAATTTAAGTGAGAAGTTGGAAGAGATGTGAGGATACTCAGCTGGGTGTTCCCATCAAGGAATTCTTTTACAGCACTGCCTGGGTCTGAATTTCTCTGCCCTAATAAAAATGTTTGTGCATTTCAGCTTTCTGCACTTCCTGATCAAAACTTACACGTGTCCATAAAATCAATATTCTCACCTCCAGTAGCACTGAAGTATTTAAGCATATTTAATTCTGTTAGCTGTTGCCTTTATTAGCTGAAATTGTGATAACAGCCACTTTTCTGCAGAGAATATTTGGGAGAAGCTGGGGGTGGGTGGAAGATGTTCATAGGCCTGAAATCCCCTGGAAGACAGCTGGGTTTGAAGTTAGGCAAGGAGGTAATACAAGCTGTGACAGCTTTATGAGCAACCTGGTTCTGTTATTGATAAACATCTCTACAGGCTCAGTCCCTTGGGAAGAGCACTGCCCTTGGGTTATAAGTGAATTTATTTTGGTGAATAATTCATGGACTTTATTAATTCACTTCTCCACAGGTAGTAAAACCATTACATTAGTGCTGCTGTAGTTTGGAAAAGAAAAACCTCACAAAATAACAAAGCAGGCTGAGGAGAGGACTCTGCTTTTAGCTTTTCAGAGTGGCATAAGGAAGAGAAATGGCAGGGAGGTGTCACTGCCACCAAGTATTCTGTATTGTGCCCTTGCACACATCTCTCTGAAGAGGAGGGAATGCTAAAATACCACTCAGACTTCAGCAGGTGGAAATTTTAAATATCTGCTGCAGCTTGGCAGTAACATCCAGCACTGCCAGCCACAAACTGCAGACTGTGCCTACGAAAACTCCCAGCTAGATTTAGAAATCCACAGGAGTTTAAAGTCATGTGCCTTAGTCTTGCTTCAGTCTGCTTCTGAACAGCAGTACCAGAACTCCAGAGGCCTGGGGGCAGATTTATGGCCTGAGCTGTGTGAAATGAATCAGTTTTTCAGCTGCTGGGCTGGGCCAGGTGCTCCATGGACAGGTTGCTGCAGCTTGAAAAGCTGCCTTAGAAATGAGGTTCCTTGTGCAATCCTTTGGGTGCCTGGCAGTGGGGCAGGAGGATCCTGGAGCCAGCTGAGCTTCTTGGAACCATGAGAATTCCAGCCCTGCTGTGCTGCCAGGCTCTGACCCCCAGGAGAACCCTGCACTGACCTGGGGCCGTGGAGAAGGTTCCAAAATGGAATGGCAGAGCTGGGATTGTGAAGGTGGAGTTTGGAGAGAAGGGTGTGATGGTACAGGGTGGGAAACTCAGAGTTTGGGGTTTTAGAATGTGGTGATACATAGAGAGCAAGATGGATGTTTTAGGGTGAGGGCTGGTCCTTCTTCACCTTTTTCTTCTCCACCTTCTCTTTCTTCTGCTTCTCCTTCTCCTGCTCCTTCTTCCTCTCCTCCTTCTTCCTGTCCTCCTTCACCTCCTTCTCCATGGGTTTAGGTGGTTTTGTGCAATTGGATAAAAAACTCTGCATTGCAGGCCACGTGTGGTTTGTTATTGGGTTAAAAGTAAAAAGGAAGTAAAAAGTAATAAGGAAGAGAAATGGCAGGGAGGTGTTATTTCTTAATTGGACATTTTATCCTTAAAAGGCCTTGTAGAGAGAGAGAGACAGCTCCATTTTTAAGTTTGTTGGAGTGAAGTGCTGCAAAACTCAGCTTTTGTGACACTCTAACATAGATAAGAACTAATAAACATCTGAAAACAAGAAATTCCATCTTGTCCATGGCAAAAAAAGGAGCACAGACTCCCCAAGGCTGAGTTGCTGTCCTGTTACTGTGGGGTGCTTTCCTTTGCAGCCTCTTGCTGTTCGTGGACGAGGCCGACGCGTTCCTGAGGAAAAGGGCCACAGTAAGTGCTTGGTGTGTGTCTGCTCTGCCCTGCTGCACTGCCAGCCTGTGCACTCCGAGCATCTGCCCTCAAAGGGCAAAAAAATTAAAGCTGCCAGGTGCTTCTTTGCTCATCTGATTAACTGATGATCATTTTTTGAATTTTCTTTTAAATACATGTTGCTGCAGGTCCCCAGCTGGGTAATAATTAGCATTGACTTCATGGTTCAGAAGGCTAGATCAACTGCTTTATTATTATATTATTTTATAGTAGATTATATTATACTTACATTATATTACAGTAGCAAGAGCTCTCACTAATACTTACTCAAAAACTTGTGACTCTCTCTCCTGAGGGTCCTGCCACAGCTGTGGATCTGTTTGGTTATTGAATCCAAACACCATCACCAGCGTCTCACCTTGGCTAAACAATCTTCAGAACACATGAGGAGAGATAATAATTGTTTTGATTCTTTCTCCTAACTTTCCCAGGCCAAAGCTTGAGAGAAGTCTCTCTGTTCTCTTTGACTGAGCTGAGAGTTCCATAAATACCTTTTATGTATTCTCAAGACCCTTTGCAGTTTTCTGTCATTTTCTGTCTTTGGGGTCTCATGAACTTGTTGGAACCCATGCAGCTGTAACTGATAATTGCTTGTGTGTAGCTTCTCTGTCCCAGAGGTGCCTGGGAAGAGGTGTTTTTCAAAAATAAATAAATACTTGTAATTTCATTTCATCTAATATCTTGACATAGTCCTAATATTTTAATTAGGGCAAAAAACCCAAACATCCTGAAAGCCTCGCCATTAAAAATCAAAAAACCCTACACTACCTTAAAATATCAAAATCCTCTCTAAAACACATCCCATAAACTAAAATTAAACCCACCTAAGGGAAAATACTTTGGAATAAACAAGTATCACACTATTCATTCACACCCCTCATTAAAACATCTTTATTAAGTATGCTAATTTACAAAATCTATAAAATTGGAGATGTGCTCTACTGTGAATGTACATTTCAGAGTATTCCACCTTAACAAATTGCTGCACCATAAAAACCCTTGTTAAATACCAAGATAAAAACCCTTTATCCCTTAACCATGTCCAACTCTTAATTTTGAGACCAAGGAAAAGGCATCAGTGGCCCAGTCTTGTTGGGGATTTTGCAGCAGGAAAATAGGAAGGAAAGGAGCATTTATTGAAGGTTGTTCATGCTGGTACTTTGCAGGGTTTGGGCTTTGTCCCCACAGATTTTTATCTTTGAAAGTTTTCATTACAAAACTGCTTTTTGCTACATGAACAAAGTTACAGCAGCATCTTCCCCTGTACAAATAATTTGTGCTTCCAGAGTCAGTCACCACATTGTGCATCCAACGTGGACCTGCTACTTCAATCCCAGCTGTGTATTTAAAGACCTAAAAGCTGTGTATTTAAACCTTCTCCAGAAGGTTACTTTGGATGTGTGAGTGAATCCTTTGCTTATTTTCCTGTAATTATCATACTGGAATTCCCAGCTAAAATAGCAGGGAAAGCCACCTGGGCCAGTGGCCAGAGCATTGGGTTTGAAACCAAGAAATCACTGGATAAGTGTGGATAAATCTGTAATCTCTCTCCTGGAAGCCTTTTTTCCTGGGTATATAAATGAATTTTTTTTCCCCCAAGGTGTTACAGTGCTTTGGATTCTGCTGTAATGCAAGTGCTTGACAATATACAAGATTGTCAATAAACAGAATTCTGTTATTTGACAATTCATTTGACAACAAATTATCAATAAACAGAACTCTATTGTCAAGTAACAGAATTCCCTTTGTCCTTAGTGCTGATTAAAGCTCTGACCTCTCTGCAGTCCTCAGCAGCTGATCCTCCTTTGGGTTTCATCTTTGCAGGAGAAAATCAGTGAAGATCTCAGAGCAACTTTGAATGCATTTCTGCACAGAACAGGGCAGCACAGCAACAAGTGAGTACCCAGTTTCAGCAGCTGGTATTTCCCTGAGTTGAGGAGAGTCTTTAAAGGGCTCTGGTGTACAAATGGAAGTTGGAAATGATCTGTGCTGCTGAGGGGTTGAATAAAATCTGCAGAGAATATCCCCCTTTCACTTTATGTGCTTGTTCCTCCTTCAACTTTTCCTGGCACTTGGAAATCAGAACAGAAGGAATTTTTTTTCCCTGAAACTTTGGTGGTATTTGGACATTTTGAGTGTCTTTATGTTTATATTTTCTTTCTCGGCAAGTTACTGTTTATACAGGATCGCAGGAAAATCAGCACTACAAAAATTCAGAGTTATCCTGGCTGGCTGCTTCTTGTTCCCTGGAAAAGTCACTTCAGTGCTGCCTGTGCCTCTCCAGTGACCTCTTCCCATCTTGTGGCTGTGTGGGCAGGAGCTTTGAGGCAGATGAGTTTCCATCTGACTCCTTGTGGGCTCCCAGAGCTGTTCCCTCCTTGCTGAGCACAGAGTGGCAGTGTCACTGTCCCCAGCCCTGCTGACTTTGTCACCTCCATGGGAACTCCCTGCACCCAAAAATCACCCCCAGAGCTCCTCCAAGGCAACTTAACATCAGGGGGAATAAAGAACCATCCCCTGCTTGTCCCTGATTTGCAGGACAAATATTTATTGTGATTATTCTTGCAAATATGAGATAATAATACTGAGCAATTTATAGAGCAACTCCATGGATCATTTCAGAAGGGATCTGCTCTCCTCCCAAAGGGAAAACCAAGGTTCTTTCAGGATCTGCTCAGTTTAACCAAAGCTGTTTCCTGCCTGTCATGATAGAGAGATGACCTTTCCTCCACCTTCCTCAAATCATATTTGGTTTTTTGCTGTGAACTTTACTTAGTTGTTAGAATTTCTCCTGTCACAATTGAGCCAACAAGAAAAGTTGTCTCTAGCTTTGTGTGGGGAAAGTGAGATTTTTAATGATGAACTCCCCTCTGTGAGGCTGGAATGAAAGACTTTTTAAGTAACCTCATGACATTGAAATAAATATCCTGGCAGGTCACTGTTCCAGGATATTTTCTGTCCTTGGGGTCTCTTGAACTTGTTGGAACCCTTGCAGCTGTAACTGATAATTGCTTGTGTGTCTGTCCCAGAGGTGCCTGGCAAGAGGTGTTTTTCTAAAATAGATAAAGTGTTAGAAAGCAAGGTGTTGATCCTGCAAGAACCTTGGTTTTTCCTTTGAGAGGAGAGCAGATCTCTTCTGAAATGATCCATAGAGTTGCTCTATAAATTGCTCAGATAATTATTTTTGTTTCATGATATTTGCAGGAATAATCACAATAAATATTTGTCCTGAAAATCAAGGACAGGCAGGGGATGTTTCTTTATTTCTCCTGATGTTAAATTGCCTTGAGGAGCTCTGGGGGTGCTGAGCTCTCATTTGCAATGAGCAAATTCAGCCCTGAATTCAACCACGAGCCATTCAAGGACACTGAACATGCCCTGGTGATTCATACACTGCTTTTTACTTCTGAGCAGCCTTATTGCTGCTCTGGGCAAGGAGCAGCCCTGCATCCATGAGTGGGAGCTCAGTGGAATGGGTGAAATGGGCTGTGTAAATGGGCTGCTCTGCTGAGACCCTGAGGAGAGCTCTTCCTTTGGCAGGGAATTGTCACCAGCACTGGGAATTGCTGCCTTCAGCTTCCCAAAATCATCTTGTGGGGTAGCTGACTGGCTGAATATCAAGGCTGCATGGCAATCCTTAATTCAGTTTTGTGTTTCTGCAAGTCTTTGTTGGTAGAAAAGCCACAGTCTTGTCTTGGCCAAGTTATCTCCAGAAATGACAGGAGGGAACACGGCCCCTTGTAGCCAATGATTCAGCCAGACAGCAAGAACATCAATATTCCAATAGCTGTGCTTAAAAGCCCATTTCAAATTATTAGGCACTATTAAAGTGGTGACATCAATTAAAGCATTAAAGTATTGGCACAGGGAAGAAGCATCATTACAAAGCAATAAAAAAAAAAGTTTCCAGCTCCAAAATGCAGCAGAACCTGGAGCAGCACATCTGTATCGTGGAGCAGATCCTGGTCTGCACACTTCAGACTGTTCTAAACAGCCCAAAACACATTTTAGTGTGCTGCTTGAGATGCTGTTAAAGCTATTTTTAAGAAATCCAGGGTTTTTTTTATGTGATGAAACATCTTTGATCCCAACCACGGCAGCTCCTGATGTTCAGACTTAGCTCATCGATTTTTAGTTTTATGGCTTTATCAGTCTATCCTTTTTTATTTTTTCCCCATAATTCCAGGTTTATGCTTGTTTTAGCAAGCAACCAGCCTGAGCAGTTTGACTGGGCCATCAATGACAGGATAGATGAGATGGTGAATTTTGACCTGCCCCGGCTGGAGGAGCGCGAGCGGCTCGTCAGGATGTACTTTGACCAGCACGTCCTGAAGCCAGCCACGGAGGGCAAACAGTGAGTACCCCTCACAACTCTCCCACCTTGGAGAATTCTCTTGCTTTTCTTGCTTTTCCTCATCCCCTTTCCTGTGTATTCTGTCTGTGAACCCTCTTTCAGCAAGCAGCACAAGGGTTGGGAGATGCCTCTCGCTGTCTCAATGCGACGCCATCCCAGAGTTTTGTTGTGCCCATAAAATTCAGGAGGCAGTAATGCAAGCAGGAATCTGTAGGAATTCCTGTGGTGTGGCTACACATCAACCAAAGGTTGTTCTGCCTTTCAGGAGGTTGAAGCTGGCCCAGTTTGATTATGGCAAGAAGTGCTCAGAGATTGCCAGGCTGACCGAGGGCATGTCTGGCCGGGAGATCTCCCAGCTTGCTGTGGCATGGCAGGTGAGTGGGGCTCTTCTCCTTCCTCCCTTTTGCCTCCCTCTCCCCCTCCTGGGAGGTTTGAGGGTTTGATTCTGGAGTCTCAGATCATCTCTCCCTTTGAAAGTTTCCTTTGTCCATAGGGTGGTACCAGATCACTGCTGCCTCTGGGGTGGGTGTTGGAATATCACCATAATTCCTCATCCCATGCATAGGAGCAGTTTTGATTATCCCTAATGGGAAATCCCTGATGGAATTTAGGTCAAGCAGGTGAGTTTGGGGTCAGTTTGGGCAGCCCATGCTGGCCACACTCATGGTGAAGCTCAGCAGAAGAGATGCCTGATGTTGGTGCCCTCATTAGGGCACTAAACCTTCCTCCTTCTCTCCTTTCTTCCAAACCCTTTCGGTGCAACTTGAGCTATGAAAGGAACAAAACTAACTGAAAAAAAAATAGATATTTCTTCCATACATAAAAATAAGAAATGCAGTCACTTGGAGTACAATTATTCACATGCTTAGCAAGCTTTAGCGTTTTTGGGTTTTTTTGGTTTTTTTTTTAATTAGGTTTTAACCTTGTTTTGTCACAGCTGCCAGTTCCTTACTGGATTGTGTATTTTCATAAACTAACCTAGAAATATCAACTGAAGGAATGTGCTCCAATTTGTGTGTCATGTAACCTACTCATGTCAGCTTCCTTTCACGGATTGTAAAAACAAAGTGGCTTTTTGTTTAGTTCTTAAATTTTTAATTTAGTTTAGCAGCTCACAAACAGCTATCTAAATTTGTACATTTCATTCCTTCTACTGTGGATTTTCCACCTTTTAAGGGACAGAAATATTTATCCTTTCTAGTATAAATTAATTTCAGTTGCAGCAGTCATGAGCTGAGGTCCAATTTGAGTGCAGTTAGTTATTTTATTCTTTGGTGGCACACAGTTGGTTAATTTTCCTGTATAATTTTTGTGATATTGAATCATATTTCAAAATGTGTGCTGTCATCTGCCCCACATATGTGAAAGGCTTTGCTGCCAACTATTTCCTCTAATAAAAAGCTGTGATAAATGATGTTTTGCTTTTTATCACCCCTTATCAGCAAGTTTGTCATTTCTCCCCAGGAATGACCTCAGCTTTTATCATTTATCCTTTAAGTGCTGGTGAAGGAAGGAAAAAGGTGGGGGTGACTAATTTTCCCTGACAGCTTTTAAAAATGTACCTTGTGCTGCCAGCACTATTAACAAGGTTGGATGTAAAATTGCAGCAGGAAGTTGTTGTGCTCCTCTCTGCTCTCATGAAACACCCAAAGAGCTTTAAATAAAAAAACACTCAGGAGAGGGGAGTGGGGAGAAATATTTGAGTTGGTTGGATGTGGCAAGAAACTTCATCTGTGTTAAAATGAAAGTTAAAGTTCAAATCAAAGTTAAAAATAAAGGGACCTCATTTTTTTCTTGGTCAGGAAGGGGAGGGGGACATGCCAACCAGGGACTGGACATGTGGACATGAGGGAATCCAGGCTGGGCTGAGAATTGTCCTTTTTCCATCACTTGTGATGCCTCAAGGTTTTAGGTTTTCTATTTTTCATCTATTTGTAGTCCTGCAGTTCGTAAGTGTAGAACTCAACTCCATGGACAGTGTGAGCTGCTCTTTCCCATTCTGGGCAGACACAGCAATTCCTCTCCAGACCTGGCAACCAAGGACACCTCACTGCCTCAGGCCCCAAAAAAAGTTAAACAAAAATGAGTTTGGGAGAGCAAACTTGGGGTAAATTCCTTCATTACCTGAAGCTGTAATTGGAAGATTAATCCCCCAATATGCAAATGGACCAAACTTATAAAAATATGAGAATCTGTGACTTGTTGTCCCTTTTTTGGATGAGGAATTTGGAGCTGCTGTTCCTGCCAGGAACCTTGGCAGGATGTGTCCCCCCTGCCTTTGGGTTTTTCTGTGTGAAGCCCCTCAGCAGCTTTGGGGATTTTAGGCCCTGTTTTAGCACTGGTGACTCGTTGTAGCATCAGGGAAGCTTTAAAGCTGCAGTTTTCAAGCCTTTCTGGCAGTATTTTCCTGCCTCCAATTCCTGCCTTCCTGCTCTCCTTCCCGTGGTGCTGGTGCACCCCTGTGGATGGCTGTGCTCTGAACTGGGTCAGGGAGCTGAGCAGAGTTAAAAATAGCTTGGCAAGATGAGTTAACTGCATAGCTACGGTGCTCAGGGTAGGTGGGAGCTGCAGGGACCAGGAACTGACTCCAAAAAACCCTCACCAGGCTGGATGCAGCAGCTTAGGGTGCTTAGACACTGTATTTCTTATATCAAGATCTCATTTTTGGTCTTTTAATTCCCTTTTAATTCAAGGTGCTGCCTGCTAAAGGTGGGAAATAATCTGATTACAGAATAGCCTGAGCTGAGAAAAACCCACAGGGATCATCCAGGTCCATCTCTGGGCCCTGCAGGGCTCAAACCCCATAACCCCACCCTGTGCCTGCTGTGAGCAGCCCCTTTCTGAGTGCACACCTGAGGCTCAAGCCTGAGCACAGGAAGCTTTGTGTGGCCCTGATGGAGTTTGGAGCTTCTGGGATCATCTTCCCTTCCCAGAACTGGATCCCAGAGATGGTTTTGGGGAAATTCTGAAGCTTTGGGGGGTGAAAGCATCACAAGCATCAGCTCTTCGCTGAGCCAGCAGCAGTGGCCACTCTGTCCTGTGCCCTTGCAGTGAGTTCCCACGAGGATTTTCCTGCCAAAAATGCCTTTAAAAACCATCTCGGTTAAACTGAGAAGTATCTGCAGCTTTCAGAGGCTTAACTCCACCATAAACTGGATTTGGGATGTGTTGGCTGTCACTTACATGACGTTCTAACCCACTGCTGTTTGTCTGGCTCTGGCTGTCCTGAATTTACCAACAGGAGAAAAAACCAAGATGCAGAGAAGCCAAGAGTGTAACCTCTAGCACTGGGAAAAATATTGCTGTCTGGCACAGCTAAGAGTGTGCGTGCTGAAAATCCATTTTAATCTCTTCTGCTGAAGTCTGAGCATTCCCTTTTGTCCTTGTGCTTTTCCATTGCCCTTTATGGCTCTAGCATGGACTCGATGCATTTTCACCTTAAAAATTCCCCTCAGCTCTGTTTCTAGTTGTGTTTCTGATGTTCTTTAGATAAAATGTCAAAACCTAAAAGCAACCTTTCACTATTCCAAGCTGTAATCTTGGAAAACTCTTCTGGCACCACTTCAGGAGAATTCCCAGGAGTTTTATATCCCAGTGTGAGTTTCCTGTCATTTCCTTGCCTTTATGCCACTGACATAAATGCTTTTTTATTTTTTGCTCCCTGAACCTTGTTTATGTTTTAAAAATAGCTGTTGTATTTTTGTATTTTTTTTTTCATCAGGCTATTTTCATTATAAATGGGATTTAAATGACACAGATGAGTCTGGCCAGGTTAAAATAAACCACAAGTCTTGGCTGAAATGAAACATGAGGTCATTCAGCATGGACTTGTCATTGTTCCATCCTCACCAAACAAAACCATTTCATAATTGGGTTTGAGGGATAAAACAGGAATTGCTGCACTGGAGAAAAAGGGTTAAAACTCGCCCATGCAGCAGGCAGAGGTATGAATATAAATGAAGCTTGGTACCATTTTTATGTGTGTGCAAGCTACTCCCAGAAGGGGCAGCTGCTTCTCCCATTTGCTTTTTTGACAGCGAGGGCCTAAGGCTTTCTAAAAATAGAAAGTCATTGAGAAAATCAGCAGAGCATGAACTGCACAGCTTTGCAGGAGGTTCCACCCTGGGCTGGATGGGCTGTGCAGTGCCAGGGAGGAGGGCAGGCCAGGCATCCTTCCTCTCTCAGCCCTGCAAGCACAAAAATGCCTCCCAGGAAAGCTCTTTCTTCATTTTCAAACACCCCACCAGGGCTGTGGGGTATTTTTATTAAAAAATAAAAATGTAAAGGGAGTGAGTGAGGTCTGAATAAAATCTTTCCAGTGTTCCCCTCTTTTGCAGAGAGGACAGGAGGGCTTGGCAGAGGTGCTCTGGGAATATTTGGCAGGTTGTGGCAGCCCCAGTGCTGAGGATCCTGCTCAGGCAGTGAGAGCAGCACAAGAACCTTTGAGAAGAAATAAATAAATAGAGAATAAATAATAATAAATGGTGAATTCTCTATTTACAGACCTGCTCCTTCTCTGCACTCCCTCCCTGAGGCCAGGCTTTACTCCTGGTTTTAAGCAGAAGCACAGCCTGCCTGGAGGAAGGATTGCAAAGGGTTTGCAGAGGGAATGGATTTGATGGTGCTGACAGGAAAAACCAGCACCTGCCAGCTCTTCTGGGCTGTGCAGTGAGACCTTTTGTGGTCCAACCACCCAAAAAAAGGTCTGGAAATAGGTTAGAGGAGCCTGCAAACCAACCTGGGTGACTTTTGCTTATTGCTGGAAATAATTTTTCCTCCTGCAGTGAGGTATTTCTCCTTCCATCTCCTCACTGGTGTAATAGGCAGCTCTAACCTCAGCACTGGGGTGGTGGCAGAGCAACAGCTCATCCTGGGCTTTGTCTTCTGCCCCATGGGCATCCCTGAGCAGGAGAGGTGTAAAAGGGTCACACTTGAGTTTGTTCCTGTGCTGCTTTTGCTGTCAGACACGTTCCTTGCTGGAATTGATGTTTTGCACCATCAATAATTGACGGAGCCTGTGTGTGATGCCTCAGAATCACTGCAGTGAGCTGTGAAATCAGAGTTAGTGCTCCTCACTGGGACAGGGCACAGAAGGGCTGGCACCTGCCAATCCAGGACCTGGGGAGAAGTTTGGGGCCCTTAGGGCCAGGCAGGGTGGATGTGGGGAGCTGCAGGGCTCCCACCCCTCATCCCAATCCCTGTGCAGCCTGGGGATCTGTAAAACCAGAGAATCCCTGTGCAGCCAAGGAATCTCTGTGCAGCCAGGGGATCTCTCTCCAGCCAAGGAATCTCTCTCCAGCCAAGGAATCTCTCTCCAGCCAAGCTCCCTCATTCCCTGAGCTGCTCACGGGAGCACTTGCAGAGGGAGGAACCAGATTTAGAAATCTGCAGCTCGGGGGCTGCTCTGTTACCTTGGAGATGGGTGCAGCTGACAGCACAAGCATCCTTCCCTCGTGTGCTGTGCTGGCATCTGCAGGGTGGCCAGGCTGAGCCCCAGCTGTCCTGCGTGTCCCCTGCACAAGGGACAGTCCCTGTGCTGCCTCACAGGCCTGTTCCCCGTGTGGGCTGTGGGACAAGGGTGGCAGAACTGGCAGCCCTTTCCCCAAGGAGCTGTGGTCACATTTGAGGTTCCTGAGGGAGTGCATGAGGAAAGCAGGATAAGGCACATTAAACATCATTTCAGAGGCACCACGTTGCCCGTGTTACCCCCAGCACTGCTGTTTGTTCTGCTGTGAAAGTGTTTAAATGATTTTCTGTTGCTTTGGATGGAGTTGTTCCATCACCCCCCTGCACCCACCTCTCTTCACCTTGTTGGCTTCACACGTGCAGCTCTTTTAGAGCAGGAGAGGAAATTTAAAGGAGCCAAGTGTGGGTTTTTTATTCTGCAAACAAGGGCTTGGATTCCCAGCAAATCCAGAGGCGGGCAGAGCTCCGTGCTGGTGATCTCTGCGCAATGAGAGCGCTGTGGGGGAAATCACACATGGAGAAGGGAACAGCAGGGAGGGAGCAGTCTGAGATGTCCCCTGATCCTGGCACATGCCATCCCTGCGCTGTCTGAGGTGTCCTTGTCCCCACAGGCAGCAGCCTACGCCTCGGAGGACGGCGTGCTGACCGAGGCCATGATGGACGCCCGCGTGGCCGACGCGGTGCAGCAGCACCGGCAGAAGATGGAGTGGCTGAAAACAGAAGGTGCTGAAGCCAACAAAGAGACTGCCAGGAACCCCCTGCTGCCTTTCCCCAAAGGGACACCAGTGTGAGAAACCTGCAGGCTTCACCTGAGGAGAGGAAAAAAAGGCAAAGGTTTGGTGGCGTCGCCCGTGGAGAGCAGCCCGTGGTGCCAGGGAGGGGCTGCTGCCTCAGCCTGCCGTGGCTCTCGTGGTTTTAAAGTGCACCAGAAAAACAAAATGGGTTCAAAAAGGCAGAAGCAACTGAATTTATTAAAGGACCCCTTGGTGAAATACCACTGGCTGTGTTGGTCTCTGTGGCCTGACCCAAAATCCTTCTGGGGTTTCTGCAGTGTCCCAGCACCCAGGGCCTGTGGGAACCTGGGGATTGTCCAAACCTGACACTCCCATATATTTAAATCTGTGGGGTTTGTGCTCCAGCAGAGGCATTTCTCACCCTTTTATCCCCAGATCCTGCCCGTGACACAGCTCCCTGCTCACTTCAGTTGCCCTTCAGGGTAATTTTTTCTTAGAAATATGGATTTGGGGAGGGATTCACTGCTTGAGTTGGAGTTAACACAAGTGGTCTGTGAGCAGCCCCACATATTTTTCCCCTAAGTAAACCTCTTTTCTTCATGGAGAGGTGAGTTTGGGGCACACAGATGTAGCATGGTCTGAAGAAAGAGATGAGTGGGGCTTGTTTGCTCCCACTGCTGCCATCAAGCTGCTCTTGCCACACAAGTTTTCTACTGCATTTCTGAAACAGCTGAGAAAATGTTCCATTGTCAAGCCCTGAACACGAGCCTGTCTTGATGAGATGACATTTGTTCTTCTGTGCATATGAGAGACAGCTTAGAAAATCTCCTGATTCTTTTTTTTTTTCTGTTTTGAACTGGATTTGAACTCTGTGCTCTGCTCTGAGGCCTCTTCTGTAGCTACACAGCTCCAGCTCGTTGGCCTGACCTAGATCTGTGCCCTTGAGTACCTTGCTGAGCTGTTCTCCTCACCCAGGAGCTGCTGAGCTCAGGAGCAGAGCCCTGGCCTTGTGGTGAAGGTGGAGCTGTAGCCCTGTGGTGTAGGAATGTGTCCCCTGTTGATGGAGTAAACAAGTTACCCTTTGTCTCCTTAAAAAGGATAAAAACCCAGAAATTTCTCTCCTCAATTTGGTTAAAAGACACCTTGTAGCACCTCAAGGACTTCACCTCGAATTTAAGGACACCCAATTGGACAGAAGCCAAAAAGTCCAGCCTAAGCAATTCACTAGAAAAGAAGAGAACAAAAGAAATAAATTGCTTTTGTGAAGCGTTTTAGCAGGAGCAAGAACCTCTTGCCCTGGCTCTGTTTTTCTCTGTAAAGAGCTTTTTATTTTGCCTTTTATTAAAACTTTTTTGTATCCAGGAGATGGGAGCTGAGCAGAGCCACTGCTAAACTCCCCTTCCAAGGAATGATTTTAGGGAGATCTGCTCGTGTGATTCCAATCCCTGATTGTGTCATACACCTGCAATTCCTTCCCCAGGCAAAAGTAAAGTAGGTTTAAAATTTTAAGAGGGTATAAGGAGAAATTTGTTATTAGAAATTAAAAGAAAGAGCAGTAAGAATTAGAATAAAATTTTTAGATTTTTTTTAATAAGAAAAAATATAGGTTTTTGATGGTTTTAAAATTTTTTATGAATAGTTGTTATCTGGGGAAATCTACACTTGTGAAGTTTTTTTTATAGTAAGTTGTGTTTAATGGGTTATGTTAATTTATGGGGTATTGTTTTAATGACAGTGCAGATTTCAGTCCTGCTGGAATGGGAAATTTTCCCACTTTTTCTTCTCTGTGCCAAAGGCCTGAGTTTCCTGTGCTTTTCCTGCCCTTCCAGGCAATGGGCACAGGAGGCTCAGGCTCCTCTCTGCAGAATTGAACAGTGAAATATTTTGCTTTAAAATCACTTTTGGATCTTGGAGCTTCCCTGTTTTCCCAGCCAGGAGGAGCCAAATGGGTGAAAATCTGTCCCAGAACCTGGGAGGATCCCACAGCCCTTCCTCAGAGCTCAGGCCAGCTCTCCCCACACCTTGCCAGCCTTGTTTGCACCTCCTCCTGTCACCCCCCTGCCCAAAAACCGGGGAGCTGCTGCTCTGGGCTGCCCCAATTTTGGAAAGGGTTCAAAGGGTTGGAAAAAACACTCGGATGCAAAACATGCAAAAAACTATTTTACTGACAAACAGCAAAGGATGGGCTTAGTTCCAGGAGCTGAACTGGTTCTCTATTATACAAACATCTTCTTGAAAGGGAAGGAATGGCTGAAATACACTCACTTATTGACCCAAATAAAATCACAGTGTGCTTTTTCTATTGCCTCCCCTGCCCCAAGCTCTCTGCACCTTCAGCACAGCTGCCACCCCTCCAGCCACTCGAGAGCACAAAGCCCTGGGTGAAATCTGCCTCTGCAAGTGTATTTAATAAAAAAAATTCGCCATTATTGCTTTACAACCACAGTCGAGATGATTCTGTGATTAGACTCGGAGCAGAGTTTAATCTCTCTCTCTCTCTGGGCTGTGCCTCTCCCTGCCTGATGCATGCAGAAGTGGTTTGGGGGCAGGATGAAAGAAAAGAAGGATGAACAATTGGGGAAATCAGCACTCCAGGCTCTGTCCTGGTGTTTCACGAGTGAAAAACCTCCCTGGAGTGAGTGCAGGGCTCCCTGTGCCTCAGGGAGAGCTGGGGCTGAGCCCCCAGGGTCACCCTGGTGGGAACCCAGCAGAAATGGGAACCCCTTTGGAGCAGGGATGGGATAGGGGAACCCCTTTGGAGCAGAAATGGGATGGGGGAACCCCTTTGGAGCAGGGATGGGATAGGGGAACCCCTTTGGAGCAGAAATGGGATGGGGGAACCCCTTTGGAGCAGAGATGGAATAGGGGAACCCCTTTGGAGCAGAAAAGAGAGCAAGTGGGTGGAGGGACAGGCTCCATGCAGGGGCACGGACACACAGCAGGGTCCCTTCTCTTCTTCCTTCTCCTCTTCTTCCTCTCTCCTTCCTCTTCGCTTCCCTCTCTGCTTCCCATTCCTCTTCCTCTTCTTCCTCTTCTCTGCACCCCAAAACCAGCTGCAGTACCCCCAAACCAGCTGTAACACCCCAAACCCCAACTGTAACACCCCAAAACTCAGCTGTAACACCCCAAACCTGCTGCCTCCTTCACCTTCTGCTTCTCTGGGGGCCTTGGCACCTCGTTCCCCAAAGAGGAGACAGCTCAGACCTGTGGCTTTTGGGAAAAACTCTCCTATTTTTGGGGTTTTTAGGGTATTTTTGATGTCCTTGCTCAGGAGTTTGATGCCATCCCAGATCTGCTGGGTCGGGATTTCCTCCCTGCACAGGAAGGAATTTTGGCCTTCAAATATTGGCCCACAAAACTTGTCTGGTTTCCCTGGATTAAAGTGAATTGTTCCCAGTAAATTTAATTGCACTGAGAATATTTCTTATTTTGGTTTGGTTTGGCTTTTTTTTTTTTTGCCAAAATTTGAACAAGAAAGCAGTTCAAAAGGCTCCAGACCCAGCAGATTTTTTTAAATCTGTTTTTTTTACAACAGGAACATTTTTATTATGTAGAATTTTTTTCCCCCCTCTTCCAGAACCTCAAATTTTTATGGAATTTTGCCATGGATCAGCCAGATCAAACTTAACAGGTGTGAGCCATCACTTCACCCTTTCCATCTGTTTCATTTTTAATATTTCAGCCAAGCTCAGCTGCTAGAGCAGGGCAGAGCCAGGCTTTACATTCAGTCTGAACTTAGATCAGTAGGAAAATTCATTTTAAAGTCCCTTTTTCCCCCGCTTTTGTTTGGTTTTTTTTTATATAACCAGTTCCAGGGACTCAATATTTGGTTTTTTTTTATCCCAATGGAATTTTCACCCCTACAAAATGTTGTCCCCACTTGTTGATAACACAGTCCCTGCTCTTCCCTGCTCAAAGAAAAGTCATTCCTTAGATCCTAAGGAATTTTGGACATCACAGCCAGGAATGACAGACAAACAGACACAAATATGGACCAGGCAATGATTCAGGCCCAGAAAGAACCTGGGGCTCCAAGACAAGAGGCACTAGGGAATAACAAAAGTGGGAATGGCAGAAAAATGGGAATATTTGGGCAGTTTTGGGGCTTGTAATTAACTGAAGTGGGTGTAGAAAATTAACAAAACAACCCCAAGACACAGAAACTGGAGCAGGGAGGGAAGAGCAGGAGTTGTGGCCACTGAGAGTGCCAAGGAATCCATGGGAAAATAAAAAAAAAAAAAGGAGATTTTTCTGGCAATGCTCAGCATCCTTCAGTTCTGGGTGTTTTCCCCATTTTTGCACACAAAATGTGACAGGAGGGGAAGTGCTGAGGGTTGGGGGCTCTCAGACTCCTGGGGATGGCATTTCCCTCCTTTATTTATCCCTGCTAACAAATCCTCTCTCCCCTGCCCAGCCAGCACCAGGACAAGGCCCCAGCCACCCCCTGGCCCTACAGCTCCTCCAGGCCCCTCTGCTGGCCCTAAAGGAGGTTTTTGGGGTTTTTGGGACACTGCTTTCAGAGCCTTGATCCCACCCAGCCCTCAAAACCCAAACACCAGGAGCAGCACATGCAAAACCACTTGGGAGCCTCCTCACAGTGTGACAGCCTTGGGGACATTTGGGATGTCTGGAGAGGAATTTGGGGTTGGTCTTTCCGTGTCCCACAAGTCCAGCCCCACAAAAAAGGGGTGCTGGATGTGCAGCAGGAGTGAGGCTGCTCAGGGCTCCCTCTGTGCTGCACTTTGGGGTTTTGGGGTGTTTTATCCAGGCTCACCCTGCTCAGGGCCCCCTCTGTGCTGCACTTTGGGGGTTTTGGGGTTTTGGGGTGTTTTATCCAGGCTCACCCTGCTCAGGGCTCCCTCTGTGCTGCACTTTGGGGTTTTGGGGTGTTTTAACCAGGCTCGCCCTGCTCAGGACTCTCTCTGTGCTGCTCTCTGGGTTTTTTGGGGTTTTGGGGTGTTTTATCCAGGCTCACTCTGCTCAGGGCTCCCTCTGTGCTGCACTTTGGGGTGTTTTATCCATGCTCGCCCTGCTCAGGGCTCCCTCTGTGCTGCATTTGGGGTTTTAGGGTGTTTTAACCAGGCTCACCCTGCTCAGGGCTCCCTCTGTGCTGCACTCTGGGGTTTTTGGGGTGTTTTAACCAGGCTCACTCTGTTCAGGGCTCCCTCTGTGCTGCACTTTGGGGTTTTAGGGTGTTTTATCCAGGCTCACTCTGCTCAGGACCTCGTCTGTGCTGCTCTCTGGAGTTTTTGGGGTTTTGGGGTGTTTTATCCAGGCTCACTCTGCTCAGGGCTCCCTCTGTGCTGCACTTTGGGGTTTTGGGGTGTTTTAATCTGACAAGTCAGATCTGACACATCCCACCCTCCTCTAGTGAAGGACAGCAGCCCTGCCACCACCAAAGGTGCCACCAAAGGTGCCACCAGAGCAGCAGCAGCACCCCACTGCCCTGGCTCTGAGCTCAGGTTCCTTAAGGCAGCTTTCAGGGGACAGCAAAGCAAAGAACAATCCCAGAGCCATTCCAGCCCTTCCTCCCCAGGAGGGAACCAGAGAAAAACCCGAGCAGGGGCCGCTGTGCCTGCCCCCCATCCAAACCTGAGAGCGGCCAGGCAAAGGAGCAGAGAACCTTTGGGGGCTGGAGCTCCTGGAGGAGACACTCTGCATCTTCTCGCTGCTGTCCCACCTCCATCCAACATTCCAGCAGCCAGGAAAATGGGGGGAGGGGGGTTGAAAGTATAATGCAAATCTCTTTTCTCTCTCTCTCTTTTTTTTTTTGTTGTTTTTTTTACATATTTACACGAGTCTGACAATAAAATGTGGAACACAGTGCAAAGTCTTGGCTGCAGAGCATCCAGGACTGGCTTGAGTTGTGCATCGTGGCGTGTCCACCCGTGGACAGCCGGGATGGATCCCGAAATTCCGTGTCCTCAGCTGGCTTGGGAGCGAGCCAGAGGCTGTTCCCAGGAGGAAGAGGAGTCCTGTGTGTGTTTAAAAGCTGGCCGCAGTCCCGGAGCGGGTCCCTCAGAGGTGCCGCGGGCTGGGGTGCCCGTTGTGGTACAGCTTCTGTTTGATGTGCACCATGTTCCCGGTGGCCTCCTCGTACTGCCGGTGGTGGCGCTTCCGCAGCTCCTTCAGGTTGCAGAATTTGGGGATCCAGGACCAGGAGTTGTCTGCAAGGCAGGAGGAGAGGGCGGGTGAAGGTTGTGGGGACACCCAAAGGGAGAGCGCCCCTGAGGGCCTCAGGGATGGGGGCAGAGCTCCTGTTCCACCTCCTCCTCCTCCACCTACACCTCCTCCACCTACACCTCCACCTCTACCTCCTCTACTCCACCTCCATCTCCACCTCCTCTACTCCACCTCCTCCTCCACCTACACCTCCACCTTCACCTCCTCTACTCCACCTCCATCTCCACCTCCTCTACTCCACCTCCTCCTCCACCTACACCTCCACCTTCACCTCCACCTCCTTCACCTCCACCTCCTCCTCCTCCTCCTCCACCTCCACCTCCTCCACCTCTTCACCCTCCTCCTCCTCCTCCTCCTCCCAGCTGCCGCCACCCCCAGAGGGAAGCAGATGTGGAGAGAATTCCCAAAGTTGAGAATTCATTTTACACCTGAACTGGAAGAGCTTTACCAAATCAATTTATAGACATGAATTATGAATACATTAATACACTAATATATCACTATGTCACTTTATCAATATATCACTATATCAATATATTAATATATCAATATATCAGTATATCAATATATCAATACATCAATATATTAATATCACAATATATCACTATATCAATATATCACTATATCAATATATTAATATCTCACTATATCAATATATTAATATATCAATACATCAATATATTTATATCTCAATATATCACTATATATTGATATAGTAATATATATATTGATATATATATCAATATATATTATATATTGATATAGTAATATATTGATCTAATATATTGATATATATTATATATTTATGTATATTAATGTATTATAATAATATATTATATATATTAATTGTAATATATATTGATCAATATATTACTATATCAATATATCATTATATCACTATATCAATATTTCTATATATTAATATATCAATACATCAATATAGCAATACATCAATATATAAATATATCACTATATTAGTATATCACTATATCAATACATCAATATAGTAATGTATAAATATATTGCTATAATAACATAATAAAAAATATAAATAGTGAATATTTCGGTTCATTGGCCAAGCCTTTTATAAAGCCTTAAAATGGGTGTACACAGGGAAAAAAAAATGAAACAAAAGATATCAGTGAGTTGAAATACTAAATTAATTGCTAAATAAATAAATAAATAAATAATTGCTAAATATAAAATAGTAAATTAACTACTAAAAATTAAAAATACTAAATAATGACTAAAAATAGTAAATTAATTACTAAAAGAATACTAAATGATGACTAAAAATAAAATACCAAATTAATGACTAAAAATAAAAAATAGTAAATAATGACTAAAAATAAAATTCCAAATTACTAAAAATAAAAAAAATACTAAATAATCACTAAAAATACTAAATAATGACTAAAAATAAAATACCACATGAATGACTAAAAATAAAAAATTACTAAACAATAACTAAAAAAAGACCAAATTAATGGCTAAAAATAAAAAATACTAAATAATGACTAAATATAAAATGCCAAATGAGTGACTAACAGGGGTTGGCCTGGAGAGCTCCCGGCAGCCCCGCTCTGATCTCTGTGAAAATCGGGATCACAGCCCCAAAATCGCTCCTGAGAAGCTCCAAAATCAGGAAAATCCCCCAGGAAAAGCAGCAGCAGCAGAGCCCCGGGAGAATCCGGACTCACCGAGGCCGTTTGGGAAGATTAATGGGAAATTAATATCATTTTTATCTGAGTTTTGAGAAATAAAGAGTCCACGGCCGTAATTGGAATTTCCAGTCATTCTCTACTTTAATGCATTTTCCTGACATTTTTTTTTGGAAATGCACGGGGCAGAGGAGCCTCTGAAGGAGCTGCTGGTCCTTCTCGGGGTGATAATTCAGATTTTGGCTGCTCCAAAGCGTTGTGCCCAAGCCTGTCCCCCATGGGGCTGATGGCACAGCTGGACAAAAACCTCTCCACAGCTGGTCAGGGATGAGGGGTGGGAAGGGATGGAAGTGGAAATGTGGGAATGGAAATATGGAAATGGAAATATGAAAATGGAAATGGAAATATGGAAATGGAAATATGGAAATATGGAAATATGGAAATATGGAAATGGAAATGGAAATATGGAAATGGAAATGGAAATGGAAATGGAAATGGAAATGGAAATGGAAATGGAAATATGAAAAGGAGGAGAAAGAGGAGAAGATGAGAAGAAAGAGGAGATGAGGAGGAAGAGGAGGAGGAGGAGGAAGAGGAAGAGGAAGAGAAAGAGGAAGAGGAAGGGGAAGGGGAAGGGGAAGGGGAAGGGGAAGGGGAGAAGATGTGAAGAAAGAAGAGAAGATGAGGAGGAAGAGGATGAGGAAGATGAGAAGATGAGAAGCAAGAGGAGGAGGAAGAGGAGGAGGAAGAGAAAGAGGAAGATGAGAAGATGTGAAGAAAGCGGAGGAGGAAGAGGATGAGAAAGAGGAAGAAGAGGACCAAGATAAGGAGGAAGAGGAGAAGATGAGAAGAAAGAAGAGAAGATGAGGAGGAAGAGGATGAGGAAGATGAGAAGATGAGAAGCAAGAGGAGGAAGAAGAGGAGGAAGAGGAAGAAGAGGACAAAGAGAAGGAGGAAGAGGAAGAGGAGAAGACGAGAAGAAAGAAGAGAAGAGGAGGAGGAAGAGGAGGACAATGGGGAGGAAGAGCAGCACCCACCATAGCGCCGGCTGGTCCGCCAGGCGCGCACGGCGTAGTGCAGCACCCCGTCCATCCACACCAGGAACCAGCTGATGCAGAAGCCCAGCAGCAGCCCCAGCATCAGGTCGATCTCCTGCTTGGTGACGTTGTCAGTCACAAAGTAATTCTCCGAGGAGTCCACCACCGACTGGTCCCCGTCGTAGGGGATGACATAATGCACGTGGTGCCTGGGAACGGGGCAGGAACGGGGCAGAAACGGGGAAAAGTCAGTGCAGGTTCTTCTGGCAGGGTCAGTTTATGGGGACCCCAACAGTGTCAATTCCTTTTCCCAGCCCGTGACACCATAGCAGCTGGAATTGTCCAATTGTGTCTCCAAGGTTGTTTCTTTTCCCTTCTCTGTAACATTCCTTCTCTGACCTGCCGAGCCCTGTCCTCAAATGCAGCCTGTCAATCCACCTCAAGCAGCTCCCACATTATAAATCCAAAACTACGTGTCTGTATTTACAATTTTGTGCCAATTCCCATCACCTCTGTTAGACTGTGAATCTCTGCTTTAAACCAACAGAAAAGTGCCACCATCACACCAAGACATGGACAACAAGAAGAAGGAGAAAAAGGCAAAGACACACCCAAATTCCTCCACCTTGACCCCCTGAATTATATTCTAAAAAACCCCAAAATTCTACTTTTCCACCCTACGTTAATTCAAACATCACACTACTCAAATCCTTGTGGCTTGTAATTCTCCGTACAAAGTTGGCGGTTTTTTCCACAGGCTAAAATCGAATTTTGACTTCATGCCAAGGTCTCTGAGCCCCCTGCCAGGGTCTGGAGCAGCCAGAGGGATGTGCTGGACTCGGACATTCTTCTTTTGCTTCTCTTCCCCATCCCTCCCTATCAGAAATCAGGGGACCCCTGACGGGAAGAAATGCTGATTTCTGTTCCAGGTCAAGAGTCTGAAGGATCTGCTTTATTACAACCATATTATATTAAATTAATATGCTATTTAAAGAGAGATCTCTCTGCTTTTGTGTCTCACAAAGGGGGTGGGACCCTGACTGGTGGCAGCTCGGGATTTATTATCTGTATCATACCAGCAAAAAGCAGGAGACACAGGGAAATAACAACATCCGTGCAAATCCAGATCAAAGGCTTCATGCAAAGCCTTTTGCTACAAATTCTTTGAACCAATAACATAAAAGGTGTAAAGTCATTATATTCTAACCAATAAGAAAAGGACCCACGTGGGTTTAACATATGAACCACAAACAATACACAATAATTCATTATTTTAGATTAAACCTTTTTCTGTCTTTGCAAAGCATGTATCTAGGACTTTTCACATCTTGAACCATCAATAAGTTCTTGTTCTTTATGAGGAATAGAAATGTATTCACTTGGTTCTTACTTTCCTAGATTCCCATGAGGTTTTGAGATTTCCCAGCCTTTCTTAGCTTTATGTGTACTTTTTTTTTATCCTCGCTCAAATAAAAAAAAAAAGAAAAACAAAAAACCAAAATCATGATATATAATATAATTATAACATAATATTATAATTATATAAATAATATAATTAATTATAATTTGTGAGACACATTTAGAATTAAGTAACAACAAAAAAAAAACCCAAACCAAAACAAAAACTCAAAAAACCCAATCAAGCAAGTAAGAAACAAATATGAAAACCTCAAGCCATATTTCATCCTAAACTCAGAGTCTAAATCCTTTAAATTATGGGGAGATGATAAAATTCCCTCAGCGGAATTCTGGGCTGGGCTGCAGAACGGGCTCCAAAACCACCTCAGGTGGGCACTGGTGGCACTGCAGGAGGGTCAGGGGTCCCCAAAAGGAAGGGGAGGGTCCCCAGAACACAGCCGGGCACTTCCCGTGTTCCAATGCCACCAAATCCCTGCACACATCTCCCACTGTCCCCAAATCCCAGCACACATCTCCCATGTCCCACTGTCCCCAAATCCCTGCACACATCTCCCACTGTCCCCAAATCCCAGCACACATCTCCCATGTCCCACTGTCCCCAAATCCCTGCACACATCTCCCATGTCCCCAAATTCCAGCACACATCTCCCATGTCCCCAAATCCCTGCACACATCTCCCATGTCCCCAAATCCCTGCAGACATCTCCCATGTCCCACTGTCCCCAAATCCCCGTGGGAGCGGTGCCACTCGTGGCCCTCAGTGGCCAAGCTCAGGTTCTGCCCGTGATTATTCCCAAGAAAAGGAGGAACCAAATAATTCCCGAGAGCCAAACCCTGGGCAGCTCCAGCTGCTGCCAGGTTAACGCTGTGCCCGAGCTGGGCCCAGCTTTAGGGGATCCCAAAATATCCCCCTGAGATGTGCCCACCTTTGGGATATCCCAAAACACCCCGAGCTGTGCCCACCTTTAGGATATCCCAATATATCCCAAGCTTTGCCCACCTTTAGGGGATCCCATTATATCTCAAGCTGTATCCACCTTTAGGGGATCCCAAAACAGTCCGAGCTGTGCCCACCTTTAGGATATATATACCTTTAGGATATCCCAATATATCTCAAGCTTTGCCCACCTTTAGGATATCCCAAACCACCCCAAGCTGTGCCCACCTTTAGGATATCCCAAAACACCCCCGGCTGTGCTGGAGCTTCCACAGAAATCCCGGGGACAGAAATCCCGGGGACAGCCGGGCCAGGTGACAGCCGGACAGCCGGACGGACAGCCGGACAGCCGGACCGACAGTGTCCCCGCGGCGGGCTGTGCCACCGGGACAGCTCCGGCGCTGCTCTCGGCTGTCCCCAGCGCTATTGTCCCCTGCGGTGACCTTGTGCCAGCGCCGCTGCTGCAGCCACGGCGCGGACCGGGAGAGCCACGGGGTGCCCGAGACACGCGGGGACAGCGACAGCGACGGGGACAGCCACAGGGACAGCGATGGGCATGGGGACAGCGACAGGGACAGCCAGGGGGACGGGGACAGCCATGGGCTTGGGGACAGCCACGGGTGCGGGGACAGCGACAGGGATGGGGAGAGTGACAGGGATGGGGACAGGGAGAGGGATGGGGACGGGGACGGGGGATGGGGATGGGGGACAGCGACAGGGACAAGGATGGGGGACAGCGACAGGGATGGGGACAGGGACGGGGGACAGCGACAGGGACAAGGATGGGGGACAGGGATGGGGACGGAGACAAGGATGGGGGACAGGAATGGGGGACAGCGACAGGGACAGGGATGGAGGACGGCGACAGGGATGGGGACAGGGATGGGGACAGGGAAGCGCCGATGCTCCGGCTCAGCCCGGCTCCCTCCCGGGCAGGTGACAGTGGCAGCCGCGTCACATCTCCCGCTGCAGCCGCCACATCCCGGCCGGGCCGAGCCCTTCCCGCGGGGGGATTTGGGGCGGCCGCGGGGGGATTTGGGGCAACCACCCCGTTCCCAGCCCAGCCCCCCGAGCACCCGGTGGGCACGGCGGGGTGGTGGCACCGCCGGGAGCATCTCCCTGCTCCTGGTCCTGCTGGGAGCCCGGGGAAGGGCTGGTGGTGCCCAGCATCCACAGAGGGATGAAATGTGTCCTTCCTGCCAGCAGTGCCACCCTCGCCAGTGATCCCAGAGCCTCCTCGCTCTGCTGTGCCCAGCAGCATCCCTGGGCTCTGCTCTCAGACATCTCCCTCCCGTTCCCGAGCCTGGCACAGCAGTGCCGGAGCATCCCCGGGGTGGCAGGGCTCTGCTGCGGGCTGCTGGCACCCAGGGGACACTCCTGCCACCGCCCGGCCCTGCCCAGCCCCGCTGCTGGCAGGGAGGGACTCAGCCAAGGTCACCCAGAAGGGCAGCGGCAGGAGGAGCCGCTCAGAGCTCGGGAGGGGCCCGTTCTCTCCAGAGCAGCCACCTGCGAGCCCCGCGGCTCTTCTGGTGGCTCCTTGTCTGTCCAGGTGTCACCTGCTCCCCCCGGCTCACCCTGTCACCCCCACGGACACCCTTTGGTGTTTTTGATGTGTGTGACATCAGCTCCCGACCCGCTCCCTGCCAGGACACCCGGGAGGGAGGAGGGGACAGCCCTGCCCAGGGAGGGGACACGGGGCTGAGAGCCTGGCACCCCTGGCTGGCACCCCTGGCTGGCACCCCTGGCTGTGACCCCTGGCTGTCACCCTGTCTGTCACCCTGTGTGTCACCCCTGGCTGTCACCCCTGTCTGTGACCCCTGGCTGTGACCCCTGGCTGTCACCCTGGCTGGCACCCCCAGCTGGCACCCCTGGCAGTCTGTCACCCCTGTCTGTCACCCCTGTCACCCTGTCTGTGACCCCTGTCTGTCACCCCTGGCTGGCACCCCTGTCTGTGATCCCTGGCTGTCACCCCTGGCTGTCTGTCACCCCTGGCTGTCACCCCTGTGTGTCACCCCTGGCTGTCACCCTGGCTGTCACCCCAGCCCGATGGTGACACCTCACCTGCACAGGGAGGACATTTGTCACCTCAGGGCCCAGGGCAGCATCCAGAGCTGGACACACCCAGCAAAACTCACTCAGCCCAGGCTCACCCTGACTGCAAACAGCGGCTCAGGGCCACCTAAAAAATCACAAATACGGGCCAGGGCAGCCTGAGCAGCTGCAGCAGCCCCATTTCCCCACAGCAGGTCCTGCAGCCACCCCAGCCCTGCACAGCACAGGTGTCACAGCTCCCTCCTGGCTGTCACAGCTCCCTCCTGGCTGTCACAGCTCCCAGCTGGCTTCAAAAGCACCTCCTGGGCCCCCTCAGCTCAGCAAAATCGCTCCTGGGTGAATGAGCACAAACAGCCTCAGCCCCCCTGAGCCACGGGGAGGGGAAGGTGGGGTCAGCCCCAGCAGCACCTGCACATGGGGCTGCTTTCCTTCCCCGCTGTCCCTGTGCTTCCCAGCCACTGCAAACACACCAAAATGCCCAAAAACACGGTAAAAACCAACATCCAGCACTCCCTGTACCTGTCCTGGGTCCTGCTGCGGGGCCAGAGTGCCTCAGAGGGGAGAAGGGGCAAAGCACAGCGGGACAGAGCCCAGGCACAGCCCCTGAGCCCCAGGAGCTCTCAGAGGGGCACCCAGAGCCCCCAGAGCCCCCAGAACGTGGGCACAGCTGGGCACAGCTGTGGACCAGCAGCTCGTCAGGCTGGAGCTGGGCATGGGGACCAGGGATCCCAAACTGGGAACACTGGGAACACTCCAGTGCCAGGGGAGTGGGATCCAGGCTGGGGAGGCACCAGGACAGCCCAGCAGGGCTCAGCTTCCCTTCCCAAGCAGAGGCAGCAGAGCTGTCCCAGCTCTGGGTGCTCTCCCACGGCCTGGGGGTGCTGCCACATCCCCTGGCACAGCTGGGACATGGAGCCAGCCCCCCCTGCCCGCTGCCAGCACCCCTGGGACAGCTCCAGAGGCCAGAGCAGATTCCAGCTCCTCCTGGAGAGCACATCCAGGGCCAGGCACTCACACCCAGCCTGGCTGCTTGGGCAATTCCACCCAAATCAACCAGGAGACAACCAGGAGAGGAGAGGAGAGGAGAAGAGGAGAGGAGTGAAACCATTTCTGAATGAATCATTGGGTCTGCCTGACACTGTGACCCAGGCTGGGGCAGGAGGGAGATCATTCATTGCAGCAGCTCAGCCCGCTGCACATCACTCTTCATTCATCCCAATTCCTCCTTCCCTTCCATTCCTGTAACATTCCCTGATTTCCCCGCTCCTCGCCGCACCAGGCTGAGCTGCAGCCAGCTCCCTCCTCCCAGGACTCCCTCTGCCTCTTGGCAAATTAAGTTCTTCATCAGCGCTGACAAGAGGCTCCAGGCCCAGCCAGGGCTCCTGGGCAGCTCAGGGGGGCTGGGGCACGTCCAGCCCGGGCTCCAACGCTGCCAGGGGGCACAGGTCAGGGCACAGGTCAGGGCACAGCTCAGCACCAGTGGCACAGCACAGGGAATGTCCTGTCAGGGAGGAGCAGCTCCGAGCCAGCAGCTCCTCAGCTGCTTCTCTTGGCAAGAGCCACTGCTCCCACACACCTGAGGCAAGGGATAAACTTTGCTTTTTTGCCTCCTCTCACGTCCAAGCTCGGCAGTTTGGAAGGGTTTTTGTGCACTTTCTAGGAAACGAGCCGGTGGTGTTTGTGGAGAGTGCCACGGCCAATTTGTCTGCCTCAGGAGCATCTCTGCAGGCACAGAGGCAGAGCAGAGAGGAGTGACCCTGCCACCTCCCCAGCCTCGGGCACAGGGGACACTCAGCCAAGCCACCAGCGAGACCTGACCCTCCTCAGCCACTCCAAACATCACAGCCCGTGACCAGCAGCCCCTTTTCACCAGCACTGAAGCAAGCTGTGACGAGTAGAAAGGAAAACCGGTGCAAGAAGCAGAGGAAAACTCTCAAAGCAGCAAAAAACATCCAGGAAAAAGCAGCTCAGAAAAAGCAAATCCTTGCCAAAGCCAAGTGGAAGATGCTGTGGAAGTTTTTTGCCCACAGGGCACCATCACCTCCCCCAGGCCTGGCTGCTCCTGGTGCCTCCTCTGCTCTTCTGCCCCAGGAGGCTGAGGAGGAGTCATGGGGAGGAAGGCAAAGCATTTTCTCTTCAGCAATCCAAGCACATCCCGCTCCAGGGACACGGGGGGAGGTGACACCTGGGACACAGGACACAGCTGGCTCCAGGGGCAGCTCCAAGAGGAGCAAAGCTCAAAGCTGAAGGCTGCATGTGGCAAGGGAGGGCTCTCCCAGCGTGTCCTTTAGCTGGCACAGCCTCCCGCTGCTTTCCTCCCCCACAGGCAGAAACTCTCCCGCAGGCACTGAGTAACCAGGCACAGGAGGGGAGCCAGGCCAGAGCACCAACTCAGTCCCAGAGATGGAGAAATGCACCTCCCAGAGCTCAGCCTGGGCCTGGAGGGACTCCAGAGCAGGCAGAGCCCAGTTTTAGCTGAGCACTTCAGGGATAACACACAAGAGTGATGTTGTTTGGGAGGATGAAGCATTGCCAAGAGTCAGGTATTTGTCCAGCTATAAACTTGTGCACAGCAGAGGCACCACTCCTGTACAGCATCCAGCTCCTGGCCCACCCAAAATCTCAGCCCAGCTCCTCACTGTGCTGTGGCCAGGAGGAAAAGCCACAGGGAATTCAAATCTGATCGAAGATTGATCGCAAAGCCTCCAAGTAACTCTGTCCCAGGCCACGTTCCAGCCTGGACAGGGATCCTCTCATTTCTCCAAACCCCATTCCGTTTATGAGCACACAACCACCGCCAGCTGCAACACCCAGACCACAAACAGGCTGGGGAAACACCGCGGCCCGACTGACAACAAAAGGCAAATTGACAAACGTTTAAATCAAAGTTACTCACTCTCCCAGGGCTCCCCACGCCTGTACACAAAGGAAAATGCACTTCCAAGCCCACAGAAAACTCTTCTCCCAGAAAAAAAACCAACCCCCACCACCCCCCCCTCACCTCACCCTGCTCATGCAGGAGCTGCTGAGGAAGGTGAGACACAGCCAGAATGCAAAAATGGTAAGAAATGGTAGCCCAGCTGGCAGGCAGCAGCTGCCTGGCCCTGGTCACCCCCTCCCCGGGCACAGGGTGGGCAGGGCTGGGGCAGAACACGGGAGATGCTCTGCAGGTAACTCACCTTCCACAGTTGCAGTGACAAACTCGGTCCTCCCCTCTGAGATGCGGTAGGATGTAATTGTGAAATCTGTCCAACAACGCATTCATGTCCATCAAGCAAGCTATTGCCTGTAAGAGCCCACAACCGAAGCATCGGGTCAACTCTGGGCGGTGGAATAAAACATCGACTCCACTTTGATTGCCAGACACTGAAGCAGTCATCGAGAAAAGAGTCTTTGCTGCTCGCCGGGGACACGCACACACCGCCACACGCGGAGGTGCACAGGCTGAGGGACGGTGCGGGGGGAAGGTGGAAGGGAGGCGGAGGTGCGGGAGAAGGAGGGAGGGGGGGAACCATGGAGGGGAGGGAGATAAGCAAAAAATCTCTTACCATAACGATAGAGGCGCCCAGGATCATGAAAATCATGGTGTTTGCATTCATGGACATCAAGAGGCAATGGGCAGCGGTCGGGTCCGTGCGCCCCCAGCCCGCGGAGGGCGAGCCGCGCTATTCCGCAGAGCCGAGCGCGGGGCGCATCGCGCTCGCTGCCCGCACGCTGCGGTGCGGCGGGGGGCGGCGGGGCGGCGGGGCGCCCCCCGCGCACACACACGCACTCCCCCGTGCCGGGGATGCCGCGGGCTCCCGCGCCCTGCCCGCTTTATGTTTTTATTATTCTAGGATGAATGTGACAGGTAAAAAAAAAAAAAAATTAAAAAATAAATAATTAAAAATATATTTAAAAATAGAAAAAATTAAAAATAGATAATTAAAAAATAGAAAAAATTAAAAATAAAAATAATAATAATAATTCCAGCCTCGCCGCTGGCCCCGCGCTCCCCCCGGCCGCGGTGGCGGCGGTGCGCGGCTCCGGGAGCGGGCACACGCCGGTGCAAGCACAGCCTTCATGCAGCAACTGGGAAGCGAGGCAGCCAAACCCGGGGTGGGGGGGAGAGGCTGGGGGAGGAGGAGGCAGGCTGCAAAAAAATCACCCACTCCGGGGGAGCCTCATCGCATCCTCTCCGCCGACCCTCCCCAAAATCATCCCCGCTGCCGAGCGCTGCCAAATAAAAATCGGAAATAAAATATATATATATATATAAAAGACCCCAGCCCCCAAATCACCGCGCCCACCTTCACACCCCCCAGAAAAAATCAGCCCCACAAACCCTCCCGGCTCGGGGCTGCGCTGTCCCCGCCGGCAGCCCCCGGGCCGGCCCCGCTCGGGGGAGGGATGCGGGATGCAGGGGAGGGATGCGGGATGCAGCGAGGGGGGAGATGCGCGCAGGCAGCGCCGGCCGCCCCCTCCCCAGCCCGGCCCGGCCATTTACCTACGTGGGGAGGCGCTGCTCCGGGAGCGGCTCATGGCGAGCGGCGGCTCCAGCTCTGCGGGCCGGCCCTGCGGGGCTCCCCCCGCCCCGCCAGCGGCGCTTGGCCGCCTTTCCAGTGCCACACGCCATCCTCACCCCGCCCTTCCTCCGCCCGGGGTCGGCCCCGGCCCCCGGAGCCCCGCGGGGACCCTCCCTCGCTCCGGGGCCGGGGGTGCGAGCCCCGCGCTCCGCCGCGCCCCGCGCGTCCCTCCCGCACCTCCCGCACCTCCCGCACCTCCCGCACCGCCTCCGCCCGCACCGAGCGCGGACCCCGCGGGAGCCCGAGGGAGGCACCCCCCGAGACCCCGGCACTGCTGTGACACCCCGGACTCTGTGACACCCCGACACTGCTGTGACACCCCGGCACTGCTGTGACACCCCGGCACTGCTGTGACACCCCGACACTGCTGTGACACCCTGGCACTGCTGTGACACCCCGGCACTGCTGTGACACCCCAAACTCTGTCCCGTCTCTGTCCCCGAGGCCGAGGAAAGGGTCCCGCTTCCCCCCGCAGGGTTTGTCCCGCCCAGGCCACGTTTAGGAGCTGCTGGGAAAACGCGAAGGAAAGAAGAGCAAAGCAGTGACCAGCGGTAACTTTTTGCTTGTTGGGTTGTTTGTTGTTCCCTGTACAGCAAAGCCGAGGTGGAGGAGCAGAAGGATCGCGGCCGCCACGTGGGAAATGCGTGGCAGCCCCGCTTGATGTCCCCAGCGCCTTCTCCTGCCATCCTCAGCCTTCCTCACCGGGAGCTCTCCCTGCTACAACCCAGGGGTTCCTTTTTTTGGGGCTTCCCCACCGTGACCAAAGCGCAGTTTGCTGCTGTTGGGTTTTGTGTGTTGGTAAATTTGTTTCCCTCCTGCTCCTCAGGCCACAATCAGCCTTCTTATGTAATGACTGGTGTTATATAAACTCCATTCTTCAAGGAACAGTCATTAACCTACTACTGGGTATTGAAAATACCAAAATACTGTCACACAATTAAAATCACTAAATGGTGTCCTCAAATTAGAGCACAGATTGCATTGCAGATTTTTTTTTTTTTAATTTTTTTTTTTTTTTAATGAAACCACACACATGAAACATTTGACAAGCCAGGCTCTTCATGCAAAGGAGCAGCAGGGCTGGGAAGGCACCTCTGCTTTATCCTCACAGCCCTCTGCCCTGAGCTACTTCCACTTCTTCCTCAGCTGGTAAGTGGATTCTGCCATGGAAATGCAGAGCTCAGGGAGGATACAGCTGGTTACTCTGCCAGTTGTGGAAAACAAAAGCGTTCCTAAAGTCTCAGCTGAATAAAACCACATGAGGGAACAGTTTGAAGACAAGTCTGAGGGAATTTTGTGGAACTGAAGTTTTCCCAGCCCTCCCACAAACCAGGCTGGGGCAGTCTCAGCTGGGCTCGAGGTAAAGCCATTTCCTTCCCTGTGCTTCTGGAGAAAAGTCCCCCAAAAAATCCCTGTTGTGGTCAGTCCTGGCTGCTGGGATCCCAAACATCCCTGTGCTGATCAGTCCTGGCTGCTGGGGATCCCAAACATCCCTGTGCTGATCAATCCTGGCTGCTGAGAGATCCCAAACATCCCTGTGCTGATCAATCCTGGCTGCTGGGGATCCCAAACATCCCTGTGCTGATCAATCCTGGCTGCTGGGGATCCCAAACATCCCTGTCCTGATCAATCCTGGCTGCTGGGGATCCCAAACATCCCTGTGCTGATCAATCCTGGCTGTAGCAGATCCCAAACATCCCTGTGCTGATCAATCCTGGCTGCTGAGAGATCCCAAACATCCCTGTGCTGATCAATCCTGGCTGCTGAGAGATCCCAAACATCCCTGTGCTGATCCATCCTGGCTGCTGGGGATCCCAAACATCCCTGTCCTGATCAATCCTGGCTGCTGGGGATCCCAAACATCCCTGTGCTGATCAATCCTGGCTGTAGCAGATCCCAAACATCCCTGTGCTGATCAATCCTGGCTGCTGAGAGATCCCAAACATCCCTGTGCTGATCAATCCTGGCTGTAGCAGATCCCAAACATCCCTGTGCTGATCAATCCTGGCTGCTGAGAGATCCCAAACATCCCTGTGCTGATCAATCCTGGCTGCTGAGAGATCCCAAACATCCCTGTGCTGATCCATCCTGGCTGCTGGGGATCCCAAACATCTCACCCAGAGGGGTGCAGAGGCCACCTCACAGGACCTCAGTGGCATTTGGCCAGTCCCTAATCAAGATTATTTCCCCCTGTAAATATTCAGCCCCAGGTGGGAGTTTATCCCAAACCTCACCCACAGGAGCCGACTCCTCTGCTTTCCTCTTAATCACAGCCTCGGCCCTGTGGAGTTCACCCCAAGCATTTCTTTTCCTTTTGGATTGTTTCCATGCCCTCCCTGGACTCCACTCTTTGGTTTTTATTCCCATTTTCCCCCCAGTTCCGTGCCAGTACAAGTGTTTGTGTTTGTCTTTATCAATACCTTCTCCTAAGACACATCTGAGAAATGGAAGTTGAAGCTGGATACTCAGCAAGATTCACCTGGGAAATTTGGGATCATGGATCTTTGCACAGATTCAACAACCCCAAAACCTTGGGAAGGAGCTCTTTGGTCCCTGAGAATCAAGAGAAAAAACCACAAAGCCGAGAGTGGCTCGTGTGAGAGACTCCAGCCCAGAAGGGAGCAGGGCTCTGCCCCAAGGAAACCCCAAGAAATCCTTGGCAAAGATCTGCCCACGCAGAAGCAGCATAAAAAACCAGAAAAAAGTAAACCAAAACCAAAAAAAACCCCAACCCACCAACCAAAACAAAACCAACCAAACAAAAGCCAACCAAACCAAACCAAAAAACAAAAAAAAAACCCCCAAAACCAAACCAAACCAAAGCCAACCAAACCAAACCAAACCAAACCAAAAAAAAAAACCAAACAAAACCCAACCAAAAACAAACAAAACAAAACCAACCAACAAAAAAAAAAAATCCCACATAATCACAACTTTAAATTACTTCTGTTGGCTGGAGTTTGCCCCCAAATTCCCTAAATCCAGTTAAAGCCTCCCAGTGTCATTCACCTCACACAAATATTCCATATTTTACCTCAAAAAGAACAGCCACACTTCCTCAGCTTCTATTTTGAAAATAGACAGACTTACAGGTTTTTTTTTTTTCTATTTTATTGGATCTTCCAACTTTATAGCTAATAATATACAGATATTCAGTTTTTTCATTGTTCCATTCACATCCTCACAGAGTTCAGCCATTCTGTCACATTAAAATAAAATAAAAAAAAAAAAGCACAACTGAAATAAAATAAATCCATAAGCTGGAAAAATACAATATAAACTTATATTCAAAAAACATTCTCTTTATAATTAAAACCCTACTTGTTAACAATTAAAGTAGGATTTAAAGAAAAAAAACTTGATTTTAATTTTTAAATAGGTGGCCTTTGTGTATACTTTTAATCATTTTATATGTACAAGCCCAACCAGTATCTCTGCCTACCTGTGACAGAATACCTGAAAAAAAAAAAAAGACACAGAAAAGGAGTTTTTAAACAAAAAAAAAAAAAAAAAAAAACAAAAAAAATCAATATTAATTTTCCAGGAAAATACAGTATAATCAGAACTTTAAACACATGCTTCCCTCATCTGGATTAAGGCCTAAGAGACAGAGGTGCTTTAATAAAAGCAGACAGTATGAAGAAAAGTCCTTCCACTTTTCTCTTCAAATTCCTGTAACAGCTCATCTATTTCATTTTCCATGTCTTCTGTGTGCTGTATCTGCAAGAGAAAAAAAAAAAACCTGAGCAACCAAACTCCAAGGATTTGATGGTTACAGAACTCTAATAATCCCTAATAAATTCTAATTTTTTGGTTTACTGGGATATGTAACTGGGCAGGCTGTACCCAACAGGGCTTCGTTGCATTTATTGAGATTCCCAAAATCCCAAAGGCACAGATATTCTGTTTTATTGAGAATTCACAGATATTCTGTTTTTATGGAGAATTCCCAAAGGCACAGATATTCTGTTTTTATGGAGAATTCCCAAAGGCACAGATATTCTGTTTCTATTGAGAATTCCCAAAGGCACGGATATTCAGTTTTATTGAGAATTCACAGATATTCTGTTTTATTGATCACCCCCAAAGGCACAGATATTCTCTTTTCTGCTGATCTGCAGATCCCAGCCCACCCTGGTGGCATTTCAGGAGGACTTTTTTGAGTGGGCACCATCCCCTCCTCCCCAGATAAGAACCAGGAGTTCCAGAATAGCTCCAGATGGCTGAAATTTCAACTCCTTGAACCCTTTTTAGGTTTCTTGGATCTGGAAAGGACTTGAGAGCAGAATAAATCAGCCAGGCTGGAGCCAGAAGCAGCCTGGGATGCTGAACTCCCCAACCTTGGAGTGTGACAGAGCCCAGGACTTTCCTCTGCTCTCACCACACTGACACAGCTCATTTTAATTCTGCTTTTTTGTTTGGTGTGGCACAATAAAATACAGATAATTTGGAAGGATATTTGGATTTACAGGGCAGCTCTCCCATTTCAATCCCACCTGGTTTGAAGGGAGTTCAACTCTACAAGCCACGAGCTCAGCCCAATTCCCCCCTTTGCCCAAGGATGTGGGAATTGGCATTTTGACTGGATTTCACTGCAGAAGGCAGGAGGTTTGAGGAGCAGCAGCTGGGTGGATGGTTGTGTTTACTGGTGTCCTGGCTTGTAAGATCAGCATGTATTCTATTGCCATCTGTTGGAGGTGGGGCAGTTTTCTTATCTCTCCCAAGAACAATGTCTCCCTCCAGGGAGATATCTTCTGTTAATGGGCCATTAATGACTCACTGCATGGCCAGCAAAGTTCCATCATCCCATGGTGAGATGCTCCACCCAGAGGGAGGAGCCAAGCACCCCTACCTGCATAAAATCAGCATTTTTTTGGGACATCAGAACAGCCCCTTCGCTGGATTCCCAGAGGAGCAGCTTCTTCCCTGCTGGATTCCCAGAGGAAGACCAGGCCCAACTACTCCATCCCCAGACCTTCAGAGAAAACTCCACCCTTCAACAGATCACTGCTCCAGCAGCATTTCATCTGCCACTGCAGGAGGAGCAGCCACCATTTCACTGGACTGTTCCCAACACCCTGACTCCTCAGGGTTTCAGGTTTCTGACTCTATCACTAGTTTTGTTTGTACTAATATATATATTCTTTAAATTTAGGTTGTTTTGTTTTTTCCTAGTAAAGAGCTGTTATTATTTCCCATTCCCATATCTTTGCTGAGAGCCTTTTAATTTTGAAATTGTGCTAACTGGGAGGGAGGGGGTGTAGCTTTTCCATTTCCCAGGAGGCTCTTGCCTTTTACAGCCTCCTGTCTTTTCAAAGAAGGCACAGGGTTACTCGTTACTTACACACTGGCAGAGCTCGCAGATGAGGAAGGCGCCCAGCGTGGCCTCCTCGTGGTTGTCCTGGATGTCCACGTTGATGACGTGCACGGGCTGACACGTCTCCTGCTCCCGCGAGTTCAGATCTGCTCCAACACAGCACAGCAGAAGTGAGGGGGGATGAGGTCAGATTTTACACAAAGTAGGAATCAGATTTATAAAAGTACACAGATGTTGGCACATTTAACTTTTCCAAAGTATTTTTCAGAATTTGTTTCATATTGTCTTAATAAGAAATTCTATATTATATATTTTTATAATATTTTTATATTATATTCTACATTAAATATTATATATTGCATATTTCATAAATAGAATTGTACTGTATAAATATTTTTATAAAACTATTTTATCATATATTACTATTTATAATAATGATTTATATATTATTATAATATATATTGAGAGATACATTATAATATATATTGATATATAAGATATATTTATATATAATAACATATATATTATTATATATTATTTATATATTATTATAATAATATATATTATTTATATATTATTTCTAATAATGTATTTTATAATACATTATTATTTATTTAATATTCTTATTTTATAAAAATTAAAATAATTTTAATTTATAAATATACAATATATATTTATATATATATTTAAAATATATATTTTATATTTTAATATATAGTTTAAATCATATTTTATATATAAAAATATTTTGATAAAATTGTATTTTATATTATATTTTATATTTTATATTTTATATTTTATATATTTAATTATATGCTATATATTAATTATTTATATATTATATCTTATATTTTATATAATATTTTTTATTTATTATTGTCTTAATAATACCTTTTATTTCAAAAAACAAGAGGTGGGTTTTGGAAAGACATGAACTCAGATTTGTGAAAGGGCCATGGCAGTTTATTTTCCCTGCTCAAAAGAAGTTATTGCTCCTCTTACTCTGACCACCTTTAAAGATCCAGAATCTCAAAAGCCAAGAAGAATTTTGAGCTTCCTCACCTCATTTTTATAAAAAGCCCTGCACATCCACCACTCTGAATGCAAGCTAAGCACTGACAGCCGCATCAGAAAATTCTATTTTTATCATCTTCCATTGACTAACAAGGCTGGAAAACCAAAATATTTTTCTTCCAAGTGCACAACGTTACTCTTGTGCCTCACAGAGCCATTTGGGCACAGAGAGAAGGGCACTGTGAGGGCTCAGAGCGGGAAAATCCCGGTGGTTGCTCTTCCCTTCCCTCCCTCCCACCCAAACAGCACAGGCACAAATATAATACAAACTGGGCACAGGTAATAGTTATGTATTGGGTGTCCTGAAAACATCTGAATATGTAAAACCTTTCTGGGTAAGTAGAGAGCTGCAGTTTGTGACTTTTTCCCACATGCCTTTGGAAAATACTCTGCATGTGCCCAGTGCTGTAATAAATAAACTCTCTTTTCAGCTTTAATTAGCTGAGGAGTTGTCTGTCCATGCTTCACTCCACTTGCCCAGGAGGTGTTTAAGGGGGATAAACTGCTCGGGAGCTCACAGAAACCTGCAGGGAAGGCAGCTCAGACTTGTTTTTCCATCAGCTCATCCCAGTTTGTTCCATTTCTGAGCTCCATGAGCATTTCCAAACCAAACATGGAGTTTCTATAAATTTCCTTATGCCAGCCCTTGCTGTGCACACACACTCTGAGTAGCTGCCAGCACCTTCTGGGGACAAGAGCTCAGCCACCACTTCTCTGGTGCATAAATCTACAAGCTCTTGTCCTCACCTCTTTTCCAGCAGCTGGAGGAGAAAAAGGTTTCCAGATTTGTGGAGGACTTCAAGGAGGAGGGAAAAAAACCCAAATTAACTTGATTTATCAGTCCAAGCTCCTTACCTTCTACTACTTGATCATAGACTCTTTCTTCACACGTTAGGATCAAATCAAAAACGTCTTTGCAGTTCTGGAATCTTTCTGGTCGTGGCTTGATTCTCTTATTTCTGTCCAACATGTGTAAAATTCCATTCTGTGTGTATCTGAAGTAGCTTGAGTTAAGTATCTTTACTTGAAGGAAAATTATGGTTTGGAGCAGATGACCAGCACAAGGTAAATTATGAACGTATCTTTAAAATAAAATATTCTGGTTGCAAATCTAAAAATCAGTGACCACTAAAGAGATTCCTGAGGTGAGTGTGACCCCCATCATGCAGCTGCTTTTCACAGACCTGTCAGTGGCACCACAGCTTTAAAAGGCCCTCAGAAGATGAACTTTGCTTGGGCAACTATTTTTGTATCCATAAATACCCCAACCCTCAGGCTGTGCTGTTCTGTGAGCAGGATGTCCTACATTCCTTTCAGCCACTGCTCCTCACTCTTCAAAGGCCATCCCGAGGTGTTTATGGTGCCACCTGCACAAAGCCCTACTGGAAATGTGGATTTATGCAACTGAAACTCCAAAGGAAGCCAAAGAAACCACAGAAGCACATCCCATAAAAATATCCTGCGATGCATAAATGGGGAGGAATTAAGAAAAACACTGACTTTATGCCTGTCAGAGCTTCATCACTGTGTGAAAGGAATCTGTGATGCTGTTTGGGAGCTATATTTATGCTGCTGCTGTAACCTTGAGGCTTTGATTTTACATCCTGGAGCCCCTTTTTCAGCAGGATTCTCTAATCCCACTGTTTCCCACACTTCTGGGATGTGCACTTCCATTGGGAGCACTCCAGGCTTGACTGTCACATAGATCTGCTGGCTGGAGGAAAACCAAACTCCCTCTGAAGGGAAAGTTTTGGGGGTAAATTGGGAATACCAGGAAAGGTTTGGATTGAGAAGCCTGGAAGGGGATTTATTTCTGCCTGACTTTACCACAGCTGTATTTTTAGCCATTTAAGTAGATACTTTTACAGTGTAACAATAAGGATAACAGCCTGAAATTTCTTGAGATAACAATTCTGAGAATAAAACAATTTCCAGCATTTGTAGCAATATGTAAGAGGTCATCTGGGCTCGCTGAAAAGGTGACAGACAGGTATCTCTTCAGAAAACACTCCTCCTATTTTTGTAACAAAGGACAAACAATTTCCTGCCTACCTTTTAGCAGGAGCTGCAATTCTACTGCCCAGATGTGTACCTGTGTGCTCACAGTGCTCCTGCTCAAGCAAACAGCCTCCAAAGCTTTTAAATCCTCCAAATGTTTAACTTATATTAAAAATTAAACCCAGTTTCTACCTACAAGAGTCTGCTTCGTGTTGGAAATAGATTCAGTTGTTCTGTGTGTCTGCATCACTGCACTTCAACTACTTGTAATTTAAATTTTGCACCACAAACTGAGTGATAGGATGTTTATCACAATTAAATCTTGTCAATTAGCCTGACTTCTGCTGCATTTCTTTTCTCCACATCACTCCCAAGCCTTTTTTACTCTTCTTTCCCAAAAGGTTTCTCCTTACATTCTTAAGGAATTGTCCTTTACAGCCCAAAGATCTCATCAGCAGCTCTTGCACACCAGCACCCCTGTGAACCCTCCTGGGGTTTGTCATGTTTGGGGAAAAAAAACCAAAAAAACACTTGGATGAAGCCATCTCAGACCTCTGGTTATTTGCAGAGCAGGAAAATGACTGCATGTTCAAAATACCATTTCCAAAATATCTGCCATTTCCAAAGGATGCCAACATCTGCCCGCGTCGCTTTGCTCAGTTGGAAGGGGAGCCCTCCCCGGGCTCTGCACTCCTCATTTCTACATCATGCACTTCAAGAGGGGAAAAAAAAATCCACAACATCCCACACGCTTTTTTGGGTTCTCTTTTTTCCCTTTCTAGGATAAAATGTTGCTGGCATCTGTCCCCTCGCTTTCCTGAGTGAGCCTGGAGACAGAATTACGCAGATTCCCAAACCCACACAAGATTTCTGTTCACAGCCCAGCTCTCTGCTGCCAACTTACAGCTATTTTTTTTTTTTCCAAGGGTCCATCTGCCTATAAAAGGAGACTGGAAGAAGCAGTGAAGCTTTATGGTGCTTTCTTATTTGGTTGCCTGGAATCTTTTTCACCTGGAAAAAGCCAGGAAGGGGGTGTGCTCTGCACATTATTATTCCAAGGTATAATAACCCAGCTTTTTGGGAGCTCAGGTGAATGCAGATACAACTTATGAACGGTTTCCACCACACTGGCAGGTGTTGGGTCATTTAAGTCAGGCTCTGCTTTCCTTCCAAGAAGATTTTAACTCCACACTCCCTGTCCTGTGCATCCCTGCTCTCTTTTCAGGACAGAATTCCCCCTGGTTTTCTGTGCTGTCACATTTTGTAGCCCTACCAAGCCCAGGAGGACACCAGAACTTGTCCACATTTCCTTTCACCTAACTCTTGGCAAAGTAAATCCACCACATTTCTCCAGAGTCCAATTCAAATGTCACCTTTAATAGAATAATTGTGCTGAGCAGGACCACAGTGTGATGGAATTTAGGCAGGACATCTCAGCAGTGGAAAGGCTTGATATAAAAAGGAGATGTTGCAGCAAAAAAGTTGGGTTTTTCCAACAGGCACAGCATTGTTGCTCATTCTCATGGAGAATTTCTATTACTGATGGTGCATTCTCTCCTTTTAGCTAAGGTTATCCCATACTAGTGATGAAGATTATTTAAATAAAAAAGTGTTTAGGTAAATCCCTAAAGCTTTCACTGGTTTTGTTACCTAAATTTAAAATTCCTGCCATGGACACCAGAAATGCCTTTTACCATCCAATGGATGGGTCCCTGCTCCAGACACCTGGGTAACCATTCCTTACCTTTCAAACATCCCTGCCCCCTCCAAATTTTATCATTATTTGTCCTTGACAGGACCCAAAAACCACTTTTAGCCACAAGCACCAACCTAGGGATGGCCAAGAGAGTCAAGTCTCTATCCTATATGATAAAATTATCTTACTCAGCTAAGTATTCAGTAAATTTCCTTTTAACTCCCATGTGAAGCTGAAGCTCACAAGTGATTTGAGCTGGAAGTGTTGGGATATAGAAATTAACTATACAGATCTAAAATTCCCATCCCTATCCCTTGAAGTGTCCAAGGCCAGGCTGGGTGAAGCTCTGAACATCCTGGTCCGTGCCAGGTGCTCCTGCCATGGACAGGGTGGAATAAGATGACATTTAAGGTCCCTTCCAACCCAGGCCATTCCTGAAAATATAAAAGGCAATGTCTTAAACCTATTTGGGCAAATGATACTTGCTAAAATGTACACACTCGTTTTAGGGGAAAAAATTAATCTTTAAAGTAATGGCTGGCACCCAAAGCTTCTACATCTTCAAATAAATCTGCTGATTATTCCCTGTGGTGCAGCTGACACCAGCCTCAAACACTGCATTTCTTCTCTGGGAAATCCAGGAGCAGAGCAGAGTGAGTCTCACCCCAGCACAAATGGCATTTGCAGGTCTCTTTTCCAAATCATCCTTATTTATTTTTTAGTATCTGCACTATAAACAGAACATCTTGTGTTACAGTTTGTCAAAGAACTGGACATTTCCTTAAATGAAATGTGTGAAGGGGGTGAGGCTGCCCAAGCACCTTCCACCTTCAGAACCAGCTGCTTTTAGAGGGGGTGAAAGACTGGAAATGGGCACAGGCACCACAGATTTCTCTTTCCAGGCACAGTGGTTATGGCTGCAGTTACCACTGCCTTCACTCCACACCCAGAGAACACAGTGCCTGTCCTCTGCAATGGGAACTGGGCAGTTCAGAACAAACCAGAGACTGTGCATAAGTCTTTTGTTGGTCCTTAAATTAATAAAGTCTTAATTCTGAACCATTCTATTGGATTCAAGTGGAAACAGAGCAAGGTGAGATGGGATATTAGGAAGAAATTCCTAATACAATGCCTGTACTTTGGAATTGAAATTGCAGTTTAGAACAAACCAGAGACTGTGCATAAGTCTTTTGTTGGTCCTTAAATTAATAAAGTCTTAATTCTGAACCATTCTATTGGATTCAAATGGAAACAGAGCAAGATGAGATGGGATATTAGGAAAAAATTCCTAGTACTATGCCTGTACTTTGGAATTGAAACTGCAGTTTAGAACAAACCAGAGACTGTGCACAAGTCTTCTGTTGATCCCTAACTTGATAAAGTCTTAATACTGAACCATTCTATTGGATTCAAATGGAAACAGTGCAGGGTTAAGATGGGATATTAGGAAAGAAATCCTCCCTGTGAGGGTGGGGAGGCCCTGCACAGGTTGCCCAGAGAAGCTGTGGCTGCCCTGAAGTGTTCCAGGCCAGGCTGGATGGGGCTTGGAGCAACCTGGGATAGTGGAAGGTGTCCCTGCCCATGGCACAGGAGGAGCTTTAAGGTCCATTCCATCCCAAACCAGTCTGGGATTCTAAAATATGCCATCCAAAATAATCAGGAAGATGCTAAGCTGGGCTCCATGACATTTCTACAACATTTCTGCTGGCACGAATGACCTGCAAAAAACCTGAACTTGTTTTTTCTAGTGAAAAACAGAGAGACAGCATTTGTAAGCCATGAGCTGCAAAGATAAATCCAACTGCTCCTAGGAGCTGGTCCAAATATAAATAACCACATGCCAGCCCTGCTCACTTCCCGAAGGCTGGCTGAGCCCAAAGCTGAGGGTGAAGTGTCTTCACATCACTGAAGGCAGCAAACACCTTGAGTTTAGCTCTGAGCTCGAGTGCCAGACAAGACTTTATCAGTGCTGAGCAGCTCAAGCTGTATTTGGGGGGAGAATTGGCACATCCACCTGCCAGAGGGGAAAAGGGAGGAATGAATGGCCAAGTCCAGCGGCAAAGAGGGGGAGAAGGGATGTCACAGATGGACAGCAGGGACTAGCAGAATGACAACGGTACCAAGATGACTCAAGGATGTGGCACTGAGTCTGACTATGCCATCAAACAGCTGAGAGTGAACTTCAAGAGGAGCTTGGTTTGGATTGCTGGGATCCAGTGTTTGATCTCCTGGCAGCGAGTGACACGGAGATGTCACTTCTGCAGTCACGGCAAGGAGCAGCAGACGAGCGAGGGCTGGGTAAAGCTCTCAGCAACCTGGTCTGTGCCAGGTGCTCCTGCCATGGACAGGGGTGGAACGAGATGACATTTAATGTCCCTTCCAACAGGACTTGGGGCTGCTCCCTCAGGTCTGGGATGCAGTGCCAGGTTCCAGAGACCAGCAGCAAATGCAGGACTGGGAGAGGGGAAGTGCTCTGAGCGAGGTCTGTGGGAAAGGATGAACCATCCCCTTGCCCAGGGAAGCAGGGACTGCAACAGCAAACCACAAGCATTGCAAACACCAAATCGATTAAACCATTTCATTTAGCACATTTGGGAAACCTGAGAATACAATCAGAGACAGTAGGACCACTTGGCACCAGGAGGATGCAGAGAAAGCACCACGCTGGATGAGGTATGCAGGAAACATTCCTGGCTTGCAATCAATGCCAGCTTAAAGAATTACAGTTGAAATGAAAAGGGAATTGGTTGGGAATAAAGAAAAAAGAAGTAAAAGCATCCCTAATGTTGGCACAGAAGTTCTGTGTTAATGGGAGGAAACTTCAAGGTAAGAAGCATCGACTGTCACTTTGTTCCTTCCTTCAAACTGGGATGAAAGTGCCAGAGTGTGAAATCACTGCAGCTCTGAATGGATTGTTCAAGAGTCATCAGCCTCACACTGGATCCTTCAGTCACAATTCCTCAGATCTGTTTGGGGCTCACCTTGGATAAGGAAATAAACCTTTCAGACTACCCAGAAGAGACAGGATGGCAGAGGGTGTTTTATGTTGTTGAAAAGCATTTGCTGTTAGATCAGAGTCTGTAGTTTGTACCATGTCCCACAGCTCAAACATAAGGGAAATAATATTTAAATAATACATATCCAGCTCATGTATTTTTAATAATTTGATGTATTTTGTTTTTAATGTGAATGAAGCCAAGACTAAAGGCAGTGTGATCAGAAGGCAGATGAAGAAGTACTTAAAATTTGCTGCTTATGAAAGGCCCAGGATCCTGTGAAGCATTTTGGTATTTACAATCCTTCACAGAGAAAAAGGGATTGGAATACAGCCTGTAAGCATGTTGATTTGCAGAAATGTGCCCCTCAGAAGCCTCTTTAAATCCAGTTTAAACACTTTCTTTCCATCCTCATCCCTGCTCTCTATTTCTAGCAGCACTGAAGTGCTTTCTAAGACATAGTAAGAAAGAAAATGAGACTTGCACTGCTCTGCTTTTGGAAGAAGTTTTGCCACTGACACATTGGCCATGATTTCAACTATTTTTAGCTCTTGCAAGGTTAGGCTTCAAAAAAAAAATAGAAGAAAAAGAAGAAGAAAATACTCAAACTCAACAACAAAAAGAAAAAAAATCCTTCAACAGATCTAAATGAAACATTCCAAAGTGGCTTCCAGAGAGAGACTCAGCTCTCCTGCTGAACACTGCAATGACAGCTCAGCAGAGAAGCTGACAAGTGCTTAGCAGTTCAAAATCCATGAAGAAAAACCAGATGAAAATGTAAGATAAATACATGCATGAAGAGCTTACCTGAAGTAGAATTTAGGTCAATTACTCCTCAAGACTGAGCTACATATAAAATATCACATGGGCATCCAACTTCAATATGGAGTTCACAGAGTTAAAGCTAGATCCCACCACCAAGATTGGCACTACCTTTTGGGGTTTTTTTTTTTGACAGAAAAGAATCAATGTCTTCAAGGGAGGTGCACCGAGCTCTTCTTCATTTCTGCAATTTTCCTCCTAACTGAAGCAGCTTTAGGAACTTCTTCAGGACACATTTTCCACCCTCCCCTCAATTTTATAACCTCATGGAGCTAAGGAGCTAAAACTGGAATCCTATCTGAAGCTAGGGAGGTCAAATTAAGAGGAGGCAAAAAATGTCAGGAACAGAGCGGGAGGCCAAGCCTGCCTAGAAACCCTAATTAAAAATACCCCATCTGTGAAAATCATCTTTAATGTGAGGGTCACAGACACACCAGTGTTGAGGAAAGGAAAGAATCAGCCATGGAGTTACTCACATTGATAAAGAACCCAGGAGCAATTCCTGCAGAATTCTGGCCAAATTTCCATTTGAACAGCTCCTATCCCTGGGCACAACATCAACTGCTGATGAAGATTTAAACTGAGTTTAAATTTAAACTCTTTAGCAAGTTTCACCCTTGACTAGTTTCTGCCTTCACTTGAAGGCAAAGCTCACCAGCAGCTTTGCTCTATTTTTGTTTCAGCTTTAAGGTCACCACCACAGAATTAGAATTATGTCCTCAAACCCCTTCACAGAGTTGTAAGGGGCAAGTAATGATAAGGACAAATAATCCTAATGTGGGAAAGGTGGGTTACATATGCAAATACAAGGTGGTGTGTGGGAACTACAGACCATGGCTGTGTCTTCCTCTAATCAGGAGCAGAATTCTCTACTGTTGTCCTAGAAATAACAGAGGAATGTTTTAAAAAGAAAACTATTAAATGGTTTTGGGGCTGTCCTCGACTGGGGCTCAGAGAATTGAAATACTACATTCTAAAAATTCAATGGGAGATGCTGATACTTATTTTAACTCTAAGTTTTAACTGCCGCATCTTAAAAGGCTTTGAAGTACTTCCATTTTAGATCTACTGTAACCACCTACTCAACCAAATCTGTATTCCTGGCTCCATTAATCCCCTATTCCTGTGCTGCTGAAATTCAACATATGCCTTCAAGGTATGAGAGCCTGTGCTCTATATTTCACTAATTAAGCAATGAAGGTGCTTTTAATCTCTGCAGAATGGGTTTTTAATAGTTGTTCCCCCTCTTCTCAAGTGAGCAGTAGAGGTACAGCGCATCTCTTCTCTCTAACACAGCCTTAACCTTGCTCTGAGTGAGGTCCAGCAGTGCAGCAGCTCGTTTTGGTTTGAGGCCACTGCTTTCTGAAGCTGGGGGATGTTTGTTTGGGCAGAGGATTTTCCCTCACAGCCACAGTGTCACTGAGCATCTGGTGTCACAGTGCCTGCAAGGAGAGCACTCAAACCTCAGGTGTCTCCTCGGTGGGATATGGGAACAAGCAGGGTGTTGGCAGCAAGACTGGAAATTTCAGGCTACAGATGATGAAAGCAAGGCTGGGAAACAGAATAAGCAGCTCAATCATATGGAACCACCCCTCCTTTTGTACCCCCAGCCCAACCACACTCCAAGCCCGTGAGGAGAGCACCCCTCCCACCCCACAGGTAATCCCCATCCCCTCTCTGAAGTTATGCTCACCCAACAGAACTGAGAGCCCCTGGGACACAAAAAAACCTATTCCACAACTCGCTGATGAGAGCAGGTTGGGTTCTGGTTAAAATCTTTACCCTCAAAACCCACTTCTGGAAATGGAGTTGCTTTCTGTGCTGCCAGTCTTCAGTCTGAAAACCTTAAATTATCTGAGAATCAAAAAAGCAAAGTCACAGAGGCATTTTGCCGTTGCCCTATTTCCCTTGCAGTGGCTTTTGTTTAAACCTCCTTTATCTTGAGAAAAGGTTTAACTGTTACACTGCAAATATATTTGGGGAACACAGCAAAGCATGGAGCAGAACCACAATGGTGACTCCAAATCATGCTGAGAGGGGGGAAACAGGTTGGCTTCCTGTTGGTTTGAGGTTTTTTTCTTAAGTACTGCCATATTCAGCACACAGCAGTGAAGAATTCAAAAAAGGAATCTCAAGTCGTTGGTGCTTGTTAAAATTAATTCTCAGTTCAAGGAATTTTCTTTTAAGCAGTTCTTTTAATCAGGATATGGATATGGCATACCTCATTAAGATGGGTTTGCAAGATTTTCCTTTTCTCTATAGGCAGAGGGATAAAAAAAAATGAAATAAACGAGCACATCACATGTGATATATTAAGACTAAATCCTACATTTTGAACTTAAAAAAAAAAAAAGGATCCTTGTTGAAAAAACGTCTAGAATGAGTTCCCCAACTTTTGTTTGTGGGTTTTCTTATTTAAAAAATCAACTTTAAGTACAGGTATTTTAAAATAATGCAGCTGGGACATTTTTAGTAGTGTGCCTAACCCTGAACACCTTTGCTCTCCAGGATTAAATGTTACTGGGCCCTCCTCTGTCCATTCTTTGTAACAAACTACAGAGTTATTTTTTCTCGGTGCACAGAGCAAATCACGTATCACAAAATCCTCAGTGAGAAGGGTGAGCTCTTTAATGAAAGGCATCCTCTCTCCCAGAGAAAGTATTCTGTAAGCCTTACCTGGCAGTTTGTCTGAGCTAAATACAACATTAAAGTCGAGGTGGTCGCTCTTCCCAAATCCATACTCAGGACAGTCTTTGCACTGAGAAGGATCCACAGTGCAGGGGAGGCAATGGACAATCTGAGGGTATTGATGTGTTCATTCAAGAGCTAAACATGGTAACACACTACAAAAGAGCATTTGGAATGTGTGCATTGGAACTGGGTAACAATTTACAAGGGAGCATTAGAGGCCCACTGTTTAAAAAAAAAAAAAAAACCTCCTATAAACCTAAATCATTTAAAGTTTGCCAGCCAAGCAACTCTAGAGATCCTTAATGCCAAATAATGAATTACACCTTTCAAGGATGAACCACACTGGATTTTTTAAAGAGGCCATGCCACAGGGATACAGTTCTTTGTCTTTCCTAAGCAGATCATTGTACATCTGATCATATGTTGTTTTGAAGTCATAAACATTTGGCTTGTCCGGGGCTGGTCCTGGCAGTTTCACGTGAGTCCCTGTGCCAAAGGATCGGACGCTGAATCCTCGTTTGCTGAAAGACACAAGGGAAGCAGGGAGAACACGGTTACACTGGATGGACTTTAATTTTTAAAGTGCTGAAGAATATTAGAGTGAATTTTAAAAACACCTCTTAGCCAGCAGCTACAATTCCAAAGGTAAGCCAGTTGAGCAACCAAATTGCCCAGAGTACCCAATGTGCATTTTCCTTGCAGTCACAATCTCAATTCACACACCTTTCAAGGGAAGCAACTCTACTTGACAGGAATTTTCTTACAATTATGGGACACAGCTATCTGGAAATGTCACTCATGCTTTCAGACATCCTGGATTTGCAACAAACACGTTTTGTACTTGTGACAACACAGACAAAGATGGTTTTCTCTTGATACAAATACCTAACTGTACTGACTGATCAATACTTAAGTGTCCTGCTGAGACTGTTGGCCTAACTGCATTATTCTTCTCACTTTGTTGCCCAAAGTGCAATTTAATTAGCCCAGGACAAACATTTGTGTGCTTGCCACTGAAAACCATCTACCTTTACACAAGGGGGACAGATGTTCTGCTGCTGCTCTCTAAAACTCTTGGCTAAACCAGGGATTCCTTCATTCCATTCTTATGAACAACTACTTGTTTAATAGTTATAATTAACAAAACAACAACAACAAAAAAAGGCAGGAACCTGCTTGTCTTTAGGAGCAATGCCAAAATGTTCTTGCTGTTTAACTGAAATACTCAAACCTCAACACCTCCTTCAGTAATATTAAACATACAGCAATCTATTGAATAATGGGACAAAAAGAGATTTTCTGGTGGCCTAAAGGACAAAGTTACATGGTAAAATACTGTTGCCATCACCCAGAAGGTTGAAACATTTGGGTCTGTGATGAAAACCTAACTTGAAACAGCAAGACCAGGAGTTAATCTATATTTTTAAGGACTCACACTTTCAGCATGAGTGATTTTAGCAGAGACTGAATGGAGTGAACAATGTTAAAACAAAAAGCAAGTGAACTACCCAGTGCCTGTACCCCCACACCCCAAAAACAACCCCAGATTTGCAGCGCTTTCCTCTGAGGGGAGTGAGCAGAACTGGGACCCAGTGCAAGAGTTGGCCCCATGGAATTCCCTGCACATCCAAGGGAATTCAGCAGCAGACACCAACTCCATTTGTCTGTTTGCCTTCAGAGGCTGTCCCCAAAGTGATCCCAAATGCTGCTGGGCAGAGACTCTGACCACTCCTGCCCCAGCCTCAAACACAGCTCTGAAACTACCAACACTTATTTCCTTCAGCTCCTCTGACTGGAACACAGCCCTTCCTTTCTCTTTTCTTGCTTCTCCACACTTTTTCCTCCAGCAACTATTTATAGGTGCCTATTTCTGTAAACAGACAAGATACATGAGGAGTTTTTGCTTCTTTCTGCAGGACTGGTGACTGAAAATGGATACAAGTGGAATAAAGTGCAATTCTTTGTGCCTCCCAACCCTCCATCACATGTAACTGGTGCAGTTATGAGTCACTGTTCATTTATTTTCCCTGCAATACTTGCAGATCCAAGTTTTGATTCTGCTGCTTCTACTGGATGTGAAGACAGATATAATATGTACAGAACAAATCGCAGTGCTAAAAAATTCATGTTTCAATTTGATCTTTTCTTCCACGGTTCCCTTTATTTTCTTTTAACATTATTCTTTAAAACAGATCTGCTTGGATCACACACATTAAAACCTCCACCTCCAATTCCTGCAGATGTCCTGAAGTTTGCATGATTTCATACAAAGACAATTAGAAATCTCTGATATTTAACACATCAAAAATTTGTGTCTCTGAGGCCCATGACCCATTCAAAATTATTTCCTTGACTAGCTGGAATATGAGTTCTTCACATGGAATTTCATGCTTTGTACCTTGGTCAGTGGTAGTGTCATTTTTACACTATTTACGCCCCAGCTACAATAAAATATTCTAAAAACATTCCAACACATCTCTTGCAACAACTGGGGCACAGGAGATGGAAAAATGCCTGCAGAGAGCCATCAGTCAGGAGCTTTTATTAAATATTATTCATCTTTTATTAAACAAGCTGGACATATCCAGTGTAGTGAATCTTCAGGTGTCTGTGGAAATGTGGCACATCTGTAAAAATGAACAATTCCTACAAAACAATGGGTTTGGTTTTGATCTGGTAAAACTACCCAGAAGATGGAAAAAAATTAGCTTTGGCACAAAAAGTAAAGAGTAAAACAGACTAAGAGACTATCTTTTGAAAATGTGAGCTTAAACTTTAACAGACTAATAATGAGCATATTTCAGGAAGTTGTTTCTATGATTATTATTAAGGCTGATAAACTACCATGTGTTAAGGACAAAGTGAGTCACTGCCCAGATCTCATTTCGGTCCAAAGCTCACCACAAAGGAGCACTCAAGTGCCCCTGAGCACTTCCCTCCAAAGGCTCTCACAGCTCACTGAAAATAATTCTGAAATCAGAGACTCCACTGACTGGGACCACTCAGTTCCAGGCACTGGCAGGAGAAATAACCATCACCTGTGCAGCTTGAGACATGAACTTTTGTCTACACTTTTCTTTTATTTCACTCTTATCTGGGGATCTCACACATTCTTATTAAATAGCTTTTCAGTTTATTTTATGTTCCTAACAGCACAGCCTCTCTTTCCAATGGCTGTAGGAAATATTGGTAAATGTTAAAGCAAATGCAATAAATCCTGCAGTGCCACTGCACTCAAGAGTGGGGAAGGTTTTCAGGGACAAATCCCTAATTTTACCACATCCCTTTCCAGAAGAGGTGGCAGGAAAATAACCAGCAACCCTTGTAGGCTACTTTAAAAATACCTTATGCCACCCAATCAATCCCCCAAAACAAGCCCACGCTGCTGAACAGCAGGACAAAACAGGACAAAAGCACTGTTAACTCACTTTACTAACAACTTGTAATTTGCATCATCACTACTAAACTGTCAAATGAAAGTGTGCTTTGATATAAAAATATGAAAACATCTCCTTCTTGGGGGGTTATTCATTAGAATTTCTTAAATTAGGCAATATAGATGTCAATCCCTCCCTGTATTTTGGTGCTGACAGGTGATGCCAGGAGAGAAGCTGTGAGTAACAACTTCTGGAAACAACTTAAGTTTTGTTAATTAATGAGAACTTTTTGCTACAGGGGTTGCAACATTTTAATTTCCCTGCTGCCACTAAGATCTCATGTTCACACTAACTTCCTAAAAGTTAGCTTTCCACAACAAGGAATATGTAGCAGGAGTGTGTATCAGCATTTTAGAAATTTTTATTGCCAGTAACTGACACAGAGAACTTGAACTCAGTAACTTCCTTCCAAAGCCATCAGGGTACTCCCAAGCAAACAGAAATGTGGAAGTTGCTGCATAAAAAAGTCTGGCTGAAAGAGATTTATCCTTCTGCCTTCCTCCTCTGAGGGAGAACCATGGCCTGAGTCTACATGCTTTAGGAGAAAACATAAAATAAAAGATAAAATCACTTGTAGAACGTGCTGGTTTTGGCTGGGGTAGAGTTAATCTGTGGATTTGTGTTTGCAACAGGAGGATGTTTTTGTTATTGCTGTGCAGGGCTTACACAGCACCCAGGCCTGCTCTGCTTCTCTTCTCACCTCACCCCACCCCAGCAGAGGCTGCAGAAGCATTTAAATAACGCAGGTGAGTAAGGGCTGACCTAGGGCGGGTTACACACAGCCAGCCTGGCAGCTTTTGGCTTTCTGCACTGCTCCTCCTGCTCCCTCGGCCCTGTGGTGATGGCTCTTACTCTATCAACAAACTTCAGACAGACCTTCAGCCTGACTTCTGCTGGAAAATTAGAACAAAGTGTTTAAAACTTGGTTAATTACAAAACACACTTAATGCTGGACCGCAGACTTTGTTTTTCGACAGCACACAGAATTTGAGTTTTTAAAGTCTTGTCATCCAGTAACAAAATACCTTGAAGTTTTGTAATCCCTCAGCTTCTTCCTCTTTTAATCATGTGTTCTCTCCAACTGCATTGCAACAGACTGCCCTGAACTGGTGAGGCAGGCTGGCTTGGAGCCAACACAAGACATTTTCCTGAAGTTTACCGGCAAAAAGGCTGTTATTTCTTTACAGCAGCATCAGCAATTTATCTCTGCTTTGCCATTTATGCACTGCTGCTGTAACTACAAACGATGTTAGTAAAATGAAATGTTTTATAAATGCTAATTTGCCACTTTTAAATTCAAATCTAAAGGGAGAACGCTTTTAAAAACCACCCCTGCCACGTTTGGCAAACATCAGTCACACCGGAAGTGATTTATTTCTGCACAAACACAGGGGAAGGAAAAGGCCAGACATCATAAGTAAATTTAACTTTGTCCTTAACACTCAGCTGTCAATTAAAACTCAGTTCCAGCATTATTAGAGGAAAAACAATGTCATGTTTTCACAGAACTGCCACAGGTAACATCCAATGCCAAGAGTGAGCGTGAAGTGCATGAAATGCTGTCACAGTAAGATGGCTGCCAGACCAAATGCTTCTATTCTTTATTCCTTTCAAAGCTTTTATTTTTATTTACATGTAGCACACAACTTATGCACAGTAGTTTTGCTTATTATGCCATCAACGTGTATTTCTAATGTGAATGCTTCTTTGCATAACTTTAATAAAATAAACCCGACCATCGTTATCATGTTCCTGCAGTGCAAGGGGAGGATTTAGGGACACGATTTCAGGCAGATCAGGTCTCTCCTGTCCGTCCGTCTGTCCCAAATCTCCTATCTCACCTCTGCAGCCAAGCTGAGAGCACTGGGAGTGCTAAACAGATTAACACTCATAATCTCAAAGACATTTAGCATTCTGAACCGAATGTTCTGGTTTTCCTGTGAGAGGAAAAGGCTCCTTTTTAGGGCACAGAGTGGTTCAGTCTTCACAGAATGTTAAGGGATGGGAAGGGACCTAAAAACCCAACACCTTCCACCATCCCAAGTTGATCCAAGTTCTGTCCTAACCTTGCCTTGGACACTTCGAGGGATGGGACAGCCACAATCTCCCTGTGCCAGCGTCTACCACCCTTTTTACCACACTGAAAAAAATCTCTTCTTAACATCTAACCTAAATTTCCTCTTTCACTCTTTTGTCCTATCACTCGAGCTGCTGACGAAGAGACCCTCTCCGGCTTCCCTGTGGGCCCCTTTCAGATGGGCTCAAGAAAAAAAAAAAAAAAAAAAAAAAAAAAAGGAGAAAATAAAAAAAAACAGGAAAAGGGAATATTTAAGTTTCCACACGCCGAGCCACAGGTCCTGCTCCACCCAAGTCCCCAGCCCGTATTTCCAGCGCTGGGGCCGCAGCTCCGTCAGGCAGGGCCGGATCCCGACCGCGGCCTGGAGCGGGGCGCGGAGCAGGCGAGCTGAAAACGGGGCAAAAAGCGGGTAAAAGGGGGGTGAAAAGGGCGTACAAACAAAGTGGCGGCGAGGTGAGAAGCGGGATGAAGGCAGGGTGAAGGCAAGGCGCTATCCCGCAACCACGGGCCTGCCGGGCCGGGCGCGGGCCGCAAAGCGCGGCCCCATCCGCGCCTCCCTGACAGCGCCGGCGGCACGGCGGGGACGATGCACCGGGCAGCAGCGTTACCTGAGGATGTTGTGCGCCTCCATGCTGCGGTTCTGGTTGCTGGAGCACACCACGGCCACGCGGAGCGGCGCGGACGGCATGGCGGGCACGGCGCTGGGGCTGCCCGCGCCTCCCTCCCTGCCTGCCGGCCGCCGCTCCACAAAATGGCGGCGGCTGCGCGGCGGGCGGGGACGGGACGTGTCAGCAGGGACCCGCCGCGGCCAACCGCGGCACGGCGGAGGAGGAGCGGCCGCCGGGAGGGGAGGGCCGGGAGAAGGAAGAGGCTGGAGGGAGATGGGCGAGGGTGGGTGGGATGTGGGTCGCCCGATGTGTGGGGAGGGTGCTGGGTGAGGGCGAGTGGAGGCGCGGCACGGCGCGGCGGAGGGGCCGCCGTGAGGAGCCGCCGTGAGGAGCCGCCGTGAGGAGCCGCCGTGAGGAGCCGCCGTGAGGAGCCGCCGTGAGGAGCCGCCGTGAGGGGAGGGATGGGAGAAGGAAGGGGCTGGAGGGAGATGGATAAGGGCGAGCGGAGTGCGAGTCGCCGGACGTGTCGGCAGGACCACGGATAACCGGGAGCGGCCTCGGCCGCCGTGAGGGGAGGACCGGGAGAAGGGACCGGAGGGTGTTGGGCGAGGCCGAATGGAGCCGTGGCCGCCGTGAGGGAGAAGGAAGGGGCTGGAGGTTACTGGGTGAGGGCGAGTGGAGTGTGTGAAAAATGCCTATTTTATTATTATTGGCTTTTGGCAAATATTACAATGAATATTATATGTGAAATGTTAGAAAGTGATGCTATATTAATTCTCTTAAGTAGCGTGTTAAATATAGTTTTAGGTTCCAACATAATGTTAAAATATAAATATAAATATAAATATAAATATAAATATAAACATATATATATATGTATATATATATATATATATATATATATATATATGTGTGTGTATCTCGTTCCGCAAAAAAAACTCCCCACATACATAGTCTCTCCCCACATACACAGAGTATTATACATAGTCTGTGGGGAGTTTGTTTTTTTTTTTTTTTAGGAGTGAGATACTTGCTTTGAGGAACACCTAAATCTTCCAAAGAAAGGGAATTTATGGTTTTCTTATCAGAAGAAGCTAATTTCGCAAATATTACAATGAATATTATATGTGTAATGTTAGAAAGTGATGCTGTATTAATTCTCTTAAGTAGAGTGTTAAATATAGTTTTAGGTTCTAACATAATGTTGAAATAGAGACTATGGATGTGGGGGAAGGTTTTTTTGTTTTTTTGGTTTTTTTAGGAATGAGATACTCGCTTCGAGGAACACCCAAATCTTCCAAAGAAAAGGAATTTATGGATTTCTTATCAGAAGAAGCGAATTTCTTCAGGCCTTGCTCAGACTCGAAGACGCTGTGGGGATTAAAGGAAACAGTTGACATACAACAGACAGAGTTCTTGTTTTAAATAGAATTTATGCATGACCATGAAGGATGTATGAATATGCAACAGGCTATTGCTTTTAAGATTATTCCTTTGTTCACAAAACATGTTTTTCGTGACTTAGTGTCCGAGAGGATCCGGACATCCGTAATTCTTTGCTTTTTATTGTCTTGCAATTGTCCTAACTCTAAACTTTATTACTCTAATTGTATCACTATTTTTATAACCATTTTATTATTATTAAACTTTTAAAATTTTAAAAACCAAGTGACTGGCGTTTTTGACCCTGGCAAGAAGTCAAAAACATCCGTGGCTTCGATTTTGGCCCATGGAACACTGCCAACTTTGTATGAGGAATTACAAGTCACAAGGGTTTGAGTAGTGTGAATTTGAATAATTTGAATTTACACAGGGTGAAAAAGTAGAAATTGGAGGTTTTTTAGCATATAACTCCCACCACCGAAGCACCAATCCCCGAATCCTGCTGCCTCTCCGGGCTGCGGAGTTACAAAGGCAGCAAAAAGCAGGTTTTTAGCCCAAATTTCGCTCTGTTTGGCACTAGATGGCAGCCGAATGCCGAGGGGAAGCGTTCGGATGCAGGATTGAGTCATCCCGAGGAGCAGAATTGGGCTCGACACTCTGGATGATCCCAGGGGGATCCGCAGCGAGCAGAACGCCAACACCTGCCTGCCGCTAGGATTAAACATGGGATTCTGCATTCCAGGAGGAAACGCCACCGCTTTTACTGCAAACTGCACTAATTAGAATGCCAAAACTAGGAGTTGTTTCTGTTATTTCTGTTATTTACCCACCGACTGGTGAATTAGGCTGGTTTCAGGATTTTCTTGCATCCAGGGCAACATTATCAAGGTGCTCCTTGCTCAGCCCAGCTCAATCCCATTTTTCTGAGTTTTTTTCCGTCTCATAATGTTTCTCCCCTTTGGTCTCCTTGCACTATTTCAATGGCAGGAGGAGGTAAGGGAGCAGGAGAAATACAGGAGATAAACCAGGACATCAAAGGAACAAATCTATTCCCCAGCCCAGCTGCACTTCACTAGTGAGGCAGGACTCTCTCCTCAGTGCTTCCTAAAAATATTTTCTGCCGTCCCATTGTGTTTTCTGAGGAATTTTTCCCCATTATCACCACAGCACTTCCAGCAGAGCCTTTTCCTCCTCCCACAACCACCATTCTCCTCTCCTCTATGTAAAGCTTTTCCCTCTCTCTTGTATTTTCCATTAAAATTAAAGCTTTTCTCACTATCCCCTCAAATTTAACAAAGAAATCTTTCCCCTTTCCTTGTGCAGCCCTTTTGTAACCCAGCATTTCCCACCTAAATGTGTCCCCTCAGCACTTGAAAAACCTTCTTTCCTTGGGTCTCCTCTCAGCCGTTCCTATCCCTGCCCATCATCTTCTCAATTCTTATTCTGCAAATAACAAGATCTGATCCCCTGGTAGTTGTGGTCAGGGAATGATCAGAGATGCAGTGACCAGACCTGGCTTGAAACAAGTCTCAGGGTGGTTTTCTCAGATTAAAACTGCCAAAAAACCCCATCCAAGCATCCCTGCTGTAATTCCAAAGCTTTTACCAGGAATGTGACACTCTTACCTGCCTCTTTTCCTCCTTCCAGCCCACCTTTCTTTTGGAACAGGCTGCTGAAACACAGTTTGCAACCTCATAAAGCCGAAACTCCTCTAGTAAATAAAATGAGAGTATTAATAAATCCCTAATTTTCCTATTAATGCTGTCTAAATTTTACAGTAGGCAATGGAATATTATTATGACTGGTTTGGGCAGATTCACTTTGAGTCAAGCAAGATCCTGAACCTTTAAATATTTATGAAATTTTCTTTTCTTTTCATCATCCTCTTAATTTATTCAGTTCAATGCCAAGGTGGTACAAGGCTCATGGTTTGTACAGCTGGTTTTCACATCTGGCAGTTCATGACAAGATGAGGAACAGAACAATGACATTGTTTGACAAAAGGGGACAGAGATGTACAAAATCAGTGGCACCCCAATGCTCCTGTGCTGAACTGGATACAGCAAAAAAACAAACCAAAACAAAAAAAAAACAAACAAAAAAACCCTGCAACCTTTAAAAGACCAAAATTTGTCTTCATGTTCTTCAAAATTGCCTTTTCTTGCAGCAGTCGATCTCCTTATCTCCTTTGGGGTAAAAACCCCAAAATGATGGCATCAGTGAGTTGCTTAAATCCAGCACATGGCAAGGCAAGAACCACAGAACACCTAAATGGAGTCAGAATGGAAACACAGCGGGAATAACAAAGGAAAAGGTGTTGATGAAATGCTTCAGCTCCTCAGCCACTCCCAAGTTCTTGAAGAAGGGATTATGTCCAGTACAAATAATGTGTATTATTAAGGATCCCACACGCTTCCTATATTTACCCTCTACCACCAAGTTTAAACTTCACAAAGGACTTTCACAAGGAAGAGCAAACAGGTCGTTCACCAGTGCTAAACATTTACACAAACAGATCACACAATCCCTTTACACAAGAGCCTTTCCCCTATTTTTTTTTTTTGCTTTGAGTGCACAGTTCCTAAGTGATAATAAATTATTTTTTGTGTTACAGCAGTCAACTACATACAAACAACACGTACTAAAAACTACCTCACTAAATACCTCTCTGAAGGTAACTACTTTGTGTATATATTAAATTTCAAGTAATGATCAGCCCAAGTTGGTTTGATTTTTTTTTTTTAAGAAAACAACCAGACAAACCAACAACCACTAATTCCAGGGACAAGAACACGAGGGAAACACACTTAACTACAAGGACTAGAGGAACAGGTACACCAATAGAAATGGGACAAATTCTCAGCACTAAGGCACAATAGAATCAGTACTAGAGTATGGCTAAAACCTTACTTTACTACAGCATCAAGTGAGGAGTTACCAGGGAGTGTTCCTACGCTCAAAACACTCGGCTACAACATCAGTGACTTCTGTGCTCAAGAAGCTTCTACCTTAGTGCAGCTGCTTTGCTAAAGGAGAGGATTTCAGGGACCAAGGGGGTGCTCACTTATATCTTACTTATAATTAAGGGTTGGTTCCTACTTACTCAACAAAATGGAGTTTTCTACTCAATTTATCCCTTTACCTGCACTCTTTGTAAAACTGTGACACAGTTCTGATGGGAGAAAAGCAGGTGTTGGATGTTGGTGGTTGCTGGAGCTGACCAGAAAACCCTCGACCAGAAAACCCCTGTTGTTTTTGGATATTGGCCCCAAAATTCGTGACCACCGTAAGGCATGATACAAAACCCACCTAAAACACGAGATTAAGTGGGTTTTGGATCAAACACACACTTAGCTATGGGGTTTGTGGTCCCACCATCAGTTCTCCTGAACTTTAAACAACTTTACCCCACAGGAAAAAAAAAATCAAGCACTGGTCTAAGACCAAGAGGTTTTATGCTCAAAATAAGGGCGCTCTGGAGAGTCTTTTCAAACAGGCTCTGGGTAGGATCTGCCGTTTGCCCTTGGAAGCAGACGATTTCTGGCACTTGGGACCTCTGCCATTGGTTTTTGATCCGCTGAGATGCCGCGAGTTCATCACCACGAAGGCTCTGGCCGAGACGCCACCCCAGGAGGAAGAAGAGCTGCGAACTCCGCTGGAAAGGCGCATCCTGGAAATTTGGGCACGGCAAAGCCAGCGCTGCCAGAACAATCTGCAAAACCTCTTCCCTGGCCGGACAGCGCGGAAAGGACGGCTGCGGGAGCCGCCGGGAGCAGCATCACCATCACCATCACCACCATCATCATCATCACCATCATCCCCTCCCGCACTACGCGCGGCGCGCAGCGGCAGCCGCGTGTCCCCCGCGGGCGGCCGCGGGGCTCATGAGGTTCTCGGTGATGTAAGCCACGAGCAGGCAGATGAAAACGAGCATCACGCAGATGGATCCCCCCACGGCCGTCATGGCCACGACGATGTCGCGCATGGCCGCGGGCTCCAGGCGGAACTCCACGCACTGCGCGGGCGGCGCGGGGCGCGGCGGGGCGTAGCGCGGCTGCAGGCACAGGCGGTACCGCACGCTGCCGTGCGCCTCGGCCAGCAGATAATCGCGACATGCGGCCCCCAGCTCCACGCTGTCGCAGGGGAAACGCGTGTAGGTGCCGTCCCAGGAGCAGTTGAGCGCGAAGCCGCGCAGAGCGGCGGAGGAGCGCGGAGAAGGCGGCCCCCAGTGCCGCAGCCCCCACTGCAGCAGCACGCTGCCGTTCCGCAGCACGTTGGCCACCAGCGCTCCGCCGGCCGAGCGGTGGGCGCGGCAGCCCCGGGCCGAGCACTGGAAGCCGCGGGCCGGAGGGCGGAAGCACAGCCGCGCCCCATCGCCGCCCACCTTGTAGGGGCACCAGGGCTCGTCGGGGTCGGCAGCCCCGAGGCACAGCAGGGCGAGCAGAGGAGGCAGCAGGATGGGCGGGCCGGGCATGGAGGCTCCGAGCGCGGGGCGAGCGCGGGGCGGCAGCGGCCGCGGGGCCGCCGGCGGAGAGAGGCGGTGCCGCCGTTAACTCTCGCCGGGCTGCGGAGCACCCGCCCGCTGCGGCCGCTGCTGGCCACCAGCTCATGGGCTCCGCGCCGAGCGCTCAGACCCCGCGGGGGCGGGTGCTGGCGGTGCGGAGAGCCCGCGGGGACCGGCACGGGGGGCTGGGACCACACAGGGGTGGGCATGGGGGGCTGGGACCCCGCAAGAACCAGCACAGAGGGCTGGGACCCCGCAGGGACCGGCACGGGGGGCTGGGACCACACAGGGGTGGGCACGGGGAGCTGGGACCCCGCAAAGACCGGCACAGGGGGCTGGGACCCCGCAGGGACCGGCACGGGGAGCTGGGACCCCGCAAGAACCGGCACGGGGAGCTGGGACACCTCCAGGACCGGCACGGGGGGCTGGGACCCCGCAAGGACCGGCACGGGGGGCTGAGACCCCACAAGGACCGGCACGGGGGTTTGGGAGCCCGCAAGGACCGGCACGGGGGGCTGGGACCACACAGGGGTGGGCATGGGGGGCTGAGACCCCACAGGGGTGGGCACGGGGGGCTGGGACCCTGCAAGGACCGGCACGGGGGGCTGGGACCCTGCAAGGACCGGCACGGGGGGCTGGGACCCCGCAAGGACCGGCACGGGGGGCTGGGACCACACAGGGATGGGCACGGGGGATGATGAGATCCCGCATGGGGGGGATGCTCAGACTCCACAAGGGTTTGGTATAGGGGGATGCTGAGACCCCTTAGGGGCTGGTACAGGAATGCTCAGACACCACAGGGGTCGGTACAAGGGATGCTCAGACCCCTTAAGGGTTGGCACAGGGGGATGCTCAGACCCCTGAAGGGTTGGCACAAGGATGCTCAGAGCCCACAGGGGTTGGTAAAGGATGCTCAGACCCCACAGGGGTTGGCACAGGGGGATGCTGAGACCCCTCAAGGGTTGGCACAGGGGGATGCTCAGACCCCACAGAGGTTGGTAAGGGATGCTCAGACCCCTCAAGGGTTGGCACAAGGATGCTCAGACCCCACAGGGGTTGGTAAGGGATGCTCAGACCCCACAGGGGTTGCCACAGGGGATGTGCAGCCCCCACCGTCCCTCCCCCAGGCTCTGCTGTACCCACCGGTCCCGTCTTGGTCGAGTTACAGATTTCATCCCACACCAAACAATCTTATTTTAAAAAATAAAAAAATTCTCCTTATTTTTGATCTGGTTTTACACAGCGTCCTGTTTTAATTTTTATAGCAGAACATAAGCATTTGTCTATATTTAACCTGTGAAATATAGCAATTCTCCCGTTATGTGGTTAACACCCCCCAAAACGTGCCTGGGGATGGCCGGGAGGTGCCTCTGTCCCCGGGGCTGACACCAGCAGGGCTGCGGTCCATGGCAGGGCTGGGGAAGGTGCCAGAGCTCCCCTGCAGCTGATGCAAACCTTTTACTTTATCTGCACAGCCAGACTGCTTTAACCTCTTGGCTTTGGGAATTTAAATAAAGTCGGTGAGGATGTAACAAAGACACGAGACCCTCCCAGGAGGTCAGCTGAGAGCAGGGACAGCTCTGAGACAGAAGGAACAAGGATTTTCCTTTTCCTGCCCTACCCCAAATGCCATTTCCTCAGCCCTCCCTCCAGCCCTGGCTCTGGAGGCGATTTTGCAGCACAGGAGGAGACAGCAGTGCTCCATCCCATCTTCACACCGTAATTAATGCTCTGAGCGAGTATTGACTCGTCTAAATGGGGAAAGAAAAGAGCTCTAATGAATGAATAACAAAAATACAGGATTAAACAGTGCTTGCAGATCCTTCGAGCTGTTGAATTGGTAAAAGTTGCTTTAAGTCCTTTCCTGACTAGCAGGGAAAAAAAAAAAAAAAAGTTTCTTTTTGGTTTTGATCAGGTTTTACATAAAGTTGTGTTTCAGATTTTATAGCAAAACATAAGCATTTGTCTATATTTAGCTTTTAAAACAGCATAATTAGCATATTATTTTGTTAAACCCCTCAGAAATGTGCCTAAACACATTGCTGTAGTTCCTCACTTGTTACCTCTTTAGAAACACATTGCAGTTAACTGTGTATGTTTTCTTTAAAAACACAATTTGAATTATATAAGTCAAAAACACAACAAAAATAAGATCCCGAGGCCTATTTTTATTTCATAGCCTGAATAAAACCAAACCCAAATCATACCTGGAAGGTGATGCTTGCATATACACAAAGTGTAATTTGTTGTAGTGTGGAATTTGTTTAAATAATTTTGCTTTCTGATGCATTGAACATGAATGGGCTGACAGCAGGACACCTTTTCCTGTTGGAAAGACTGGATTTTCCAAGTGTGTGCTTCCTAAGGAAGTCTTTAATTTACCAATATCAAGCATTGGAGGTTATTTCCACATCTATTTTTTCACCAGATTTAATGGGGGGGGTGTCTGCTAACCTATGGAAAATTGCCAGGAATTTTTTTGATACCAAGAGGGATCACTAAAAAAATAGGATCAGCACAGAGAAGGATGCTGAAGGTGCAGTTATGGCTTGGAAAACACTTGGATATTGGAGCAGGGAGAGGCGCTGTGCTGCTGAAGGCACTTCTTGGCGAATTTACGTGTGGAATTCCAGCCAGGATGCAAAAACTGGAGATCTGACAGCCCTCCCTGAGAAATGTCAGCGTGTTCAGCAAGTGGCTGGAGCCAAACCAAGCAAGTTTTTCCCCTTCAAACTTTGTGTCCTCCTCACAGCGGTGACTGTTCCCAGAGCTGTCCTTGTTGCCACGTCCAGGCAGGAGGTCTGGCAGCAGCCTCTGTGTTTCCTTGTGATTAACAGCTCAGCCCCAGTTCTGCTGCCACATCCAAGGGTTTGGAGTGTGGTGCAGGGAAGGAAAATGGTTGGCACAGCAGTGGAGGCCCTGAACCCATCCAAAAAATGACAATGCTACAAGTTAACGACACCTTCTGCACTTTTTTTGGCCTTGCACTGTGTCTGAGCAAAAAACCCAAATATTTTTGCCAGAGCTTTGGCTTGGTCAGCCTGGCCGTGCTGGCTCCCTGTGAATTCTTTGTCTCGTTATTTGCTCTCTTAGCAATCCATCTGTTTCCTGAGACCTTGTGGTGTGCACTAAAACCCAGCCTGGGTTTTTCATGGCACTGCTTCAGCATTCTGGGCTTTGGCTTTTCTGCTTCTCCTCCACTGCCTTTATTGTCTCTTCTCAAGGAAACACTGAAGGAGCATCAAAACTCGCTGTGGGCCAGGCAATGCAGCACTGCCAACCTCACAGCTCACAATTTATGCAGCACTCTGCTAATTTTAGTCTCAGATATGGCAGGGCAGACAGTCCCCAGGGCAGAGATGTTTGCTCTCAGCCGAGGGCAGCACATGACATATGGTTCCTAAAGCATCCTCCCAGCTGGCAGCTCTGCATCCAGTCCAGTTGCTCCAGTTCCCTCCAAGTCATAACTTTGAGGATTACTCACCCCAGCCATGCAAACACAGAGAATCTGCCTCCTAATTTAGATTATCCTGCAGCCTGAATCTGTGAGCAGCCTCACCCCCACCGGGCTTCTATTTCCAGGGTTTGATTCACTCCCAGTGAATTCACCCAGTGCCAGGCTGGGGCAGAGCAGGGAGGGATGCAGCAGGGAGAGATGAGCTGGGGCAGCTTGGGCACGGAGCTTTGGCACTGGGGCCGTGCCTGGGGGTTCAGGGGTGCTGCTCTGACCTGGGAAAGGGAGGCAGATCTATCAGGATGCTCTGAAAAAGCAACTGCAGCCTCAGCTGCTCTGCTGTGAGCGTGCTATTCATAGAGGAGTGCATCACAGCAGGGCTGGCAAAGCACCAGAGCAGCTTTAACCATCTCAGGGCATTTTGGGGATCTTAAACCCCACTAGGGTTTGGTAGTGGGCTCCTTACTGGGCTCCATGAGCAGCTCTGGTACTTGGCTAAAAGATAATTTCCTAAAATTGTCCCTTTCCTTATACTGCTCCACTCTGTGCCAGAGTTGGACTTGCACAGCTGATTGTACTGGTAAGAAACACAAGCAGAATCAAAACAAAGAACCAAAAAGTCCTCTGAAATGTAAATTTCAAGCTCCATTAAAACCAGTGGAAGAAAAAGAAATCAATGCTGTCAGAATAAAAAAGGCTGAGCTTGTTGGGAAATAAATATTGGTTTCCCCAGTGTCTAAAAATGCTTGCAAAATATGCCACAAACAAGGGATTAAAAAGAGCTTAACTAATTCAAATAGAGAACAAAGATGCTCTGATTTTTTTACCAGGTGGTGACATTCAGGCACAAGCTGTGTTTGATGATTGAGGTCCCAGAGTCTGGGGATGAGGAAGCAACAGACAGCTCAGGCCCAGGGGTCTGGCACAGGACAGGGAGTGGGACAGCTCTGCCCTGTTCTTGTCACTTCAAACAGGTTCTGAGCTTTGAGATACTGTCATTAAACCCATTCTCCTTTAATTCTAAATTCCAGGGGGTCCAGCTGACTGTTCCTTCTTTGTCCCTGAGGTCAGGTAAGATGTCTTTTGGAGGCCAAGTCCCACAGGATTCAATCTTCTGCATCAACAAAAAAATTGTCTAGAAGAAGCAAAATTGACTTTAGGTCCCTGCCAAGTGTTGGGAGACTGGAAATAATCAAGTGTTGGGAGACTGGAAATAATCCAAACAGGTTGGAACTGCATTCGTTGGGCTGCAAATATTCCTTTTTTCCCCATTTCTTGGTGTGGCTGTCCCCATCTCCGCGGGGAAGAGCCTCTCTCAGCTCAGGGAAGATGCCCAGCATTCCATGGGGACACTCTGAGCCCAGCAGGACTGGCAAGGAGAGCTCTGCAAGGATCTGCTCCAAGTCTCTGGAGGGTCTCTGCAGCAGGAAGGGGGTGCAGGTGTTCAATCCCCCCACACACACTCTGCTGGCCGTGGGTGGTGCTCCTGCACAGCTCCAGGCAAAGAACAGGAAATTTCCTCTGGTTCCCTCCCCACCCTACTCAAAGGATGTGTTAAAGAAACACTACTGAGCAAAATCATTTGTGAAGACAGATTCCTTTGTATTAGAGATCAGTCAAGTGAGTCCAGGGACCAGCTCAGGCACCCCTCTGCTGCCAGGGGGGGTAAAAAACACCCCCCAAAACCAACCAAAAAAGCCCTCTCCAGCTTCAAAAGGGGATGTGGAAAACAAGAGGGCGAAGAACACCGTAAATCAAAAAGTGCTTCTAAGAAAAGCAGCAGGATAAGATCATTCCCAGTCTGAGGGATCTCTGAGAGGCAGCAAGGCCCCACACCGAGGTGGGATTTTCAGCTGCAAACCCCTGCAAGGACCTGCAGAGAGTTCCCTCCTCCTGCCTTTGCTCCGGGCAGTGGTTAGTTCTGGGGGCAGTTCCCATCCCCTCATTCCTGGAGTATCCCGGTTTTTCAGCAGCTCTCAGAAGTAGTCATCCTTCTTGCCACCCTGCCTTCCCACACGGTCCTTCTGCTCTTGGACAAGCTCCAGGTCATCGTTGTCATCCACCTCCCCTCCATGATCCTCCTGGGGGCACAGGAGGAAAAATCAGCAAAAAGGAAAACCTGGAGAAGGAGACCCTAAAGCCACACCATGCTGTCCCCAGCTCCACCAAACCAGCCCAGCTTTGGAAACCTCGGGCACCAGGGAAGAGCCCACCTCTGCCAGGCACCTTCAGGTGTCACTGGCAGGGCACAGAGGTGTTTTAAGCACATTTAATATCCTGGCAGTGCCATGCAACTTGGACATCTCTGCCTGTTGCCTCTGCTGCAGGAGGAGCAGAACGAGGGGCAGATGTACAGAGCAGGAACGAGGAGGTGACCTTTTACATCCACCACATTTAAAACTGTGTCACCAACCCCATTTAAAACTGTGTCACCAACCCCACCCAGGCCACACAGCAGCCAGCACAGCCTCCATGGATGATTTTAGCTCCAACCATCCATTGTAGACACCTACAAGAGGCCTGGAATCACTCAGGGAAAGGAGCCCTGACACCAACTCTGCCCACCCCATATTTCCCCACTCCCTTCACTCCCAAACCCTCAGCAATCCTGGGAAAACTGCAGAAAAACCCTCAGGAGCCACTCAGAAAGAGCAGGGGGAGAAGGAATGACACTGGAAGAGGATTCATTTTTATCTCTGTGAGCCACAAGGTACCAGGGTGATCCTCTCTAGCTCTTGCTTGACAAACTTTGATCTGGCCTTGGTGCACTGGTACAGCCTTGATTCCTGCTGTGATTGATTCCTGCTGTGATTGATTCCTGCTCTGATTCCTGCTCTGATTGATTCCTGCTCTGATTGATTCCTGCTCTGATTCCTGCTGTGATTCCTGCTGTGATTGATTCCTGCTGTGATTGATTCCTGCTATGATTCCTGCTGTGATTCCTGCTCTGATTGATTCCTGTTATGATTGATTCCTGCTATGATTCCTGCTCTGATTCCTGCTCTGATTGATTCCTGCTCTGATTGATTCCTGCTGTGATTCCTGCTGTTGATTCCTGCTGTTGATTCCTGCTGTGATTGATTCCTGCTGTGATTGATTCCTGCTCTGATTGATTCCTGCTATGATTCCTGCTATGATTCCTGCTGTGATTGATTCCTGCTCTGATTGATTCCTGCTATGATTCCTGCTGTGATTCCCCCTGTGACTCCTCCCAGCTGCTGTTTGGGAAGCATCCCACAGCTGCAGGTGGATGCAGACAGAAGGGAGGAAGGGACAGGGAGCACAGAGGCTGCTCTGAACACCTGGAAAAGGCAGCAGTGGGCTCCAGGTTTGTTCTGGACACTTCACTGGGCAGGCAGAGGCAGAGCTGGAGGCCCTGCTCACACCTGGCTCCCTAAAACTGAGTCCCCCCCAAGCTCCAGGTCAGCCCACACCAGAGAGGCAAAGAGGAAGAACCTTGGTCTCGTACAATTTCTTGCTCCTGATCTTCTTGGTAGTCCTCCAGAGGGTCTTCCCTGGGCTTGGCAGGTCTGGCAGCATCCTGAAACACACAGCCAGGCAGGGTTGGGAGTGCCCCAGCCTGCTCCCACCCCTCCAGGGACACGCTCCCTGCAGCAGAGCCCAGCTCAGGAGCTCGGGGTGCATCTGCAATCAGGGGGAGCAGAGGGACAATCAGGCAACAAAAACTCCATTTGTTTTTTCCATCCAGCCTCTTTTCCCACCTGCTGGCAGCTCCTCTCAGGAGGGCCCCGGGGCTGTTGCCTCAAGCCCCAGGACTCTGGAAAACTTTGGGTTATTTAGGGTAGAGATTTAGTGAGCGCAGCACAGCCAGATCTGAAAGCCAGGTATTTTTGTCACTAATTCTTTCCACATTTTCGCTAATCTCAAGGAGGTGTTGCTCTTCTGGTGCCAGCACCTCTCTTTTATTTGATTTCATTGGCCTGGATTTCTTTTTTTCTTTCTTAATCCCACCATTAATCATGATTGTAGAGCCTGACAGATAAAACAGTCCTTTTTTAAAACAAGCAACGTTCAGCTGCTTGTCAAAACAAATGAACATTTCCCTGATGCAGAGTCTGGCTTCAGGCAGCAAGAAACACTTTGTGAAGTAAATGGATTCCATCTGCAAGGAAGCAAACAAGGAGGCAGAGCTCTGACATGCTGCCAGGAGCCTTGGACAGGGCTGCACTGACCAGAACCCGAGCACAGACTCAGATTATTGTCTCTGGTTCTGTTCCCAAGTGCATGAAAGGCACTATTCCACATCTCCCCATCCTTAAAGGTTTTGCAAGTGCCAGGGTGGACTTAACAAGCAGAGAGGATGAGGCCAGAGCAAGCTCTGGTGCATGGCTAAAATAGAATTTCCTAAATTCTGGCACCTCCGGTTATTCTGCTCCACTCTGCACCAGAGCTGGACTTGCACAGCTGGTTGTACTGGTGAAAAACAAAAGCAGAATGAAAACAAAGAACCGAAAAGTCCTATGAAATGTAAAATTCAGGCTCCATTACAACCAGGGGAAGAGAAAATAAGTTGTTTTTGACCAATGTCCCAAAGAGCTTTCTCCCCCCTGCCACATCCAGCCCTACTGGTTGTCCCCAGCCAGTCACCTTTGGTGGCTTCTCCTTCGACTCTTCTTTAAAGCTGGGCTCCTTCAACTTCTCCAAACCTCCCACCTTCTCCTCAAAGTCGGGTCTCTCCAGCTCAGCCTCCTCAAACTCATCCTCACCTTGGTTATTGGGGTCCTGGGCAGGATCTGCAGCATCATCTGGCATCTGGACAAGAAAAGCCTCTTGTGGAAGGGTATTCCCTCAGGAGGCTTCCCTTGCTGCCTTCCCCAGCAAGTTTTTTAAAAACCCCAAAACAATCTTTGCTATCCCTCCACCCCCGAGGAGTTCAGAGCTGCACCTCACAGAAACTTTTGTGAAGTAATTTTGGACTTTTTGGATTCCTGTTCTGAGCCAGATGTTGCATGCAGGTGAAACAGGGCAGGATGAAAAGATGAAAACTTTTCACAGGCAGGCTGGGCAGGGCTTGGAGCAGCCTGGGACAGGGGAAGGTGGCCCTGCCATGGCTGGGGACAGGCTGAGATGGGATTGAAGGTCCCTTCCAAGCCTTGGAGCGGGTTTGTGATGCTGGGGGCACTCACCATGGGCTCCTGCACCACCGGCTCCTGCTGCGAGTGCTCCTCCCTGGAGATGACTCCTGCGTCTGCTGGGGACAGGGACGGGATGGGGATGGGGACAGGGACGGGGATGGGGACAGGGATGGGAATGGGGACAAGGACAGGGATGGGGACAGGGATGGGGATGGGGACAGGGATGGGGTGGGGACAGGGATGGGGACAGGGACAAGGACAGAGACAGGGATGAGGACAAGGACAGGGACGGGGACAGAGACAGGGATGGGAACAGGGATGGGGATGGGGACGGGGACAGGGATGGGGACAGGGATGGGGACAGGGGCAGGGATGGGGACAGGGATGGGGACAAGGACAGGGATGGGGACAGGGATGGGGACAGGGGCAGGGATGGGGACAGGGATGAGGACAAGGACAGGGATGGGGACAGAGACAGGGACAGCCAATGGGGTCTCCTTGAAGCCACTGCCACCCCTTGGGTGGTTTCTCTCAACCTCGTGGGGCAGGCAGAGCTCTGTGAATGTCTGCAGGGAAAAGGGGCAGACAGAAACTCCCCAGACACCAAGAGTTGGGTTTGCAAAGGGAGGAAGCTTGGCTTGGTGTGAAGATGGACTACACAGAGGCACAAAAACTGTAAACTGATTTTCTGTAGGTGTAAGTAAGACTGTGCCTTAAGTAAGTGAGAAACTATTGATAAGATGGTGAAAAGTTTTATAGAGTAGTAATGTAATTGTATAGAATAAGCTAAGGGTATATAATATATTATTATATATAATATATAATTATATAGATTATATAATAAGGATATATAATATTAAAATATATTTTAACTATATAATATATATAATTATATTACTAATATAAATAATAATATATAAGATAACATTGCTATATAATTATTATATAATATGTACTTATATATAATATTTAATATATTAGGCATATAAATATAATATTATCTATTATATATGTTATTTATATATATAATATTATATATACTTACAGTATATAAGTATATAGTATAATAGTATATAAGTATATACAATATATACTATATATAGTATATATCATATATTATATATAGTATATATTATATATATATACACTATATTCTATACTCTATATTATATATTATATATTACATATTACATATATATTATATAGTATATATTATATAGAGTATATATACAATATTATATACTTTTTTATATAATATAGAATATATATTATGATAATATTATATTATATATATAAAATATATAATTACAATATGTATTATAATAGAAGCATATGTGTGTACCATTAATAGTAGCCCATTGGATAAATTATACCCAGTGCAGTAGAATTAATAAAAGTGATGGGTTTGAAAAACAAAATCAACATTGTGGCAGCTTTCCATTGGATTAGGGTGTTATATATTGCCTTGTAACAAATAAACCTTTGCTTTTGAGCTGTGGCTGACTGCTTCTAAAATTTTGAAATATAATTTCAAAATTTTAACATTTTAAATTTGAATTTAATAAATATTAAAAAAAATTAACTCTCACAGCCTTTGAGGCTGATATTTCTCTGAGCAATAAATTGTTTTTAGCCCGACAGTAGTGCCACCCCTTCAATTAAAGAGAATAATTGGTGTGTCCATTGAAAGATTAGAAAGGAAAGGATTTCCATACCCATTTCCAGCTCCTCCTCGTCCGCCCTCTCTGTTCCCTGCTCTGCCCCTCTCCTGGGGCTGGGGGGCTGGGGGCTGCCCCTCTGCCCCCTCTGCCCCCTCTGCCCGGCCTGGGGGGCACCCTGGGGCTCCCTGGGGTGGCCACCCGCTTCTTCCTCGGCCACCTGGGCGCTCATCCTGCTGGCGAGGTCCTGCCAGCTGCAAAACCAGAAAAACTCAGCTCATGTTCCAGAAAACTCAGTAAATATTCTATAAAACTCAGTTAATATTCCATAAAACTCATTAATGTTCCAGAAAACTCAGTTAATGTTCCAGAAAACTCAGTGTTCCATAAAACTCAGTAAATATTCTATAAAACTCAGTAAATATTCTATAAAACTCAGTTAATATTCCAGAAAACTCATTAATGTTCCAGAAAACTCAGTTAATGTTCCAGAAAACTCAATGTTCCAGAAAACTCAGTTAATATTCCAGAAAACTCAGTTAATGTTCCAGAAAACTCAGTGTTCCATAAAACTCAGTAAATATTCTATAAAACTCAGTTACTATTCCAGAAAACTCATTAATGTTCCAGAAAACTCAGCGTTCCAGAAAACTCAGCTCATGTTCAGAAAACTCAGTAAATATTCTATAAAACTCAGTTAATATTCCATAAAACTCATTAATGTTCCAGAAAACTCAGTTAATGTTCCAGAAAACTCAGTTAATATTCTATAAAACTCAGTTAATATTCCAGAAAACTCAGTAAATATGCCATAAAATTTAGTAAATATTCCAGAAAACTCAGTTAATATTCCAGAAAACGCCGCTAATATTCCAGAAAACGCCGCTAATATTCCAGAAAATGCAGTTAATGTTTCCGAAAGCTCAGTGTATGTCCCTGCAGACGTGATTTATCACAGCACTTTGGGGAGGATGTGGCCATTTAAAGCAAAAAGGGAAAGGCCACAGGTTCAGTGACCAGACAAAAATAGAAGAGAAGAAAGGGCAGGAACAGGCTGAGTCTAGAATCAAATGCAGAAGTTTCCTCTACAGATAAAACAGAAATGAAATCCTGTTTGCTCCAATAAACTGAACAGGCAGGACCTGCACACACACAGGATAAATAAGTTAAAGGAGGAAGCACTATTTTCAGAGCCACTTTTTGGATTGTGGCCAGGCTTTGATGAATTGCAGCCACAAAAAGACATTTTCTTCCTTCTGCAGAACAGAGCAGTGTCCTGCCAGAGCTGCTGAGACAATAAATTGGTTTTACAATTGGTTGGACTGCTTTCCCCAGTGTCTGTATGTTGGATTATGGTTTTTTTGCAAACAGTAATGGAATTTTAAAAACAATATAGATGTTGTAAATCACGTTATCACAATCAGAAGTCGACTATTTCTTAATTACAATGTATTATAAGTGTTCCTTGGCTTATCAGTTTTTGCTACACTGTATTATAAATGTCTTAAAGTTTACCCTCTAAAATTACCCCTCATACGTCTTACTACAATACATCTTTCATCATTCTTTTTCTCTAAAATATCAAACCTTATTTCTAAAACCATCCTTTAAAACTTTATTTCTAATTTTATTTTTCTTTCAACGATATCCATCTTATTTTATAACATTTCGAAATTAGCATGCCTCATCTCCAAATTTACATACAAATACATACTATATACACCTTCTGTCTAACCTTAAAAATTTTAGGATTTGAAATTTTGATTAGCTTTTCTATTTAGCCTTTCCAATTAGCATGTCTTATCTCAAAATTTACATACAAATACATATTATATATGTATTTACAAATCAGCATGTCTTATCTCAAAATTTACATACAAATACATATTATATATGTATTTACAAATTAGCATGTCTTATCTCCAAATTTACATACAATTACATATTATATATGTATTGTATTGCAAATACATATTATATATGTATATATGTGTATACACCTTTTGTCTAACCTTAAAAATTTTAACATTTGAGCTTTTCTATTAGCTTTTCTATTTAGCTTTTCTAATTAGCATGTCTTATCTCCAAATTTACGTACAAATACATATCATATATGTATTTACAAATTAGCACGTCATATAAAAATTTACATACAAACACATACTATATACCTTAAAAAATTTTAGCATTTGAGCTTTTCTATTTAGCTTTTCTAATTAGCATGTCTTATCTCCAAATTTACATGCAAATACACGTTACACACACCTATCAAACTTTAAAAATTCTCTACAAATCTATTTTCCACTGCTGTACACATCCACTGGATGCCCAGCCACACTCCCAGCAATTCCACCAACACCAAAAAAAAAAAAAAGCAAAAAAAAAACCCAAAGACAAGAAGAGGGATGCACTTTTTGGGCATCTTCACCCCAAATGCTGCGAGCTGAAGGGTTTGTGTCACCAACCTTTGCACTGGCACCTCTCTGCTCCCTGCTGGGCGCTGCCCGCCTGGCACGGGAGGGGTTTGTGCCAGGGAGGTTTGTCCCGGGTCAGCCAGGGCCAGCCCAGGAGCTCGGCTCGCCTGGTGGCTCCTCACCTGGATGTGCAGCTGCATCTTCAGGTCCTGCAGAGGAGACACACTGTCATAGCAAATACCCTCCCGAGAAAATCCCTCACCAAAAACAAACATCCTCCAGAAGAAATCTGCAGTCCTGGCATATCAAATACCCCCCCAAGTCTGGGCTGGAATATCCTTAACCAAAGAGCAAACATCCCAAAGTCCTCCAGAAGAAATCTGCAGTCCTGCCCAGTCTGCAGTAGAAGACTCCTCCTTTCATGCAGCCAAAAAGGAATCATTGGGATTCCAAAATGGAATAATTCAGATTCCAAAGGGGAATAATTCAGATTCCAAAATGTAATAATTCAGATTCCAAAAAGGAATAAGTCAGGTTCCAAAAGGGAATAATTCAGATTCCAAAAACGAGTAATTCCGATTCCAAAATGGAATAATTCCAATTCCAAAAAGGAATAATTCAGATTCCAAAATGGAACAATTCAGATTCCAAAAAGGAATAATTCAGATTCCAAAATGGAATAATTCTGATTCCAAAAAGGAATAATTCATATTCCAAAGAGGAATAATTCATATTCCAAAATGTGATAATTCAGATTCCAAAGAGGAATAATTCAGATTCCAAAATGTGATAATTCAGATTCCAAAATGTGATAATTCAGATTCCCAAAAGGAATAATTCAGATTCCAAAAAGGAGTAATTCAGGTTCCAAAAGGGAATAATTCAGATCCAGCTTTGGCTGGGGTAGGTGAATCTCCAAGAAAAGAGGAACAACAAAACCACCTCTAAAAATCTCTCCCACATCAATATTACTGTAATTAAAGTCCAGCCACACTGTAATTAGTGTATTTTTTTAGACATTTGCTGCCCTTAACTCCCTCTCCATCCCCCTGGGAGGCCGGGGGGCTGCTCTGATGCTTTTTTCTGTGCAAATTTGGCAGGAGACCCCCCTCCCCTGAGCCTGGCCATGAAACCACCAACTCAACAATAAAAAACTACAGCTTTATAACAAAGTTACTTTAACACACGCATATAAAATCCATTTTAATATTGCAAAAAAGCCAATATTATCATCTGTCTCTGCAGCAGTGTGGGCCAAGGCCCAAAAACTGGAGGGGCAAGAATGGACTAAAACCACAGCCCAGGAATGTGGGTGCTCCAAAAAGGTGGAACTGAGGAGAGGCCAAGTGAAAAAATTATTGGAATATGTAAACTACTTTTGGGAAAAGTTTACTATGCATAATTGCTTATGAATATGCAACAGGCTAATGAAATTAAAAGATATTTAAGGGGTATCCCTGAAGATAACAGTGTGCCCTTGGCTGAGCCAATAACCTGTGCTCTGTGGTCCTTGTCTCCTCTTGTCCTTTATGAAACTTTTAATATTTTTGCTCTGTGGCCCTTGTCTCCTCTTGTCCTTTATGAAACTTTTTAAAATTTCTGCTCCATGATCCTTGTCTCCTGTTGTCCTTTATGAAACTTTTAACATTTTTGCTCTGTGGTCCTTGTCTCCTCTTGTCCTTTATGAAACATTTTTACATTTTCACAGCAGAGTGAACGTGTTTTTCACACAGACTGGGAGGAGAACCCCCTCCCCTGAGCCTGGCCATGAAACCACCCACCCTTCAGCTGATGCCAGCCCTGCCCACGTTCCCAGCGCCCCAACCCCGCAGCTCTGAGCTCCCCCAAGCCCAGACCCCCCAAAAGGGGCCCAGACCCCCCAAAAGTGGCCCAGACGCACCGGGCTGGGCAGGCTGTGCATGGTGCGGGTGAACCTGGCGGTGCTGTGCCAGGCTGGCAGCGCCTTGGCATCCCCTGGCAGGGCTGGAGGGATGAAGGGCACCCGTCCCTGGGCACCCCCGGGGCCAGCGGGGCTGGGGGGTCCCTGTGCTGGCGGCTGCTGAGCACCCAGTGCTGCTGAGCGGCTCTCCGGGCTGGCCTGGGAGGGAGGAAAGAGAGAAAGGGGGAAGGAAAGGAGGAAAAAAAGAAGGAAAGAAGGAGAAAAAGAGAGAATGAAAGAAAGAAAGAAGGAAAGAAGGAAAGAAGGAAAGAGAGAAAGAGAGAAAGAGAGAAAGAGAGAAAGAGAGAAAGAGAGAAAGAAAGAAAGAAAGAAAGAAAGAAAGAAAGAAAGAAAGAAAGAAAGAAAGAAAGAAAGAAAGAAGAAAGAGAAAGAAGAAAAGAAAGAAAGAGAAAGAAAGGAAGAAAGAAAGAGAAAGAGAGAGAAATAGAGAGAGAAAGAGAGACAGGAAGAGAGAAAGAGAGAGGGAAGGGAAGGGAAGGGAAGGGAAGGGAAGGGAAGGGAAGGGAAGGGAAGGGAAGGGAAGGGAAGGGAAGGGAAGGGAAGGGAAGGGAAGGGAAGGGAAGGGAAGGGAAGGGAAGGGAAGGGAAGGGAAGGGAAGGGAAGGGAAGGGAAGGGAAGGGAAGGGAAGGGAAGGGAAGGGAAGGGAAGGGAAGGGAAGGGAAGGGAAGGGAAGGGAAGGGAAGGGAAGGGAAGGGAAGGGAAGGGAAGGGAAGGGAAGGGAAGGGAAGGGAAGGGAAGGGAAGGGAAGGGAAGGGAAGGGAAGGGAAGGGAAGGGAAGGGAAGGGAAGGGAAGGGAAGGGAAGGGAAGGGAAGGGAAGGGAAGGGAAGGGAAGGGAAGGGAAGGGAAGAGCAAACTCTGAGCTTTGTTGTTTTGAAGCTCCAGGAGCCTTGCAGAATGCTTATCCCAGAGTTTTTCTGGGAATACCACACCTTCTGCCTCCCTGGCTGCAGCTGGCTGCTGGCTGGCACCAGGGGCTGCTGCCCCTTCCCTCCTCCTCCTCCTCCTCCTCCTCCTCTCAAGCCTGGCATCTTCTGCAGAGCTTCCTTGAGCTGCCTGAACTCCTCCATCTGGGCCTGAGGGGAGGAGAAGGACACAGAGAAACCTCACACGGGGTTAAACATCTCCCTGCTGGGACCAGCCACGCCTTACTTGTTTGGCAGAGGGACATTTTAAAGAAAATATGTATTTCATAGGTATGAAAATTGGAGAAAATTTACCACCATCAATGACTGTGGGGATTTTGAATGGGTTAAAGTTGGGACCTCTGAGTCTTTTAGATGCTGGGATTTATTTTTTTTTTATCTTCTACACAGGCAGGGAGGGTGAGACTTTTTCATCTGCTTGCCAAGGTACCTGGAAATGGACCAAATTAGGGAGTGGGCAGAGTAGGAAAGCGAAGTTTAGCAGGAAATTAATTCCTGAGCAGGCTCTGTTAATTTTAGTTCTTTCCCCTGAAACGTGACCTTAAAATTAACATTAAAAACACAACAAGCAGCAACAAAAACCCTCAGCAAAACAAACATGTAAGGAACGAGGAAGAGGCAGCCAAGAAGAGTTCCTGGGACAGGAATTTGTAGGAAGTTATTATTTCAGGACAAAGCAGATGGATGCAGAACTTGTAACCACCAATTCATCATCACCTGGGGGTGTTTGGGATGTGGGGAGACCTTCCAGGGTTGGGAATTCAGGGGCTTTGTGCAGCAAATCTGTATTTTTCAGCTGCTGGGATGGATTCCAGGCTGCAGAATTTTGCAGCATGGGTCTACACTACCAACAGCATTTTAGGCAGCTCAGCACCCTGGAAGCCAGCTGGTAACTGGATTTATTATCAGGGAATATTTATTATTTAGGGAATATTTGCTCAGGTGGTTACCTGAGCGTTGAGGAGCTGGGAGTGAACCTCCTGGTGGGCCTTCCTGAGCAGCTTGCTCTCTTCTCTGAGTTTAAACACCGTGTCTGCAGGAGAAAAAAAAAAAAAAAAATGTTTAAAAAGAGATTTTTTTTCTTTTTCTTATTGTTTTTTTCAAGTGTGGCATCTCCCTTTCTCACCACAAATTCCTCCTGACCTCACAGATGTCTCCAAGCCCAGGAATCACAAACTTGCTCCCCTCATTCTTTCTAGAACTCTCTTCTCTCCAGCCTCTTTCCCAACTCCTGCTCTCAGCTCAGCCTCTCGCTGTCTTTGCCACAGGACTCAGATAATTTGATTTTTATTTCCCTGCCCCCTCTAGCAATGTGTATTTCAGGAACAGAGCCAATCAAATCTTTAGATTTCATTTATTTGTCCTCAGTTTCCCCCCTTCTAACCCAAAAGCTCATCAGATATTATACTGGGCTTTGTTGAGCAGAGGGGAAAAAACCCAAACATCCACCAGCAGATTTTGATGTTCCAGACCTCATCAAGTAGGGACAGATGCAAACCTTAAATGTAATTAAACAGCAACTGAATAAAACCCACTCTTTGGGAATTAAAGGAATCAGCATTGCCTACAACATTTGCACTATTAAACTGCATTTTACAGACCTTACACCATTCATTTAAAAATTAATTTCATTTTGTTTCATTTTGCTCCCAAGCTCAAATGTCAGAATTTGGGGGATTTGTTCCTGCAGCACCAGCACAGTGCTCCAAGATGCTGCAGATTGTCACAACAAATTGTTCCTGGGGTGTTTTGGGGGGCTTGCAGAGGAATCTTTGCCCTCTCTTTGGGGGAAATGGATTGGTAGGGAATTCTCCAAGCCTGACAGAAGGCTCACACATCTGTGTGCAAACCTGGAGATAAGAAATGCTGATTTAGAAATGCCCTGGGATAGGACAGACATTGCTGAGAGAGAAATGGAACCAGAACAAGTTTCAAATTACGGCCTTGCAAATAAGACTGGGAACTTTGGAGAAATAGAACTGTGAAAGATGCATTGGAGTAGGAGCCACATGAGGTAATTTTAGATTATTAACTTCAAGGCATTCACAGCATGGTGTGGCTAAAGCTGACAGGCCAAGAAATGCTTATAATGTATTATAATTAAGAAATAGTCAATTTCTGATTGTGACAGTGTGAATTATAACACCTGAATTGTCTCACCCTTCTCATGAGACTGAAAATGGAATAAAAGCTTTTAAAACACCTCTCAGCTGATCCATCTCTGGGTCAGAAAAGGGCTTTATCCAACAAATCTCGACCCCAGTCCTTCCTCAGCCTGGTGTTCTCGGAGGTTTTCAGCCTCACCCTGCAGGTTGGTGACCTCGCTGTCCTTCTCCTGCTGCAGCTGGGCCAGTTTCTGGCTGTGGCTCTCCAGGCTCTTCCTGTGCTCCAGTTTGAGGCTGTTGTGCTGCAGCTGCAGGTCCAGCAGCTGCTTCTTGACATCGTCGTGCTGGTTCTGGAGAGGAAAAAAGGGTCAGAGTGATGCCTTGTGAAAGCTGCCCTAGGACAGAGGCTGGGCAGAGCTAAACAATAAATCAGGGATTTATTAAAGGATCTCCTCATGGATCCACCTCGGGCAGCACAAGAGCCCAGCCAGGGCTGCACCCAAGATGAACCAAAATGGTCCCAAAAAATGGATGATTGGTCACAAAATGATCAGTTCTGCTTCATTTGCACCTTGGAGTTCATTGTCCCATTCCAGCTTTAGCCCAGGCAGTCCCATCCTGCTTGTTTTTCTCTCTCCAGCCCATGGTGTTTGTGCTCCTGGGCTGAGATTTGGATCATTTGTCCTTGGTGCCCAGCTGGAGCAGGAATGGTTTTGTCTCCCTGCTCTGTGAAGAGTAAAATCTTATAACTAAAAATCTTATAACCTTCTAAACCATACCATAACAATATAAACCAAACATCCCCTCATGGGAAGCTCAGAGCCTCACACTAAAGCAGCTCAGAATGTGAAAAACAGAAAAGCCAAACCTGAAGCATCAATAGTCAGTCCTGGAGGAGCAATTTGACATTGCCAAGTGTGGCTGTTTAATGAGGTGGGAGAAATGTTTGTTCCTCCAGTGAGGCAGGCAGAAATCCCAGGGACAATCATTCTCTGTGCCCAGTGGTCCAGGGGAAGAGGTGAAATGCCAATTAAACCCAAATCTGGGAAGAGGTTTTGGGGGTTTCCTTGGGAGCCTTGAACTAAAGCTTTGAATTAAAGCCAGAATTGGTGGCAAGTCCCTTTTTGGGACAGAGTCAGGAGCTGCTCCTGCAGGAATCCATCACAGGGCAGGCCATGAAATTTGCTGGCTTTGTTTCTTAATGTTGTCACTGGAAACTAAAAGGTTGTGGGGGGCGAGAAGTGTTCTGAAGTGTTTGTTTTGATTCCTACTACCTTTTTTTTCCCCTTTTAGTTGCAATTAATAAAATTTTCTTTATACCTTTTTAAACTTTTAAGCCTGCTTTACCTTTCTCCTAACCCTATCTCACAGCAGGAAATGAGTACACACCAAACCCACCACACTCACTGGCTGAGACACCTCAAAATTGGCCAAATTTCAAATTAGTGAGCCAAAACCACGACACAAAATTAGCACTTCTGCCCGGTTTCCAACTAAAACCACCACACAAACCAAATAAACACCTGTGGGACACAAATCCAAGGCTCTTCCCAGCCATCTGAAGGACATTCCTTTTGCAGAAACATCCTTTTGTGACCCGCTGAACCAGAATTCACCTCCTTGTTGGTGGTTTTTTTTGTTGTTGTTTTTTTGTTTGTTTTTTCCTTTTTTTTGTTGTTGTTGTTGTTCCTATGGTAACCCAGAGAGAGATTCCTTCCACATTCAGTTTGTCAACACTAATTATGCATGCAGTTTGAGTGGCTCTCAGGTGAACCCTGGCCCTGCCACACAATCCCTCCTCAGGACTCAGCAGCCATTTCACTCAGGCTGCCTGGGGGGAAAAACAAAGTTTAAAAATATATTTTCTGAAAATAAATATAATAAGCACCTAAATGCAATCGATGCTTGCATTTATCTCCAGGAAAACAAAGTGTCTGTGGCCCTGAAGCAATTATCCTCCATCAAAAGAGATGTAGCTGTGCTCCAAAAATCAGGCAGCACAGAGGAAAAGAAAAAGGGCTCCCAGAGCCAGAACAAAGGAGACAAGAGTGTCAGGTTAACCAGATCACAAGATTTGGAGGGAAATAAAGAGAACTGAAGATTCCTGCTTTGCCTTTCAAAGGCACTCAGAGCTCTCATCAGAGCCCCTGGCAGAAAGAGCTGCAGAGGAACCAGTTCCCTAAAATCATTTTGATACTAAACATCTCAGAAACCACAGTGTTAGCAAGCAAGCACAGGCTATTTTGGGGCAAATTTTTTGGGTTATTTTTGCCCCAGCTGCTATTTTTGGGCGAAGTCAAACCCCTGTGAGGGGCTGTGGCAGCTCCAGATGTGACTGAGCCATCGAGGGGGGACAGCAACACCCAAGGCAGATGTGCTGGAGTGGCTTCACAGAACCCTTTGGTGACATTTGGGACCCATTTCCCAGGGGATGACATTCCTGGCAGCAATCTTCCTCCTGAGCAAGCCACTTCCACTGGGAAACATTTCTGCCTGGGTTCCAGTGACAGAACTGTTACCCACAGCCTCATAATGGGCTAAAAATGGCTTTTTCTGAAAACAAAAAAACAAAAAACAAACAACCCTCCAGTCTTTTGGAAATCTACAGTCCCAAGGGCTGGTTTTGTCATTCACCAGCTGTAAATGTAGTTAAAAAAAAAAATAGATGCTTGGGGGTTTTTTTGTTGTTTTTTTCCCTGTTCCTCCAATAAAAGGAAGCAAGAGAAAGGGAGCCAGGAGAAAAAAAAAAAAAAGCTCTGAGTGCCCCCCTGAGAGAAGCAAAGCAAAGCATTCTGCTCAGCCTGCAGTTGCTATGAAGAGGAATTTTGCTGTTGCAGAGCATTCCCAAAATCCACAGTGCTGGAGAATACCCAAGAGACAGAACTGTACTTCCTTTTTTCAAGCTGGAATCCAACAGCCAGGCAGCTGGAGGTGCAGCTCAGCTCAGGAAATCCAGCCCAGTGGTGCTAAGGGCTGCTGGAACCCAGCCCTCTGTCTCCATCCCAGACTTTAATTAGCATTTCACTGCCAAGTTTAGACTAAAAATGTTTTTAAAAACCACCCCAGCAGCCCCCAGTTGCACTGCTCCAACAAAAGAAAAATTGAACATCAAGATGTGCTTCAGGTAGAGCAGGTGATAAGCTATAAAGTGCTATAAAATGCTATAAAATGCTATAAGCTGCCCTGCTCTGAGCCTCTTCCATGGCCTGCAATATTTAGTAGGAGCCCAAAGGGGAGCTCCAATGAATACACCCCATTTATTTTCACACTGAGAGACCCAGAAAACCAGCCAAACCCTGTGTGATAAAAGTGCTCAAAGGCTGAAGTTGCAGTAAGAAAAATTGTAAAAAAATATAGAAAAATTATAAAGAAAAGCCTCATAAAATCAGGCCTTCTCTGGCTGGACTGTCATTTTTTCTAAGCCAAGCTAGCATTTTGAAGTTCCCATATGAAAGCAATCCTGGTGTGAGCAGTTCATTAACAAAACAATCTGTTCCTGGGTCAAAAACAATTTAGCACCTGTATAAACTGGTTTTACACTGTTAGATAGAAAAATGAAAACTATCTTTCACAAACAACTTTCTCTGCACACCGAGAGTCTGAGTGACCAATCAATACAACAAAAACAAGATTAATAATACAAGAATAACAACTTGTTACTAACTGATAAAGCAGTTGGCAAGAAAGCTCCTAACCAACTGGAGGACTGTAAAACTGTATAAAAAGGAGTTATGTGGATAAAGAAGGGGATTTTTCCACCATTAAGAAAATGGAGATGTTGTGATTTATTCCATAGGCTGCCATTGAAAGGAGGGGGAGGTGAGAGCTGTACCTGGCACAGGATCAGCAGGGAGCTGCCCTGGGGCTGGGCACTCAGGGGGGAATGGGGGTGACACTGATCTCGTCCCCAGTGATGCCTCAGGTTTGGCTTTTCTATTTTTCACATTCTGTGCTGATATCCCAGGTTTAACTTTTCTATTTTCCACATTCTGTGCTGCTTTAGTGTGAGGCTCTGAGCTTCCCATGAGGGGATGCTGAGCTCTGCACAGAGCAGAGACAAAACAATTCCTGCTCCAGCTGGGCACCAAGGACAAATGATCCAAATCTCAGCCCAGGAGCACAAACACTGTGGGCTGGAGAGAGAAAAACAAGCAGGATGGGACTGCCTGGGCTAAAGCTGGAATGGGACAATGAACTCCAAGGTGCCAATGGAGCAGAACTGATCATTTTGTGACCAATCATCCATTTTTTGGGACCATTTTGGTTCATCTTGGGTGCAGCCCTGGCTGGGCTCTTGTGCTGCCCGAGGTGGATCCATGGAGGAGATCCTTTAATAAATCCCTGATTTATTCTGTAACTCTGTTCTAGCTCAGCCTTCCCAAGTGCAGGAATCCTGGGATTCTCCACCCCCTAAACCACAGCAGCCAAACCTCCCTTACCTTCAGGATCTTGTGCTGGGAGCTGAGGGCCCCATATCTGTTCATGGAGTCTTGCTGGGGAGAGAAAAGATCCAACAGAACCATCAGAGTCCAGAAAAATCCCTGGGAGGGACAAAAACCCCCCAGAAGCACCTGCCCAAATTCTCCCCCGCAGGGAGGGACTGGGAAAATGTTGAATTTTTATCTTCTTTTTGCCAGGGTTGGGATGGAATGTGTGAGATGGGATTTCTTGTTGGGACTCAGATGTTTATTAATCTGTATTACAGTCTCACAAAACCTGAGTTCTGCAGCACTTCAAGAAACTAAAAATGGAGCCATGTCTCTTTTTCTATACAGCTTTTTAAGGATAAACTGTCCAATTAAGAAATGACACCTAAATTATTTTTATTTTTGACTCAATAACTAATTACTTATGCTCTGCAATGTGGACTTTTTTATCCAATTACACAAAACCACGCAAACCCATGGAGAGGTGAAAAAGAAGGAGCAGCTTCTGCTTTAAAACTCCTATCTTGCTTTTTATATATTACTGTCTTTTAAAACCTTAAACTCTAAGTTTTCTACTATGTGATATTACACACTTTCACTCGAACTGCACACTCATAATCTCAGTTTTATCCTTCAATTTTGGAAGTTTTCTCTACAGCTTTAGGTCAAATGCAGTGTTCTCTTGGGGGTCAGTGCTTGGCAGCACAGAAAGTCTAAAATTCTCAGTAACCAGGGTTCCAACAGGAAAAGAACTTTTCCAAAGAACTTTTCCAAAGAACTTTTTCAAAGCACTTTTTCAAAGCAACGTATCCAATCATAATATTACAATATAATTACAATTCTTCACCTTCTTCTTCGTAAGTTTAAGTAGTATTTTGTAAATAGACAAAAAAGTCTGCATTGTGGAACATAAGAAATCAGTTATTAAGTTAAAAGTAAAAATAATTTGGATAAACATTAATTTTAATAGATGTTAATTATAATATAGCTTATGATTGATTTTATTAGATGTTAATTATAATAACATTTATTTTTAATTTTAATAAACATTTATTTTAATAAACATTAATTGCATATTTAATTAAGATTTCGAGTGGTTTTCCCCAGCCTTCAGCTCTTTAATCCAGGCCATGCTTGGTGCTGAAGGAGTTTTTTAGAGTGAACCCTTCTCTCAAGGCTGAGGGGGAGGCAGGGAAAGCAGCAGAGCTCAGGCTGGCGCCCACACACAGAAATTGCAGTGTTTCCACCAAAAAATGGATCACCAGAAAATGGAGCGAGCCTTAGGCAAACTCTGCGAGCGAGCACAGCAGCCAAGCTGAGCTCAAAAATGCAGATATTTTCCCCACCATTAAAAAAAATCAGATATTTTTCCCACCATTTAAAAAAATTCAGATATTTTCCCCACCATTAAAAAAAATTAAGATATTTTCCCCACCATTTAAAAAAATACAGATATTTTTCTGTCCCAGGCCTGCATTCACCCACAGAGGAGTGGCCTGAAAGTGATTCCCCTTCTCCAGCACCTCATCCACAGATGCTCTGGGAAAGGAATAAACCCTGGTGGCACCAGAAAAAAACATTTCCCATTGTTCCCCTGAGACCTTGGGGCAAACCACACCCACCTTCTCCTTGTTGAGAGCTTCCTGAGCTTCTAACTTGTACACTAAAAAATCTAGAAAGGGAAGAAAAGGAGGCAGCTCAGTGAGGTGGGATTTCACAAGGTTTGGGTTTTGGAGGGGAAGGAAGAAGGAGCAGCTTTGCTTTTGAACTTCTATCTTGCTTTTTATATAAAAACCTTAAACTCTAAGTTTTCTACTATGTGATATTACACATTTTATTCGAGCTACACACCAATGTCAGGTTTGTCGTTCCATTTTGGAAGTTTTCTCTGTTTGCTGAGCAAAGGCAGCAAGGGAACAAGCTGGAGAGCTGCTGGCAGAGCACCCCGTGCCCTTGGGGAGGGTGGCAGTGCTTTCCATGGGAGCTGGCCACCCAAAAAATGCCCTCCCCATCCCATCCATCCCATCCCATCCCATCCCATCCCATCCCATCCCATCCCATCCCATCCCATCCCATCCCATCCCATCCCATCCCATCCCATCCCATCCCATCCCATCCCATCCCATCCCATCCCATCCATCCCATCCCATCCCATCCCATCCCATCCCATCCCATCCCATCCCATCCCATCCATCCCATCCCATCCCATCCCATCCATCCCATCCCATCCCATCCCATCCCATCCCATCCCATCCCATCCCATCCCATCCCATCCCATCCCATCCCATCCCATCCCATCCCATCCCATCCCATCCCATCCCATCCCATCCCAAGAGCAGCGGTGATCTCCCAGGTCACAAACAAAGAGCTGCAGAGTGGTGCCAAGGGAGCTGAGGAACTTTTTGGGGTACTGTGAGCTGAGAGGTTGTGGGAACCCAGCACATCCCTCTGGCTCCAGACCCTGGCAGGGCCTCAGAGACCCTGGCACGAAGTCAAAAACATCTGTGGCTTCTATTTTAGTTGGAGTAACACAGGGTGAAAAAGTAGAATTTTGGGGCTTTTAGAATGGGTTTGAGGGGGTACAAGATGGAGGGATTTGGGCATGTCCTGACCCTCTTCTCCTTCTCCTTGCCCTCCATGTCTTGGTGTGGTGGTGACACTTTTCTATTGATTTAAGGCAGAGACACACTGTCCAACATAAATTATAGATATTGGCACATTATTGTAAATATAATACAGGAAGCTTTTGGTATAAAATGCAAACACCACCCTGAGGGCAGACAGAATGTCATGGCCAAGCTGCTGGACAGAGCTCAGCAGGTCAGAGAAAGAATGTTCTAGATAAGGGGAAATAAACAGCCTTGAGAAGCTGTTCCTGCACATTCAGACTCCTCCTTTGGCTGCATGGGCTGGGAAAAAAAGGGACTTTTACACTCTTGGGGTCATCCCAACACCCAGACCCGGAGAAGAGTGAGTTTGGAAAAGGTGCTGTGAGACCCAAACCCATGAGCTCATCACTGCACTGCTCCCAAATTCCACTCAGGGACAACCAGGCAGCCACACTGGGTCAGGAGAGACTTTGGGGACAGCTGGGGCTTTGGGGACAGCTGGGGCTTTGGGGACAGCTGGGGACTCACCTTCCTTCGTCTTCTTGTGCTCCCCCCTCTCCTTCTGCAGGGATCTCTCCAGCCTGGACCGGTGCTCGTACACCACTGTGGGGGCAGAGAGAGGCAGAGCATGACAAACTCCAATTTATCCCCATATATTTTTCCCCATAGATATTTTTCCACCGTTAAAAAAAAATCTAGACCTTTTTCCTACCATTAAAAAAATCAGATATTTTTCCTTACTATTAAAAAAATTTCAGATATTTTCCCCACCATTAAAAATAATTCGGATATTTTTCCCACCATTAAAAAACCCACATTTTTTCCCCACTATTAAAAAAAATCAGATTTTTTTTTCACCATTAAAAAATTTTAGATATTTTCCTCACCATTAAAAAAATTCAGATATTTTCCTCATCATAAAAAAAAATTTCAAATCTCTTTCCCACCATTTAAAAAAAATCAGATATTTTCCCCACCATTAAAAAAAATCAGATATTTTTCCCACCATTAACATTCAGATATTTTTCCCCCATAAAAAAATCAGATATTTTTCTGTCCCAGGCTGCCATTCACCCACAGAGGAGTGGCCTGAAAGTGATTCCCCTTCTCCAGCATCCCATCCACAGATGCTCCGGGAAAGGAAAAAAGGGAGGGTTTATCTTCCCACAGAGCAGGGATTCAGCAGTGTCTCAGCTCCTGGGGGTGTTCAGGGCCAGGAGATGCACTTGGATGATCCCAGTGGGTCCCTCCCAGCTCAGGACAATCCAAAATTCCATGATTCTTTCCTCATTTTTGTGCTGAGACACGGCAGAGCTCATCTGACCAAGCTGGCAGGGCGCAGTTCCAGGGAGCCGGGAAGTCTTGAACAATTTGCTTTTACAGCAGAGAATGGAAGGTGGTCAGTGTGTAAATCCAGCTGGAATCCAGCCAGGACTCTAAGGCAGCCTCACCTGCTGCCAAAGGAGCTGCTGAAACAATGAAATCTTGGCTGAAAAGGCAGGGCCGGGTGCAGAAGAGCACAAAGGATTTAAAGTCATGCAACAAGTGCAGGGACAGAGCCCAGAGCCCCAGATGTGTCCCCAGGGAGCAGCCACAGCACCAGAGCCAGATGTGCCAGCCTCCCACAGCATCTCTCCCACCTGCCCCTTGCCAGGCTTCCCCCAGCAGCAAACCCCAAAAGTGCCTTGCCTTTGTTATAATTGTTGGACAAGCGAGTGTCTTCTCAAAATAAAAAAGGGTAGCCATGGTAACAACTGTATTTAGGAATGGGAGGACTGACAGGGGGTTAGGAATTCCAGCAACAGGCTGCAGCTCTGCAATTCACACGTTTGGGTGGAAAAAATATGAGCTCGGCTCAGTTGTTGGGCTGTTGTTCCCAAAACTGGGGTTCCCTGAGGCTGCTGCTGTCATCCTCTGGAGAAGCAGCCCCTCTCTGCCAGAGGAGCAAGAGGTGCTGGCACACCAGGGAGGAAAGTGGGTTAACTTCTGCCCTGCTGAGCTCTGCACATCCCAAACCCGGGCTGCAGGTGGGAATCGTGGCTGGGACTGAGCTGTAGGTGTAGGAAAAATGGAACCAAACCATGAGACAGCAGCACTGAACACACATTAATTAGATCCATTCCCAAGGCTGATTGGGTTTTGTTTCCTGGAGAGGAACACACACACACCCCCCACACTGTGCAAACAGAACACACAGCCCTGGGCACCAGCAGCCCTGCTGGGATGCTCCATTTGCAGCACAGAGGCACCGGGAGAAGATTTAACCCTAAAAGACTCAAATGTTGAACCACAGATCTGTACAATGCCCCAGCAAGACGGGCTGGAGGAAGAATATTCCTGCATGTGTCCACAAAGATCATGACAGAACTCCCTGTATTTGATTTTAGCTGGGGAAGAACTCCCATATAAACACTGTGATCTAAACTGACTTTTTAGGAGTGGGGGGAAATGGGTTAATAGTCTCTTGACCTTGAGTAGAACAATTTTTGGCCACATGGATTCATTCTGTGGGCATTCCAGGGACAGCCCATTACACACCCGAGTGCTGCCTGCCCCGAGGGCATTCCCACCAAACCTCTCCTCCGCGGGGAGCTCAGCAAATCCCTCCAGAGACTCCAACCCCTGTGCCAGCTGCTGGAAACGTGGCCTTGGCACAGCCAGCGGGGCTGGAATTGATGGGCTGGACAAAGGAGATAAGAGTTCAGCGGTGGAGTAACCGCGTGTCCTCAGCCTTCCCTGCCGGCAGCTCCCCGAGGGCTAAAATCCCATTTTCCCACAGGGAGGCATTTATGTAAGGAGGACAAATGAGGGGAGAGAGGGGGAGGAGGGATCCACACGCTGTGTTTGCCTTCCAGCCTCCGGCAGCTCTTGCCAGGAGAACCAAGCGCTGAGCAACGGGATCAGAAAAGCCAGTTCTTCTTCTTCCTCCTCATCCTCCTCCTCGTCTTCCTCCCCTTGTTTTAGGGACCTAAAAACCTGCAGCATCCATCAGCCTCAAAATGCTGGCACGACTTTTTAAATCCCGGATCAGTCTCTCCAGAACGAGGTGGGTTTGTCAGCGGGATCAGAAAAGCCAATTCTTCCTCCTCCTCCTCCTCTTCTTCCCCTTGTTTTAGGGAGCTAAAAACCTGCAGCATCCATCAGCCCCAAAATGCTGGCAGGACTTTTTAAATCCCGGACTTTTTTAGTGCCGGACTGTTTTAGTCCGGAGCAATCTCTGGAGAACGAGGATGGGTTTATCGCCTTGCAGAGGCAGCGGGCAGCAGAAAAGCCAATTCTTCCTCCTCCTCCTCCTCTTCTTCCTCTTGTTTTAGGGAGCTAAAAACCTACAGCATCCATCAGCCCCAAAATGCTGGCAGGACTTTTTAAATCCAGGACTTTTTTAGTCCCGGACTTTTTTAGTCCCGGACTGTTTTAGTCCGGAGCAACCTCTGGAGAACGAGGTGGGTTTATCGCCTTGCAGAGGCAGCAGGCAGCAGAAAAGCCAATTCTTCCTCCTCCTCCTCCTCTTCTTCCCCTTGTTTTAGGGAGCTAAAAACCTGCAGCATCCATCAGCCCCAAAATGCTGGCAGGACTTTTTAAATCCCGGATTTTTTTAGTGCCGGACTGTTTTAATCCGGAGCAACCTCTGGAGAACGAGGTGGGTTTATCGCCTTGCAGAGGCAGCGGGCAGCAGCGGAGCGTGCCAAAACTTCGGGGAAAGATCCCTTCCCTCTCTGCTCACTCCCACACGGGGCACAAAGAGCGAAGCAGCATCTCAGAGCCTGCCCTGCGTTTTTCCTGCCTCGCATTTGGCGTGACGGGGCTTAAAGGGAGAAGAATTGGATCCAGCTCCGACCCCCCTTTGCTAACTCAGACTCCAGGCTGCTCTAACTCCTGGCGTCCAAACAGCAGGAAAGGAAGCAGGGAAGGAACCAGCATCTTCAGAGCCACGAGATGAGCAGGGCCGGGAGGGAGAGAGTCGGGGCAGGGTGTGCAGAGCCCCCGGAGCGGACACTCACCTTGGAGCTGTGCTGACAGCGCTTCTTGCTGCTGTTTGTATTTCTGCGCCAGCGCCTCGGCGCCCCGCACCTCCTGCCGCAAGTGGCTGTAGAGGAACACTCCGGAGGCCAGGCAGGCCAGGGTGAGCAGGCAGAAGGCGGTCTGCAGCAGCCCCTTCTGCCTCCTGGAGCACATCCCGGTGCCCATGGCGGGGATGCAGCGCTGCTAAAGCATCGGCTTCTTCTCGCCCAGCAGCCGCTTTCCCCCGGCAACCCGCGGATCCCCGCGGAAGATGCGCGGGCAGGTTGGGCTCCGCTGCCCCCGGCCCTGCGGGGGCTCCTGCCCGGCTCTACCCCTCCCTGCCCGCCGGGACATCGGGGCCCGAGCGGAGCCCGAGCATCCTCGGGGGGCGGCCAGCGGGGCTCCGGGCCGAGGGCACCGAGCAGCAGCAGCAGCAGCAGCAGCAGGAGGAGGAGGAGGAGGAGGAGGAGGAGGAGGAGGAGGAGGAGGAGGAGGAAAACTTTTGCTTCCCATGTGCTGCGGCGGAGATGGGGGGGGCGGGAAGGGGGTACCGCCGCCTTTGGCTCATCCCACCTCCCCCGCTGGAGCAACCACCGGAAAAAATAACCCGGCGAGAGGAGGAGAAGCCTTTGGGCCCCCTCCCCGCGGCTTCCCCCGCCGGCAGATCCCGGAGGAAGCGGCGGCAGCGGGGCCGGGAGAGCGGCCAGGAACGCGGCGGTATCCGGGCTGCGGCGGCCGAGAGTCCGCCCTCGGCGGCGGGAGGGGCTGCGGGGACCGGGGGACACAGAGGGGGACCGGGGGGAACCGAGGGGACACCCGAGTCCCGAGCCCTGCCCCGCCCGGGGCAGGCACGGCCGGAACCGGCATCCCCCGGAGCCCCTCGGCCGTGCGGTCCCTTCCCCGCTCCGGCACCTGCTGCTAACGGGAGAGGGATGAGGGACACGGGGATGGATGGACCGGGAGAGCATCCTTGCACGAGTTCTTTAAAAGCTCCTAAAAAGCTGTGGTTTCTCCTCGGGAAAATAGGAGCTGATAAAGGCAGAGGGAGGCACCAGGGAAAGGTGGGAGTTTGGGCTTTTTCCCAGTGGTTTGCGTTGGAAGGGACCTTAAAGCTCATCCCTGCCGTGGGTAGGGACATCTTCCACTACCCCCGGTTGCTCCAAGGCCTGGGACACTTCCAGGCATTGGGGGTTCCATGCCCTGGACATGCTCTCCATGCGGGCTCCTCTCTTCTGGCAGAGCCCAGCTGGTTTTACCCAGGTCCCTTTAAAGGTCCCTTCCAACCCAAACCATTCCATGATTTTGTACCTCATAGGACAGACAAAGCTCCTAGAGCCTTGCCTGGGTTCTGAGCTCAGATCTAAGACCCGCAGGTTTGCAATGAATCTTCTCTGATTATCAGAGCTTTTATCTGAGCTCACAAGGATATTTCTTCTGGAATTCTGCCAAGTTCCCTCTTTCAGGCACCTGGGGAATAAGCAACAATCACAACACTTCTTCAGCAGCAATTCCCCTCTAAGAGTCACACGTGGTGGTTTCATAAATGTTAATCAAATGAGCTTTACAGCACTGCTGAGAATTGGTTGAGTGGCACTTGTGTCACCCCCATTTGTCATCGGGAAAAATGAGGCACAGTGTTCCTGTAAGGTTAACATTTATCCCAAGTAATGTTTTTACAGTAGGATTTTTTTTCCCCCTCCAAGCATTTCAAATGGATTTGGTGGATTTGTTCTGCCAGACCTTGGGTGAGGCTCAGCCTGCTGGAAATGGGGTGATTTGGCTCTGATACAGCTTCCACTAAACATTATAGGCTTTCCTTAATGAATTAACTGATTAGTGGAGCTCGTTCTGAAAAGCAGAGCAGCACTGATGGGATGTTTCATGGCAGCATTTGTCTGCCATGGACTGAGTGTGTGTAGGACCAGGGATAACCTCATTCCTATTCCCAGATATTCAGTCCTAGACACTCCACTGTTCCAGACAGATTTACTGCCCAACTGTGTCTTTACACAAATGCCCAGCCCTGGGGTTGCTGAATGCTCCAGCACCTCTTCAGGCTGTTTGTCAGGAGCTGGAATGTCCTGTCTGCATCCTGAGCACTGAGCAGGCAGCCCGTGGGATGAGGGGTTTCAGTCTCAATTTTGCCTCTATTCAGCACATTCTTTTTTTTTCTTTTTTCTTTTTTTTTTTTTTCCCTCTCCTGCACTCATTAATTACTTCCTCATGTGCTGATTCCTGCCTGAGAAACACTGGGAGTTTTGAGGTTTGTGACAGAGAGGAGTCTGGAAAAGGTTAAAATCTGGATTAGGGAATGTTTATCTGAGAAAGATTTGATTGACAGAACGTCTGTGAGCAGGCACTTTACTTTTGTAACAAATAACTTTACTCCTGCAATAAAGTCAGGTTTAGATTTAACTCCATATTTCTGCACCAGATCTAAGGCCAGTGAGAGCCAAAGGCTTTGCTTCATGCTTGTACATTACCAATATTTAAATGATTCAGAGGATTCTTCCTCACACAAATCCCCACAACATCCCACATCTCTCAAAGTCTGCATGAGTATTTTTAGGAAGACACAGAGGAGAAACCCCTGAACTAAACAAATTGACCATAGGTGACAGCTCCCTCCAAACCCAACTCAAAATGCTTTGTGGCTCATGGATTAATCTGATCATCTCCTTTTGCTCCCTCTAATCCAGTGGGTGATCACATCTGATGACAGCTTTAAAATAATAATCTGAACAGAACAAGCAATTCCCATGGGAAAGCTCGGGGTGTATGGACTTGTAAAGAAAATGCCACTTTCTGTGAGTATTAACCATCTGTGCAAGCAGTGCAGTGCTGGAAAGCTCCAGCCTTTTAATCAGAGCTTTGGATTCCATAGCAGGATTTAATCTGCTGTGGGAGTGTTTTCAGCCAGGTTATGTAGATTCTGTCAAGAAACCAAGTGGCTGAAAAAGATGGATGGATGGATGGATGGATGGATGGATGGATGGATGGATGGATGGATGGATGGAAGGAATGTGCTGGGAGGAGGCTGCATTGTTTAGGGGTTGCAGATTTATAAATGTGCCACATTTCACACTGGACACTCACCCTAAAGCCTTTATGGGGTCTGGATCTGCCTTTTAGGGAATCCCACTCTGGGAATCCAGTGCACAAATGTGGGAGGGAATGGGGTGAGCAGGGCTGGAGGAGTTTGAGGCAGGAGTCCAGAGGCTGAGAAATGACAGGCACAAATGTTTGAAAGTGCTCAAAGTGAGCACCTTGCTGTGCATGGATTCAGAGCATGAGAGGAACCAGCACTCCTGGAGCTGGCTGCCTTTTCCCACACAGAAATTCCCAATTCATTTCCTCCAAGAGCAAAAATGCCCTAAAATGTAACCATTCCTGGGGACAGATCTCACCTCGGTGTCTCCAAGGTTAAGGGGTGGGAGAGCTGAAGCATTCCTGTCTTCCCATAACAAGAAGTGACAGCTTCTAATTAGAATTCATTAGAGGCAGCCCTGGGGAACTGATGGGACCATTTTTCAGGATGTGTTGTTGAAATTATTTTTCATCTCACGATGACATGTTGGCTCAGTGCTCTGAGTTCTCTTCCCCAATCCTACAGATGTCCTTTGAGTCATCTGTGCTGTGCCTAAAACTGAGGATCTGAGATCCCAGAACCCTCAGCAAACTCTGAGATACAGGAGAAGGAGAATGGGGGAGCAAAATGAGGCAGAAACATTGGGTTTTCTGAGTTACAGGGTAAAACTCGTCGTCTAGATGAGCATTTCATAGAAACTGGAGCACAAGGAGATCCACAATTACTGAATGTCTGGATATTTTGGCAGTTATTTGGTACTTTAAAATATCAGCTCCCAGAGTCAAAGTATTCTGAGAGAAACTCTTTATTCTTTCAAAAAATAGTCTTTTCTTCAAGAATTTACAGTGCAAAAAACTTCAGCTCTCAGTATTCTGAGAGAAACTCTTTATTCTTTCAAAAAATAGTCTTTTCTTCAAGAATTTACAGTGCAAAAAACTTCCACCATGTGAATCTTAGATCCTCTGGGAAAAAAAAACCATCTTTGCCTTTTAGTTCCACTTCGTCTTTTATAGCTTGGACTGGGACTCTCCCTTGCTTTGAGTCCTGGACCAGTCTGTGATTTGAGTTAGTTTTTAATCAAAAAACAATAAAAGTTGGTTTAAGAGGGATGAAACCAAACAAGAAGGAGCAAGGAACATATTGTGCTTAGCAAATGCATCACAGTACACCCAGAGCCTGTGACTCCATTGCCTGTTTGCTTTTACTGCCTTTCCAAGGTTCAGACATTTTTATTAGAGCCAAGGAACATTCCAGAGTTTATTCCAGTTTATTCCAAAGGTAATAAAAATGCAGTGTGCCAGAAAACAACAGCAAACAATAGCAAAGGGCTTTTTTTGGCTGATTTTGCTGTTTCTGCCTCTCTTGGGGTTCCAGCATCACCCCCTTTTAGGACAGACACAAAGTCTGCCTCAGCCCCACCATCGTGGGTCATCCAGGAGTTCCTCACACCATCACCAGGCAGGACTCTGGAGGTGCAGACCTCCAGAAATTATAATTCATATAATAATTATATTCTTTTCCCTGCTGTGGGTGAAGTGCCATTAGTCAGTTGTTGTGGGGGGAATTTCCGGGGCAAATAAAGAACATTTTAATTGCTGTTAATCAGGCTGGAGCCTGAGCAGCTGATGGTGGGAGGAGAAGGCAGCAGCAGCGTGGAGCTGACACAGAACACTCAGCAGCAGATCTGTGCTGGTCCCTCCTCCAGGATGTTCTGCTGCTCCCTGTGGCTCCTGGGCATGGCAGAGAGATGAGAATTCCTCATGATCTCACTCCAGTGTTTTTCCAGGGAAGCTTCATGCCTGCACAAGCATTCTGTGGGATCAGCCAGCCTCATCATTGGACACAGGGCTGCTTTGGCTGACTTCATGCTCTGCAGATATCCGTGACACATCAAGCTGGAAAGATCATTTCTGAGCACCTCAAGCTGGCATTTCTAACATAAGGAGTCAGCCAGGGAGATTTCAATCTGATTTTTAACACCCCCATAAGCCAAGAGCTTCGTTCATCTCTGCTTTGTCACTGTGTGTTAACTGCAGCCATCGGCAGATTTAGGGTGAGATTTTAGACATTGCTTCATCATTGCTGGTTTTAAATAGAATAAACTTTCCTGAACCACGCATTTGGGTTCTGAAAATCCCATTCAGCATTTTCCTGCACATGGATAATGGGAACACGGTCCGAAAGGTTTTGCCAGAGAGATGTGGGGTCTGAGGTTTACATCTGAATTCAGAAGGGATAAGAGGATCTGGGAATCTTCCTAAGGTGGATTCAGCAGCTCCTTCCAGGGATCCACCTCCAGCTGGCAGGAGTGGATATCTTTAGTAGCAAGACTTTGATAAGGAGAATAACACAAAGCCATAAAAATGGAAATCAGCTCTTGTTCTGCTAAATTAACCTGTCAAAAACTCTGCTGTGGCCAACAATCACGCTGACAATAAGCTAATTACAGAAAGATCTCTAAACACAAAAAGTATTAGATTGACTGGGTTGCTACCTGCCTGTATTTTCCTGTCTGAGCAGCCCCCAAGTCTTGAGGCACATTGTTGATTTTCCTCCCTGTGTGATCCCAGGGGCTGTGTGGGGAGATAAAATCTGCAGGAGTGCCTGTGACTCTCCCAGATCCCCTGGCTGGAGGCACAGCAGCCAATTCCCCTGCACAAAACCACTCCTTCCAGCCAGCCCTGCCTGCAAAGTCAACCTCAAGGAGCTCCAGCTCTGTGTCTTACATAACACTCAATAACAAACCTCGTGGGAAGCCCCCCCAGCCCCTCTTACATCATTTAGACAAGGAAAAAGCCCCTTTAGGGCAAAATAATTCAAGCCCCTTTGCTGCAGATGATGCATTGATGGGTAAGTGCAGGTTTAGCTCTGCATTTAAACACCCTGAGGAGCACAGTGGTGCCTTGTGAAGGCTGATCTGGAACAGAGAATAGACAGAGCTAAAAAATAAATCAGGATTTATTAAAAGGCTCTCAATGGATCCACCTTGGGCAGCACAAGAGCCCAGCCAGGGCTGCACCCAAGATGAACCAAAATGGTCCCAAAAAATGGATGATTGGTCACAAAATGATCAGTTCTGCTCCATTGGCACCTTGGAGTTCATTGTCCCATTCCAGCTTTAGCCCAGGCAGTCCCATCCTGCTTGTTTTTCTCTCTCCAGCCCACGGTGTTTGTGCTCCTGGGCTGAGATTTGGATCATTTGTCCTTGGTGCCCAGCTGGAGCAGGAATTGTTTTGTCTCTGCTCTGTGCAGAGCTCAGCATCCCTCATGGGAAGCTCAGAGCCTCACACTAAAGCAGCTCAGAATGTGAAAAATAGAAAAGCCAAAACCTGAGACATCAGCACAGAATCTGAAAAATAGAAAAGCTAAACCTGAGGGATCAACAGCACAGTACAGGGTGGGTTAGGTTCACTTCTAAAAATTAACTCTGTTTTAAGGCAGGATCTGACAAGAATTACAGCACGAGCACTATTCATAAAATCCTGTGTGTGGGGTTGTTGTGTGCAGTTTGATTTTTAAAAATTAGCTCTGATTTAGGACAGGGCCTGACAAGAATTACAGTACGAGCACTATTCATAAAATCCTGTGTGTGCATCACAGACAGGGAGGCACAAGGACCCAAATTCCCAGCAAATAAAAGCCAAATATTAATTTACAGCCACACAGGCCTTGACTGGCATACATGAGTGGGTTGCTTAAATAAATAAAAGAAAAAAAGCAGGGAAAAAAAAAAAGAGGATTGTTTTCAGGTTCAGGGCTGGGCCCAGGTTCAGGGCTGGGGTAATCCCACTGATTTCAGGATCACTTTGGGATTTTGAAGGCTCTGTTAATGCAGCAGGATGCTGCTGCTCTGCTCCCAGGCTTTCCCTTTAGCATTCTGGGGTGGTAAAAAGCCATCCCACCACACAGTGCTGAGAATTTAAAATAATAAAGAAGCCAAGATTCCTGCTGTCACCAGCAGCAGCTCATTACAGCAGCGTGGACAGGCCTCCCCTGCAGGATCCCATATGCTGTGCTCCTGCAGCACAACAAATAAATCACATTAGGGAGGGAAGGCTGAGAAGTCATCTCTGATTTTGAAACCCTCTAACCCCAAAGTCAGCAACACTGAAACACATGAAATAATTGAATGGGAATTTTCCCTTTTTTCTTTTCTTTTTCTTTTTGCTTTTTTTTTCCCTGAGGAAGTGGACAGAATGCAGGGGGAAAACTTGATGTTTAGCAGTTTATTATGAGTCTCTTCTCTGTTATACTCCTCTTCCACACAGCATTGGGTTTTAGGCACAGCCAGTTTTCCACCTGACACTCAGCACAGGCCAGAAGACTGATCCAGTTTTCCTAATTTTTCAGTGATGCTGAGCATTGGAGGCATCCTGCCCTAGATATTGTGTGGAGCAGTCACAGGAGGAAGAGGAGAGAACTCCAAATCCCCCTCAAAGAGCAGAACTGTTGGCACAGGATCAGGGTCTGTCCCTGCCTGCTCCTGCTACCCTTAATTTTTCTTTTTGCTACATTTTCCAGTTGTTTTTCAGTGCTAAAAATGGCTGGGAGGGACTAAAGAGGAATCCCCCTTGGGCTTGGATTCTATTAAGTCGTGGTTCTATTTTCTTCAGAGGAGAAACTAAAATGTGGAACCGAATTTCCTCAAAGTTAATTTCCCAGGCTGGGCACTGGAGGGATGTAGGTCACTTTGCTTTGTTCTGAGGCTGAGCTGAGCTATAAATACCATTGGTTTTTCCCTGAAAAGTGGGAGTACACTCATCCTTGCTGCTTTATCCAGGTCATTGCCTCTGAAGGTAACACCAGTGGCTCCTGCTGCCTCTTCCAGGCTCTGCTTTTAAGGAGAGGATTCTCTAAAACAATTTTTTTTCCTTTATTAAGCATGCAAAACAGCACTGCAGGACATGCACTTGGGGGAATTATTTTATATTTTATAATTTTGTATATTTTAGAATATATACATTCGTATATTTAATATATTTATAGTTTTATACAATATGTATTAATAATATAATTATTTTTATTATATACAACATCATATTCTATATTATTGTCTATTATTTATATTTATCTATTTTTCTATGTATATATATTATGATCTATTATCTATGATTATTATACTATATATACACACTATTACTATATATATACTATATATATACACTATATATATACAATTATTATATATACTATATATAATATTATACAATTATATTCTATATTTATATATTATAGTTTTGTATTTTTTATTTTATTTTTATATATTTTAAAATATATTTATATATATATAGATATGTAGAACGATATTTAATATATATAGATAGAGAGATAGAGGGATGGAGAGATAGAGAGATAGATAGATAGATAGATAGATAGATTGATAGATAGGTAGATATTTTTTAAAAAATATTTTATAGAGATATTTTATACCTCTACAGATCTTGAAAACACATTTTGGGCAGCCTGTTTTCCCCTCAATCACCAATATATTTTTATCCCACCAATACATTTTGATCTCATGAAATATTCCCCTTCAAAGAACATCACAAAGGCATCAAGTTTTCCACGTGCCAGGTCTGGAAGGTGCAAAATATTAAGGAGATTTCTTTTTGGGGGAAAAAAAGGCAATTTCCCCCCCAAAAAAAAAGAAAAAAGGGTAAATCCACATAGCCTGGTGACCCTGGAGTGGCTCCACGGCTGCCAGGAGGTGCTGAAGAGGCCCATGAATATTTCTATGGAACAGCGGCATCCAGCGGGCAAAGAACCATTCCTGCTGAAATCCTTGGAAAACCGGGATAGGGCCATGGAAAAACAGAGATTTGTCCCCAATATTCAGTGCTATTTTCCTTCATATCCAAGCTGTGTTTTCATTGCTGCATTTTGGCCCATTGCTTTTTGGGCTGATGGTGTCTGAGATGATAACGTTGCAAACAGCCAATTTTATTTTTAATTTCATTTTTAAAAGAGAGACTCGATTGATTTTTTAAAAAAATGTAAACAATTAATTTTAATTTTTAGTTTTGTTTTTAAACAGAGATTAGCTTGAATTTTAATTATTTTCAGCTTTAAAATATTTAATTTTTAATTTTTATTTTTTTAAAGAGAGATTTGCTTGAATTTTAATTATTTTCAATTTAAAAACATTTTGTTTTTAATTTTTATTTTAAAAAGAGAGATTAGCTTTAATTTAAATTTTTTTTTAAAGCTTTAAAATATTTCGGTTTTATTTTTATTTTTTAAAAGAGAAATTAGCTTGGAAAAAAAAACCCCAACCTGACATAACTCAGAGCCTGGATGTGCAAGCTTAGAACAAGCACTGGCAAAATTAAGTCCTGAATTATCTTGGTATTTATTGAGTGAGCCCAAAACTCTATGAAGGGATCTTCACAACTGGTGTTGACTGCACTGCCCTGCATTCATTTTTACATTTACATTAACAGAAATAATTTTTACATTAACATAAATCTGCCTGGCAAACATCAAGCTGAGGGAGGGAACACCAGAGCACGCTCTGAGCACATTCCAGAATATTCCCTAGCACTGACTTTTCACCCCCTGGCCAAAGGCTGATGTAAAACGCAGCCGTGTCAGGACCAAGGCAGATCAATCCCCTCATTCCATGCTCACAAATTCACATTTTTCCACTCTGTGTGTTTAGCTGGCCTGGCCAACATCACTTTTACGCAACACAGAGGACAAGGGACACCGAGTCCTGCTGTTTTTATCAAGTGGAAGTGACAAGCTCGTTTTTGGACAGGTCCTTTGTAGCCTGTAGCCCCAAAACTCAGGGTGACAGCTGCTGTGCCCTGCCACTGTCCCACAGATTTGCTCTCTTCAGTCTGCACAAGCCCCAGGCGATGCTGCTGCCCGATTCCTTCTTCCCTCTGCTTCGCTCCCAGGGCCGGGATGTTTTTTGTGACCTTTGTGCCAAGCACATTTCTCTCCCTCTCAGGATTTTTCATAGAGGTGCACAGAGAGAAATGAACAAAGCATGTTCTGTGAACAAAGAAATAACCCTTAAAAACAATACACTGTTGCATATTCATACACATTTCATGGTTATGCATACATTCTATTTAAACCAAGAACTCTGTTGTATGTCAACTGTTTCCTTTAATCCCCACAGCGTCTTCGAGTCTGAGCAAGGCCTGAAGAAACTAAGCTTATTCTGATATGAGAACCATAAATTCTTCTTCTCTGGAAGATTTAGGTGTTCCTCGAAGCGAGTATCTCATTCCTTAAAAAAAAAAAAAAACCTTCACATACATAGTCTCTATTTCAACATTATGTTGTAAGATAAAACTGTATTTAACACACTACTTAAGAGAATTAATGCAGCGTAACTTCCTAACATTACACATATAATATTCATTGTAACTGTACACATTGTAACATTCATTATAACATTACACATATAATATTAATTTTCGCTGTATTTGCGAAAATAAAATATACATTTTTCACACTCTCCCAGTGCCTCACCCCCTTCAAAGGGCAGAATTTCCCCTTAATACCCAACTCTTTTAACACTCAATCCCACTAAACAGAGGGGTTGTTGGACTCAGCGATCCTAAACACGCAACAAACCCACGAGCATCCCTCCCGCGGCCTGCGCGGCCGCTCCGCCCGGGCACGGCGGGCACTGCCCCGAACCTTTCCCCGCATCGCGACGGGCCCGGGGCTCCCCGTGTGCTCCTCTCGGGCTCCCCGTGGTTCCCCGTGGGCTGCCCTTGGGCTCCCGGGAGTTGTAGTCGGAGCCCCGGAGCAGAACTACGGCTCCCGGCTGCCCGCGGGAGCGCAGGCGGGGCGGCCCCGGGGCCGAGCTGCGGCTGCGGCAGCGGCGCGGCGGGGACGCGGCCGGGCTCGGGGGGACACACGGACACACGGCCCTGCTCGGGGCAGGGGTGTTTTGCCACAGCCACACCGGGAGACAGCGGCCAAAGGGCGGATCGCAGCCCCCGTGCCCGGCTTCGCCCGCGCTCCCCGCTCGCCCGGGGATGGAGGAGGGACGGCGGCGAGCGCAGCGCTGGGCTCGTGGCTCCGGGGATCCTCGGCTCTGCCTCGGCGCTGAGGTACGTGCCCGGCTTCTCCCCGCTGGGAGTGTTCCCCTCGGGATGGGACAGCCGGGGTGGTTCTGGCCTTTTACCGGGATGGTTCTGGCCCCTTTAGCCGGGATTGGGGTCGCTTTGGCCGGCGTGGTGCTGATCCTTCAGCCGCGGTGGCTCTGGCCCCTTTCGCCGGGATTGAGGCCCCTATACCGGGGTGGTTCTGGCACCTTTAGCCCGGGTGGTTCTGGCACCTTTAGCCCGGGTGTTCTGGCCTCTCTAGCCAGGATTGAGGCCCCTATACCAGGGTGGTTTTGGCCCCTTCAGCCCGGGTAGTTCTGGCAGCTTTAGCCGGGATTGAGGCCCCTATACCGGGGTGGTTTTGGCCCCTTTAGCCCGGGATTGAGGCCATTTTACCGGGGTGGTTCTGGCCCTTTCAGCCTGGGTGGTTCTGGCACCTTTAGCCGAGCTGATTCCATCACCTTTCACCAGGACTGAGGCCCCTTTAGCCGAGGTGGTTCCGGCCCCTTTATCCCGGGTGGTTCTGGCAGCTTTAGCGGGATTGAGGCCACTTCAGAGAGGGTGGTTGTGGCACCTTTATCCCGGGTGGTTCTGGCAGCTTTAGCCGGGCTGGTTCCATCACCTTTAGCCGGGATTGAGGCTGCTTTAGCCCGGGTGGTTCCGGCCCCTTTAGCGCGGGTGGTTCTGGCTGCTTTAGCCCAGGTAGTTCCATCACGTTTAGCCAGGATTGAGGCCGCTTTAGCCCGGGTGGTTCTGGCACCTTTAGCCAGGATTGAGGCTGCTTTAGCCCGGGTGGTTCTGGCCCCTTTAGCCCGGTTGGTTCTGGCCCCTTTGGCCCGGGTGGTTCTGGCTGCTTTAGCCAGGATTGAGGCCACTTTAGCCCAGGTAGTTCCATCACCTTTAGCCGGGATTGAGGCCCCTTTAGCCCGGGTGGTTCTGGCCCCTTTGGCCCGGGTGGTTCCAGCCCCTTTGGCCCGGGTGGTTCTGGCCCCTTTAGCCCGGGTGGTTCTGGCCCCTTTGGCCCGGGTGGTTCTGGCCCCTTTAGCCAGGATTGAGGCCGCTTTAGCCCGGGTGGTTCTGGCCCCTTTGGCCCGGGTGGTTCCGGCCCCTTTGGCCCGGGTGGTTCTGGCACCTTTAGCCCGGGTGGTTCTGGCCCCTTTGGCCCGGGTGGTTCTGGCACCTTTAGCCAGGATTGAGGCTGCTTTAGCCCGGGTGGTTCTGGCACCTTTGGCCCGGGTGGTTCTGGCCCCTTTAGCCGGGATTGAGGCCGCACCCGGCGCTGCTGCTGCTCCAGCTCCGCTGGTGCTTTCCCGGCCACCCTGGAGGTGTGAACAGCCGAGCTGCTGTTCCCCGTCCTGTTCCCCGACAGGTACTGCAGGTAAGGCCGGGCTGCCTGAGCTCCTGCCAGGAATTTCATTTTCCCTGGAGTATGTGAGGAAGGAAGCTCAAAGCTGAGGCACATGTGGCTTTTTCTCTGCCGTGTTTCTGGATTTCCAGACTGCCTGAATGGAGGCAGAAAGGGCCAGACTAAATGCAGAATAAACCCAGAGAAGTTGGTGCAGCTGTGCTGGAGGCACTGAAGGTGTTTGCTGTCATTTCACTGCCCGTGCTCTGCTGCAGAATTACTTTCTGAATGTCACAAATTCTGATTTCTACCTCATTGAGAAGCAAGTGAGCCCTGGCTCACCTTCATGGAGGTCACTTGAGCTTGGCTTTACTGCTGAACCTTCTCTCTTTTTGGCTAAGAGCCTCATGACATCCTCTGCACTTCTCTGTTGCTATAGGAGGAGTCAATTTGGCTCAAATGAGATACCATTTTTATTTCTCCTCTGTTTAGAAACTCCCTGGTTTCCTGAAACTGCTTGCTGTGAAGAATGATGCAGTTGTTCATCTGGACCTTCCTCCATGCTTGATTACCTGTTGAATTTTTCATTCATGGTTTCAGGATCTGGAGGAGTGAATTGTCAAGGGATGCAGCTCCTGTAAATAAACCACATCCCACATTTTTATGGTGGGAATGATGCTGTGTGACAAGTAGATAATGGAGATGAGAAAGGGGAAGCTTCCACAGCCTTGGAGGAGCTGCAGAGGTTCTTGCCCTGTTTTGAGCTTTGCTTTCTGCTCTGAGTTGTAGGTGTCTAGGTTTGTGTCTGGAGCAGGTGACATTTTTTGGGCACATGGTGGTTCCTTTAGTAAGTTCTTTTTTAACTTACAGGTCAATATTTGGGTATCAGGTAACTCTCTGTAGTCTCAGCTACCACTGGTGTATCCTTAGTACCTTACACCTGTTTTTCAGATGATTTAATTCTGTGGTGGAAGGGCAGGAGTTCCTTTAGGCTGCCTGCAGCATTATTAACAAACTGTCATTTAACAGCATCACCACAGGCTCTGTTTTATTGAAGAGTTATTTCCTTTTTAGGCTTCACAAAGGTGAATGTGTTTCCTATGCTTTCCTCTTTGCACAGCACAGCTCTGTGAGTCACTGCCATGAGAAGGATCTTCGTATTTGTGTGATACTTGGCTCAGCACAATTCTCTGCTTATTCTGATTTTGCTGTACAGCATCATATGTTTTGACATTTATTTTGAGTGCATGTTTGGAGCTCTGTGCCTGCGAAAATCCTGTGCCAAATCCGTGTGTGAAGAATCTGTTATTCTCCTGCTTTGGTCTGCAATGGGCACTGCTGGGATTGTTTGGAAGAACTGGGATGCCTTTTCCACTAAAACTTTGTCAAATGTCTGGGAAACTGCAAAAAAATGTGGGAGTACTGTAAGTGTGGTGGTTGCAGTTGTCTCCTTCCCTTTTTCTTGGGAAGAGGGATGTCCATGGCTTTTTCAGCTGCCTTGATGTGGAAGTGGGTGGCTCCAGCAGCACAGAATGCTCAGAGCTGTGGCTGCTGCCTCAAAAACGAGCTCATCTCCTGCCTGGTGTTGGTGCAGGTTTGATTTTGCTGCTCACAGAGGCTGGTCCTGGTGGTTTCTCTGGAGTTGAAGGCTTTCTCCAGCCTAGTTCAGCTCTCTGAGGTTGTGTTGTCCCTGCCTGTTCCCATCAAATCTGTTTGCTTTGCTCATCATCTCTGCTCCAGGAGTGCTGCTGGGCTCAGGCAGGATTCGGGGCTGTGCCACTCACAGCAGCTCTGATCCTGCCCTTTCCCTTCAGTTGCTGTTTTCTAGGGGTAGATTGGAGAGTCCTCTTTGAGTTCTGGTTGTTTTTCAGGAATTCTAATTCATGGCTTGTCAAGAGTGTTTTTGGAGTGGCCAGAATTGGAATACAGTGCTCTCTCACCTTTCCATACACTCTCCCTGGAAGCTCTGATGGGAGAGAGATCATTAAATTCTCCTTAAACAAAGAGAAAGGGGAGTCTGTTGTTTCTTGGGAGACTTGCAGAATTTGAATAATTCTTTTCCCTCTGTAGTAGTGTTTGAAATTTCCAAGAACACAGAAAAAGTCTGCGGATTATGGAATCGGTGTAGTTCCACTGGTGCGCTGGCAGGATATTCTGTTGATTGATCTTAGACCTTGAGGCACATTCCCTGATGAAATCCCAAGGGAATTAGGGATGCATGCTGGATCAGGGGTTGAAACCTCCTTCTTTTCCTGTGACCAGGCCGTGGAGAGCAGAACTTGGAGCTGGGATGTGTGAGCTTTGTTCCTGGCTCTGCCACCAATCCCACGTGTACCTCAGGCTCCATTTCCCATCCCAAGGTGCTTTTGGATCCTCCAGAGCCCCCAAAGAAAACATCTGGACTTGTAAAATGCACAGACTGGAGTGGACTGATGGACATGCTGCTCCTCAAGCCTTGCTTGAGTGAGGAAGGCAAGAGCTCCTCCTCGCTTTGTTCTGCTCCCACACGCCTGCCTGGCCAAAGGCGTGTCAGGAGAGATTAGATTTAAACCTTTTGATCTGAGCTTTTTTCTGACTTCTGTGCTTTCAGAGCACAGAAAGGGCAAGTTGCAGGCTGAAAGCAGGCAGGAGTGCAGTGCTGACCGTTCTGGGAGCCTGAAGGGGAATCTCAAGTTGGTAGGATGAGCTATCAAGGCTCATCAGGGATCCAGCAGGTTTTATGCTCCAGCTCCCTCATTCCAGGCTGAAGGAGCTGCTTTTCTTTTGGGAAAATTAGAGGAGGAGGAAAAATTGTGTTCTTAACTCAGAGGATTTGTAAATCACTTTGTACCACCAGTGCTGAGGGTCCCAGAGTCTAAATACCTGTGAGCCACAGCTCTGTTTCCTCAGCCCCACTACTCAGCCACCTCTCAGGACATCAACCATCTCTTAATTCTCTTGATTTTTTCACTCCTGCAATAAATCAGCATTTTGATTTTTGAATGACTTTTGGGGACGCTTACTGACATTATGGACAGGCAAGGCAATCGTGTCATTAGACTGGGGTTTTATGAACTTTTAAGTGCTAGAACTCAGATTTTAGTGGTAAATAGGAGTTGATAGCTGATGTGAGAGAGATGCAGACCTGAGCTTTACCAGGGCTCCACACCATCAGCTCTGGGCCAGATGGTCTTGCCTCTGAGAAATATATTAGAGCAATGTCAAGGAAGAGCACAGCTGAAATCCACTGCCAAGACAGATTTCTCACTGCTGGAATATGTTTCTGTCTGATCCTCTATTTCTAGATGATTGAAAATAGTTCTGGAAGGGATTTTGCTGAGGCCACCTAGTCCATCCTTTTCCACAAGGCATGCTAAAGTACACTGAAACCCTTCCTGATGGATCTGTTAAGCTTGTTCTTAGAGCAGTGGAGATTTTCCAGCTGCCCTGGGTGGGTTGTATTTGACTTTATTAAAGGCTTTTGTTTTGTTTTGTTTTGTTTTTTAATATTGTGGCTTTTGTCACTGTTCTGGGCACAGAAAAAAGGGATGCAGGTGGTTGATTGTTGACTTCTTAGTGCCAAAGGCCAGAAAAGTGATGGTGATTCCTGGCAGGAAATGGAGAAGAGTCACTCAATGCAATAATATTGAGGTTTTCTTTATTTTCCACAGAGATCTTCCAC